ATATATATATATATAATATATAATAAAAAAAATGTAAATACGTAAAAAAAATTTTTACAAAAAATAATTAAAAATAAATCATATATAGATGTTTGTTATTTCGTTCTAACTGTATTGTGATATTAATATATATATATATTTATATCAAAATACACGTAGAACGAAATAATATATATATCTATATACATAAATATATACGTATATATCACTATATATATACACCTATATATAAATAAAAATATAAAAAAAATTATATATGTATATATACACATATGTGTATATATATATACATATATTAATTCTACACATATATTTATGTAATATTTTTACATAATTAGGTATCCTAATTAATTACAATTAGCGGGACCTGCCTGACAACCCATGCCGAAAGTATAGGGAATTTAATTTGCTAGCACTATATTTAACCCTATAACTTTCCAAGACACCATAAAACCTGTAAATTGGGGGTACTGTTTTACTCGGGAGACTTCGCTGAACACAAATATTAGTGTTTCAAAACAGTAAAATGTATTACAACAATGATATCGCCAGTAAAAGTGAAGTTTTTTGCATTTTTCACGCACAAACAGCACTTACACGGATGATATTATTGCTGCAATACTTTTTACTGTTTTGAAACACAAATATTTGTGTTCAGCGAAGTCTCCCGAGTACAACAGTACCCCTCATGTACAGGTTTTATGGTGTTTTCAAAAGTTACAGCGTCAAATATAAGGCTTGCGTTTCATTTTTTTCACATTAAAATTCGCCAGATTGGTTACGTTGCCTTTGAGACCCTATGGTAGCCCAAGAATGAAAATTACCCCTATGATGGCATACCATTTGCAATAGTAGACAATCCAAGGTATTGCAAACAGGGTATGTCCAGTCTTTTTTAGTAGCCACTTAGTCACAAACACTGGCCAAAATTGGTGTTTTTTTGCATTTTTCACACAAACAGATACTAACGCTAACTTTGGCCAGTGTTTGTGACCAAATGGCTACTAAAAAAGACTGGACATACCCCATTTGCAATACCTTGGGTTGTCTACTATTGCAAATGGTATGCCATTATGGGTGTAAATTTCATTCCCGGGCTACTATACAGTCTCAAAGGCAACGTAACCAATCTGGCGAATTTCAATTTCAAATGTAACGTGCTATATTTGACCCTGTAACTTCCCAAAACGCCATAAAACCTGTACATAGGGGGTACTGTTTTACACGTGAGACTTTGCTGAATACAAATATGTGTATTTTATTGCAGTAAAAGCAAACAGTATTATGACACTGACCGTTAAAATGTCATGTAGAACTAAAAAAATAAAAAAATCGTATTTTCTCCCATTTTTTTCATATTAAATTATGTTTCATAGCTAAATATTTGATATTAAATGAAAGCCCTGTTTCCCCTGAATAAAATGATATATAATAAGGGTGGGTGCATTTACTATGAAAGAGGTGTATTACGGTTGGACAGACATGTAGCGCAAATGCCAGGTTTTGTTTACATTTTGTTTCGTTCACAACGTGTACATTTGACTCCGTCCTTAAGGGGTTAAATGAAATAGATAAGGAAACATACTGAATTTGGCTTTGTATTAGATTCCCTCTCCTACAGGTGTTTCAGGATAAGCAATTAACACATTTTACCACTTCAGATAGATTGCAGATATTACTGAACCTGTCTGAGTGCCTCTCCCAGGAGAGAAGGAGACCTGTTTTTACAAAATGAAGCATGGTAATGTTTAACATAATCGTTTGGTTTTTTTGTGTGTGTGCACTCCTATGTATTTATACATGAGACCATTCTACAAAAGTTTTTCTATTGCCAGGCATCCTCTCCCTTCTGCTCGAGATAGGGAATGTTTTTTTCAATTGGTGGCAGTGTTTTACCTTTAGATATATACTGATTATTATTAGATTATTAGATCATACTGGTTGCAGGAGCATAAATTGGGCTATTAATTGATCTCATAAGTAGGTAATGCTGAAGCCATTACCTGATTTAAAAGCTGTTAATATTGTTTTTTTCTTTCACCTGGCCATAACCTTTTATTCTTTAAATCTGAATTAATTTCCTTAAAGCATACATTTTATATTCAGTATTCTCTTTTATCCCTTGGGAACCTGAAAGTTTGGCAATCCCTTTAGTATATGTCAGGAGTGGCATGCTTTTGGTTCTTAAGGAGTTAATGATCAGAAACTTCTGACAGATTTCCCTTTTGTGAAGGGGAACATTATAATTTCCTTTCTGCAATAAAGGTATTCTTTTAGACTCATATGCTCCAGGTAACTTTGATACTGTGTATTGCAAGTATTTGAGGGCTTTCCAGTTCCCACACATTCCACCAGGTTTACTATTTCAGGTAAAATTCACCTGCTGCCTGAACAATAGAGGAAATCCCTAAACAGGTAGTTCCATTACGGACCTCTCTTCTGATATTCATGGGGATTCTTCTAGGTGTCCTTATATCTAGAATTTGCAACCAATGTGTGGCTTTAAATGGTTGATTCATCCTGCATAATATAATGTAATGCAGCTTATTGATGACAAACATTTGACTGATATGTTTTACAGGGTCTCTGTACCTAGATCTGTATAAATTATGGTCACTCCCAACATTGCATTGATTTAATACTTGTGGATTATATGTTTGGATTGGTGTTGATATCTTGCAGATATAACAAGTTGCTTATTATCACCATAGGCTCTGCCATGAGTACTTCTTCACTATCTGAAGATAAGGTAAGAGTAAGTGTGCGGTTGTTGTTCTCATAAGGATAACTGAATATCTTCTACTATCCTGCTTATTATGTGTCTGTTCCCACAATGTATAATGTGCCTCTGGTTACCACCTTCTCATCAGTATCTTGCCTATTCCATATCTCTTACTTATGTTGCACAACAGTCTCTAATAAATTTGATTATACTGTTTGGCATAATCTGTACTATTTACAATATGTTTATCTTTGAATGTAGGTACTGACGTGGTTGGCCTCCTTATAATTTAGTAGTTGCCACAAATTCTATGGTTCATACCGATATTTCTTTTTTTCTTTTTTTTTTTTCAACTAATCTGTTTATGATTATTTTTGCCTTTGCCTAGTAATGTTATTAGTTTATTCCTCTCCTGTGACTGTGCTGTATCAATTCATCCACTGTGTGAGGTATTGTTGTGAATCTGAATTTTGTAACATCGGGTCAATGTTGCAGTGTTTTAATAACACTCTTATTTCTCTACTAGGCGCTGCCTCTTTCTGACAGGCAGATATTGATTTGTTCCTGTATCTTCAGGTAAGTAGTTCACAAGGCAAGAGGAAGCGGTGTGAATCGTATTTAATAAATACATCCAGTAAGTAGTAGGATTCTCAGTGTAATTCTCCCCGTGTTTAATAGCATGTCCATTCTCATCCAACATTATCTGCTTGTTCCAGTATGATCTCTGGAAGTTATGCCTTTGTCAAGGTTCTGATTTGTTGATATCAATTTGGTTTTACATTTTTATATCAGAATGACATTTTCCTTCTCTAGCTTATGCTATCATGGCCTTAATTCCTATCTGACTCTATATTTATTCAGGATATTTCAGATATTGAATGCCAGGAGGTTACTGACCTTGCAGCCTCTAGGGAAAATTATCTTGTCTGAGCAGTTTTTATGACAATTTCCTATTAATTCTTGTTTGGCTTTGTAAAGTCTTCTAAGATTTATACAGCTCAATAATGGTTTTATAGCTATTAGCTGTTTTTGAACTCTGTATATATATATATATCGCTTGGGAATTCCCCATGAGTAAATGCTGCCATGAATAATGGTCAGGAAAGTGGAAAATTGTTCCATACTTACCGTAATTTTCTTTTCGTGATAATTATTCATGGCAGCATTACGTTCCCACCCATAAACTATAGGAGTCGTGAAGCTAGTTACAAAGACTGCCTGATGGGAAGGGGGAGGATCTATTTATACCAGTTTCAAAGTTCTATTTCCTGTCCTTTCTGCTGTGAGGGGAGGAGCTAACCCATGAGTAAATGCTGCCATGAATAATTATCAGGAAAAGAAAATTATGGTAAGTATGGAACAATTTTCCACTATCTCTCTTACTTCAGGGCAATCTATAAATAGCTCAATCTCAATGGCTTACTATAAATGTATCTTGGCTAGATTAGCTCAATATGTGTCAACAGAGTTGATAAATCAAGAGGACAGAGAGAGGCAAATAGAGAGAGGGTATAACCATTACAGACTTAAGAAAGAACAGTCTGCAGAGTGTGGAGAAAATACCCACAACCCCCAAGCCCAACGCGCGTTTCGGCGACAAAAAAAATCGCCTTTCTCAAGGGCATCAGTAAGCAAATACCGTCCCCTCATCCCCTTCCTTATATACACGAAAAAATAGCGCCAAAAAGCCGCTCGTAATAAGTGGGTGGTGTTTCCATTTTACCTCGCCAATCAGGTTCGGCGGTGGGAAGTTCCACAGAGTGGCATTCCAACACAGAGTGAGCGTGTTAAGTGTAACCGCGCATGCATACACCATTATTTCAGCGCAACAAGCAACATTGTATCCAACTCACTCTACACCAGCGTCACTTGTAATTAAGCGTGTATTCAGTGTAGCCGCGCATGCGTGCAGCATTATTTCAGCATAGCAAGCAAAGTTGTATCTAACTCATTCCAATCAGCATGTCCTGTAGTTAAACACAAAAATTGTCATATATTGTGCAGTGAATAAACATCATGGTAATGCAGATTGGTCTGGGAGTATTACAGAGGCAAGGGGAAATGGGGACAAATACAAGAATATATAAATAAAAAATTCAAAATGGCAGGTAATGTTAAGTTTAAATTTTTAAATGGACATACCAAGATTCCACTAAACAAAACAGATCAATCAAATAAAAATATGTAAATCCGACTGCACAAACACACTGCATTATATATACACACTATACAAACACACACACTGCATAATATAAACACACTGTGTATATAATGCAGTGTGTTTGTGTAGTGTGTGTGTATATAATGCAGTGTGTTTATATAATGCACACTACACACACACTGCATTATATACACACACACTACACAAACACACTGCATTACATACACAGTGTGTTTGTGTAGTGTATGTGTATATAATGGAGTGTTTGAGGGGGCATTTTTTATGAATTTTTTATTTTATTTTTTATTATATTATTTATTTTTTAGTCCCCCCTCCCTGCTTGTTACCAGGCCAGGGAGGGGGGCTATGTCATCCCTGGTGGTCCAGTGGCATTGGCTGAGCAGTGGGGGGGGGGGCGGCAGCAAGCTCTTACTTACCTCCCAGCAGCTCCTCCAGCTCCACAGTGTAAATCTTGCGGTCAGCATGCCGCGTGGAGCGTTGCCACGGTAACCCATGACAATGCTCTGACGGCCGCGGGTCTCGCGCGATTTACACTGGGGAGCTGGAGGAGCTGCTGGGAGGTATGTAAACGCTTGCTGCCGGCCCCACCAGGACCGCCAGGCTTGTAATGAGCCTGGCGGTCCTGGTCTGTATTATCGGCAATATCGGTATCTGAATTGGCCGATACCGATATTGACGAAAAAAACTATAATCGGTCGATCCCTATTTCCTGTGGATGCTTTGCCAGGACTTTACTGCAGCTGTCTTAAAGAGACACTCTAAGCACCAAAGCAACCGTGGTTTTATGAGGTGAGATCATGCCCCTCAATGCTCAGTTCTCTGTCGTTTAGGGGTGAAATCACTTGGTTTATGCAGCCTTAACTACACCTCCTCTGGCTGAGTCTCAAACCGCCTCCAACACAATTCTTGAAAGAGCATACATTTTTTTAACTCCCCATATTGCACAGTGTGTTTAATTCAGAATTTCTTATCACAACAGAAAAAATGGACACTGGGGGCACACCCAGAACATGCATTTCTAAGCAGTGGTACTGCTGTAAAGACAAATATTTACAAAATACAGTTAAAGGATTAGCAGACACACAAACAAAAATACGGTTTTACATTTCACTACCTAAAATCACCTATCTTGGCAAATAAATTAACACTTTTTTCATGGAGGCTGTGCAAGTCACACTTGCCTGGGGAGTAGTGATGTCCCGAACGGTTCGCCGCGGACTAATCATTGAGTAAACTTTGACCCTGTACCTCACAGTCAGACACATTCCAGCCAATCAGCAGCAGACCCTCCCTCCCAGACCCTCCTACCTCCTGGACAGCTCACTAAGAATGCAGCTGGGAGGGAGTGTCTGCTGCTGATTGGCTGGAATGTGTCTGCTGACTGTGAGGTACAGGGTCGAAGTTTACTCAATGATGAGTCCGTGGCGAACCGTTCACGGCGAACCGTTCGGGACATCACTACTGGGGAGGTGTGGCTGAGGCTGCATAAACAATGGTATTTAGCTCCTAAATTGCAATGAATTGAGCAGTAAGACTGAGGAGGCATGATCATACACCAAAACTGTTTCATTAAAGGACCACTATAGTGCCTGGAAAACATACTAGTTTTCCTGGCACTATAGTGCCCTGAGGGTGCGGATGGAGAGGAAATGGTTAAATCTTTTTTCCAGCGCCGGGCGGGGAGCTCCTCTCCTCCTCTTCTCCTCCTCTTTGGCTGAATGCGCATGTGCGGCAGGAGCCGCGCGCGCATTCAGCCAGTCCATAGGAAAGCATTCAAAATGCTTTCCTATGGATGCTGGCGTCTTCTCACTGTGAAAATCACAGTGAGAAGCACGCAAGCGCCTCTAGCGGCTGTCAAGAGACAGCCACTGGAGGCTGGATTACCCTATTATAAACATAGCAGTTTCCCTGAAACTATGTTTATTTAAAAAAAAAAAAAAAGGTTAACCCTAGCTGGACCTGGCACCCAGACCACTTCATTAAGCTGAAGTGGTCTGGGTGCCTATAGTGGTCCTTTAAGCTAGTTGTTTTGGTGAGTTCCTTTAATCTGTGGTTGTTTGAATATTCCACTGCTTTGTCATGAAATACATTTTGTTTACTTTTGAAGTATGTTTTGGGCCACTGCCTATCTGTACTTTGAAAAACCACGCTATCCGTTTTGCAGCATTTGTCTGAGTTTGAGCAAAAAGTATAGCCCTATACCCTGGAAAATTCAAATCCTATAATGCAAGTGACTTCTTAAGAGTGTTTCACTTTAAATGTCCTTGGCCTTCACTTTTAAGACAAAATAAACAAACCTTGTGCAGAACATCTATATGCTTTGATTCAGGGCAATCACAGAAATACTTTTAGTATTAAAGTTTGTGTTCCTTTTAAAGTGCCACTCTCACTTTAAAAGCGCTGGAAGGATCAGCACCTTGTGTGCGATGAAGCCAATTAATTGTACTGAACTGGAAATGCGAACCGTTCTTTCTTAGGTAATTCTATATTTAGACATCAAATTAAAACAGATAAAGTTCATAAAACCAGGGAAGGTAAAGCCACAAAATTACACGATCCAGCGTTTGTTCAGCTAAAAGTCTCCAGTACGAACTGCTCAGACCGCTGTAGCCGCTTCCTTCAGAACAGGAATGTTCTCCATTGCATAATGCGTTTCACCCCGCCCCTCAGGGCTTTGTCAAATGCTAATCTAAATCTATTTAAATGTGTATAGGGATTTGGAATTCTGCACGAGGAAATTTTTCGCTTTGGTTTTTATTTTGTGTATTGAGGCTATGTGCACTATAGACATTGCTGCCGCCCAGGAGAAATGGGAGTGTGAGCGCTGGACTTAATTTTGTATGTTTGAATGGGATTCGATTGGTGAATACAACCAGTTTTGGATATGTGATTTTGGAGTACATGGATGCATGAATGAGACTAGTTTGGGATATAATTGGATGCGGAATGTGATTGTGTGGGTGGGTTGATGACAAGTGGGACAGAACTGGAAGAAGGTGTGTGGAGGCTGCTTGTATGTGGATAGTCTGCATTTGGTTTTGTATGTTGTTGGGGACATTGTGTGTGTGAGGGTAGGCTACTTATGGTGTTGCAAAATATAAAGAACTTCTAAAGTAAAGTTCAGGGGAGGCTGCTTGTAGATTCGCCTGCTTGGAAGGGGGGCTTTTGAGGGGTAATGTGTATGGATGTGGCTGTTAATGGTGTAGTATCTGTGTGCGTGTGAGTAAGGCCTGTATGGGGATAGGGCTGTAATGTGTTTGTAGGGAATGTGTGCTGTAGTGTGTGTGTTTGTAGGGACTGTAGTTTCTGTTTGGTGACTTAGGGACTGCAGTGTGTGTTTGGAAAGATAGTGGCTGTTGGAGATATAAATGGACTGTAGTTTGTGTTTGCAGGAATTGGAGCTGTAGTGGTCATGGGGGAGGGGAAAACAGATGTTTCCTATCCTTCAGACTGCTGGAGAATCATATGAAATAGAGTTCAAAATGGTTGATGTGCCACGGTAGCCATCACAGCTGAAGGAAAACACACACGGTAACCCAGGAGTCCTTAAACATTTTAGTCTCATATCATCCACAAAAGTAAACCTAAACGTTACACCTTCCCTCCATTCCAAAAGCAATTAATAATGGATAGATTACATAATTATTATTTTAACATCTTCAGGTACACAGAAATGCTTAAGAAAATGTTGCTGTAGTTTTGGTGACTATCATGTCCCTTTAAGAATTGTATTTTTGTCATTGAAAATAAAGGTTTCTTCCTTTAAAAAAAACAAAAAACAATGGGGGGCGTGTCCTGACCATGCGAGACCGGAGCTCCTCCGATACCGCGGCAACACAGCGTGGAGTAACCAACGAAATACCGGTTAAATACAGCAACCACAAGGGGAATTCACCTTCCACCCGATGGCGACAAAACCGCAGAAAAAAATGAAACAAAAAACCATGCATGCCCACCTGGAAAGGAATCAAGCTATGGAGCATGGTGAGCAAGATGGCGCCGATAGGCCCAAATCTCCAGCATGCGATTCTGAAGCAGGAGACAGTAGACACAGCCAGGACAGCCCGGCGACAAACTCCTCTATAAGATCGATCATGCAGGAATTGAAAGCCTCATTTAAAGCAGACCTGCAGCAAATGGCAGCAGACATCCGGTCAGACATTAACAGCATAGGGGAACGCAGTTAACTGATGCGCACAACTCCATGGCAGAGGCCTACACTTCCCTAACACAAAAGATAAAAGCATTGGAAGGGAAAGTTGCAGATCAGGAGGATAGGAGTCGAAGGAATAACATACGCATAAGAGGTATCCCAGAATCTGTTACACAGACAGGATTAACCCGATATGTGCAAGATCTATTTAAGATGCTTATCCCCTCACTGACGGACACAGAATTGATCCTGGACAGAACACACCATCTCCCCAAGCCTAAACATCTCCCGTCTGACACAACAAGGGATACCACCCGGTCAAGGACCGCATCATGCAGGCAGCTAGAATGGCAGGCCGGAACCTTACACTGACATTAAACTCTTCATAGACCTCTCATCAATGACCATGCTTGCACGCCGCACGTTTGCGCCCATCACTGCAGCACTGCGAGCAGCAAATATCCCATACAAGTGGGGTTTCCCTACAAAATTGTTAATAAAGCGGAATGGGGTAGACAAACCAATACTCAGCCCGAATGATGGAAAGAAGATCCTCCAGGAATGGAATATCCCACTACAGACAAGCAGTCCTAAAGGACCACCACAGATCACTGCACCAAAACCTCTCACTAAAGACTGGGAACGGACAACGAAAGCTCCGCGCACACCCACAGACCGCAGAACTCCCCCAACGTGAAGAAACTACCAAGATCGGTGAAAACCGAATGGACTGGAAGTACAGGTTCTATAGTTCTACTACTAATTACATAACCCCTTGTAATCTATTCTGGTATTGTCGGTTAAAAGCCCTTAGCCCAGGCCGCGACTGGGTGGAGCAACACCCGGACTCCCCTTGTTTGACCTTGGCACTGTTATAGATCACATACGTTGTGAATCGTGACAATTCGCCGAAGTGGGTAAACCCCAAGGCTCTTAAGGCTCCTACGAGCTATACTTGTCCGTTGCTTTACGCAACCCGATGTCCCCACATGGTGACACACGGAATATTGTATATAGTTATTACCCTGTTGCCCCCCCCTCCCTTGTGAGTATACCCACGAATTATACAGTACCCAACCTACAACGAAACCCTGGGTCCTTCATACTTAAGGTTACAGCGCAGCATACAACTGCATTATGGTGATTAAAATTATGTCCCTAAACACGAAGGGACTCAACTCCCCGAATAAACGCAGGTTGGCCACACAAGAGGATAGGAAATGTGGTGCCCTAGTGGCGTTCTTCCAGGAGACGCACTTTAGGTGGAAAGATAGACCTAAATTTACCTCCAAATGGTTCCCCCACGATTTCCACACCTGCTATACAGCCAAACAAAGGGGAGTTTCCATCTTAATAAGCAAAAATGTAGTGTTTTCTCTGATCCGCAAGATAAATGATAGGAGAGTGCCTGATTTTGCAATACCTTCTTAATAACAACCCATACACTTTAGTCAATATTTACAGTCCTAATGAGAATCAACATGAATTCTTAACCTCGACCCTGGCATTACTTGAAATGTATAAATATGGGGAGGTAATTATTGGAGGCGACACGAACTTCCTACTAGACAGCGAATCTGATTCGTCCACTACGGTGGGGCTCTCACGAAGCACCTTACGACAAAGAGCGGCTCTAGCAACCACTAGCCTCCAACCACTTGGTAGATCCATGGCGCATCCTCCACCCCACAGAGGTGGATTACACATGTCGCACAGTGGCACACAATAGCTACTCCCAGCCCACAAATCCCCAGGCCTGATGGCTTCACGAACGCATATTACCAGAAATTCTCAAACATCCTCATGTCGCACCTCCTAAATCTTTTAAATAACTGTGCCGCTGTAGGCGCATTGCCAGATGAGATGCTGATGGCCCATATGTCCACCCTCCCTAAGCCCGGCAAACCCCCTACCCAGTGTAAAAATTTCAGGCCCATCTCCTTACTTAACGGAGATGCCAAAATTTATGCCAAACTCATCAGCAATCGGCTGGCCCCTCTCCTCCACAAATTAGTACACAATGACCAGTCGGGGTTCATAGAAGGCCATCAAGGCTCTGACAACACCAGGAAAATTCTGAACATGCTGTCAACACTTGACACAGGCGATTCGAAGGGCCTCTTCCTCGCACTTGACGCGGAGAAGGCCTTCGACCGATTAAATTGGGAGTACATGGCTAAAACTCTGCACAAATTTAACTTTCCTGCATCCACCATTAAAAGTATAATTGCGCTATACCACAAGCCAGCAGCCAGAGTCTCTCATAGAGGTTCATGTCTCACCCCTTCTCCATCACGAATGGTACCCAACAAGGATGCCCCCTATCCCCCCTTCTGTACATACTGGCCCTGGAACCCTTAGCACATAAAATCAGATTACACCCCGACATACAGGGGATTCCTATACAAGACAAAACGTACAGTCTAGCCCTCTTTGCCGATGACATCCTTGTGGCATTGACAGACCCCACCCACTCCCTACCCCATATGCTGAAACTCATACAACAATTCGGAAAAGTCTCATACTATAAACTAAACCAAGACAAAACCCAGGCCCTACCCATCAACCTACCAAAAACCCTAGCAGACTCCCTCCGCACCACATACAAATTCGACTTGAGAACCACCTCCATTACATATTTAGGGACAAGAATTGCACCCTCCACTTCGGCCACGCTAACATTAAATTACACACCACTGCTGTCACTCTGCAAAACAGAAATGCACAAATGGAAACATACAATGATCTCCTGGCTATGGAAAATTAATGCCTACAAGATGATGATCCTGCCCCGTATTCTCTGTCTTTAGGATGCTTCCCCTCAAAATTTCCAACCAATACTGCAAAACATTACAAAAACTATGCAGTGCATTTATCTGGGGGGGGGCAAGAAACCCAGGGTTTCTATGGCACTCCTTCAGTCCGCCTCCCGCTCTGGAGGTGTTGGCCTCCCAAATATCAAACAGTATTATAGGGCAGCTATTCTGTCCTCAGGTGTTCTCCTACATGCACCACCTAACACAACCCAATGGGTAGATATGGAAAGGGCGCAATTCCGTAATCAATCCCTACTTGAATACCTATGGACAAACAAACGTTTAAGATTGAAACAACAAGATCTCTTCCCAACCACCCAACTCACGATAGCAGTGTGGGACGAATTTATGGGAACAATAGGCTACAACAACTCCCTCCACCCTAAATCACCCATCTCGACCCTCAGGGCAATAGTACCAGACATACCAATCCAGGACTGGCACAAAGCAGGGATCAAAAACATATCCCAACTGATGACGGAAGGGAAAGTGACACCCTTCCCAACACTACAAACACAGTGGCAACTCCCAAGCTGAGCCATCTTTTCATACCTACAGGTAAAAAATGTACTACAAGCACACGCGATACCCTCACACAACCCAAGAGGCCCACCACAGGTTACCTCACAGTTACTCATTGACAGATGTTGGTCCTCACCTAACAAGCCTAAAACACTCACCTTGTGCTATAAAACATGGCAAGAACTCACGCCAGCAAAACCACATCCGCACAAAACCCAATGGGAAAAGGACGGTGACATAACCCTATCAGACACAGAGTGGCTCCATGCATTAAACGGGTTGTCCAAATGGACAAAGTGCTTCTCACATGTAGAAGCCCACAGGAAACTCATGTACCGGTGGTATATGACCCCACAAAGACTTCACCAGTTATTCCCCACGACAAAGCCGACGTGCTGGAGATGTAAATCAGCCCCGGGCACACTACTACACCTGTGGTGGTCCTGTAGAGACATTAAACCTAAATCCTAAATCGTAGACACACTAGATATCCCAAAATTCGAACTGACGGCATCCATCTGCCTACTGCTACTGCTCCCAGCAGGACTGAACCCAGGCCAAAAACAAATAATGGCGCTGGTCTTACTAGCATCAAGAAATCTCCTAGCACTTAATTGGAAATCCCAAGACTGCCCTTCTCTGCCACAGTTGACAGATAAAGTAGAACAATTTCACATATACTGAAGAATGGCAATCACATCCTCGACAAAAATACTACAATTTGAGGCTACTTGGGGAAAATGGGGAAAAGAGTTTGGATGAACAAACGAAAGGGCACAAACACTGGCAAACACTGCCAAAACCAACGACTAGGAGTACACCCCGAATTACCCCTTCCCCCCCACCATAACACTGACTCCAGGTTAGGATATCAACCAAACGACCATAGGTACTACTCACGCACCTCTCCCCCTCCCTACCCCCCCCCCCTCGCCACTATCGGCTCCCCTCCCAGGTTCTTGACCCCCAACCAGGTTCATACCACCCAGAATCTTGAGAAGACGGGAGAAGACATAAGACAACTAGGCTCTCCCGCGCCATTGACGACTCATTGTGAAGATGACGATGAAATGAATGTTCAACACGTAATTGTATTATGCTGTCTCATAACCATTAAGGTAACAACGAACAATGTTCAACATGTATCTGTATTATGATGTCCCGTAGCCATAAATGTCACAATGAAACAAATATCCAACGCATACTTGTAATTTGATGTTCCATAACCAGTAATGCCACGATGAATGTGACACTTGTCTGACTAACCCACCTATCTTCTCTTCTGTACCCTGAACCACTCGAACTAAAACAATAAAACATAGTTTTGTTTTTTTTGTTGGTTTTTTTTTTTTGTTGGTTTTTTTTTTCAAATTTGTCTCCTAACTTTTTTAGCTGACTCTGGCAGTAGGTCTCCCCCCTCATTATCTTTATGGCCACCACCCAGGGGTGGGGGCGGGGCAGTAGCCCCCCCCATTATCATTATGACCCCCACCCACCGCGCAGAGGTGGGGGCCGGGGGGGGACCTTAGGTCTCCCCCCTTATTTTACTTTAGGGCCCCCACCCGTTGTTTAGGGGTGGGGGCCAATAGTTTTTGGGGGTTTTTCACAGTGAGCAGCCACAGGCTGGGAATTAGGGAGTTATCTACTAAGCGGCTGCAAGATGCAGCCACAGCAAGAATAGGATCAGAGTTTCATTCATTCGAATAAAGTTGCGATCCTAATAAAATGCCGAATTGTGTTCTAAAACAAACGAACATAGTGTTCTCATTCAGTTAGAACGCAATTCGGCAGTTTAGTGTAAAGTGACAGGAAGCATCGCGGGAACACAGAGGAAAGGTAAGGATCATGGGAAAATTGCTCTGACCAGTGGAAATGAAGCATACTTTGCTCCTCCGCTGGTCAGAGCTGGTCAAGCGGAGGAATCCTCCATAAGGCAAAGAGTCTCTACTTTGTCTTATGATTTTAAAGAAAACTAAAGAAGACAGGAAGAACAGATCCCGAGAGAGGGGGAGAAGAGGAAGAGATTGAGGAAAGGTAAGTTTGGCATGACAGTGCCACTTTAAATTTGCTTGTGCCGTCGCAAGTTGTCATGTGTAGGTGGAGTTCCCTCATCCATTTTCGTTGGTATAGGGGTCTGGGTGCGTCTCCAGTATCCATTTAGAGGAGACGGTAGATGGCCGACAGGGGCCATTTTGTTTTACTGCCCTGGGAGCATAGGGATTCGAATGGCGTCTTTTCCCTTTTTCTCCATAACGGGAGGACCGATTGGGTCAAGAAATGGGTTAACTGGGCTCTGGCCATATTATCTAGTAGTGTTCCTCTGCTTCCTGGTTTTGGGAAGGTCTTTATTTTAGGTGGGTCGTCTACTGATAGGACTGCCGTTAGCTCTGGACAAGCTTCCCCGGTGACTCGAGTTAGAGTAGTGCTTCCATGTCCGTTTTGGAAGTCTGGGTTGTTAGCTAGAGGGAAAACAGGGACAAACTGGGGGATAGTCCCCAGTCCTCTCTATGTCTCCTCCATGTCCGGAGTGTGTTGTGGATGAGGGGGTGTGCATGTATAGGTTTTATGTAGTAATTGTAACATTGTGTAATTTTATGTCTTTTTGCAACCATGTGGTTAACCCCTTAAGGACACATGACGGAAATATTCCACCATGATTCCCTTTTATTTCAAAAGTTGTGTCCTTAAGGGGTTAATGGAGTCTTGCCTCTGTCCTGGGAGATAATTTGATTACTTCCCAATTATCTCCAGGATAGAGAGGAGGGATTGTGATGTCACTGTGGGAGCGTTTTGTTTGTATTGTCTGTGATTGGCTAATATCCAATATGTGTCCCATTGTTCCATCAGGTCCCCTATGGGAGTTTCCACCCGGTGGACACTTGCATAAATACCAGGCAGGTAACTCTCAATAAACCAGACCTACTTGCACCTTTCTTGAAGCCTTGGCTCATGCTTGGGGGAAGGGATACCTACACTCTGGGGATTGCTATAATCACTTACTCCCTACGCTCTCTGGATTTATGAGAGGTTCACCCACTTCGAGCTGGATCCTGGTAGTGGATCCAGGGTGGGTGAGAGACAGCGAGACCCCGGCGCAGCTGCATCGCTGGAAGTGGGGTCCGCAGTGCTGATGGTGTCGGTTGGAGTGCTCAGAGTCCTTGGCAAGCGCTAGGAGCATCGATTGGCGGAGGTACTCGGTCGGAGTGCCAGCGGTCCGTCACACAGACATTAGGCTGTTAGAGTAGGACCTGCCAAAGATGGGGTACATTGACGTTGTGGCAGGCTTATGCAATGTATGATCATATAATGTAACTAAACCCCAATTATTTTTGCCTAGATTAGGTGTTTGAATTTTTTTTTTTTTTTCAATCTGTCAACTTTGAAGTTGCTGTTTAGTGAGTGCGCTGGATCTTATGAATTGCATAAATTGGCTCCCAGCAGCACCCCATTTATGCATGTTCAGGTCAGTGCAGCCCCCTGGTTTTTTATATATATGTATGTATGTATGTATGTATGTGTGTGTGTATGTATATATATTCAATGTGTATATTTATCTACTATATTTACATGATTAATGTTACTGATTATAATTCAAGAGACCTGCCTGACAACCTAGGCAGAAAGTCTATTGAATTTAATTTACATGCACTATATTTAAAGGGACACTCCAGGCACCCAGACCACTTCTGCCCATTGGAGTGGTCTGAGTGCCAACTCCCATCACCCTTAATCCTGTAAGTGTAATTATTGCAGTTTTTATAAGACAGCCACTAGAGGGACTTCCGGGTTTTTAAAACCCGAAAAGTGTTTTAAGCGACGCTGGACTTCCTCACACGATGCATGAGGACCTTCAGCATTGCCAGAATTCCCATAGAAAAACATTGAATGCATGCGCATTAGGTCTCCTCCGCCCGCTGACGTCGGCGGTTGAGTGTGGACGGAGCTTGACCCAGCGCCGAGGGACATCAGCATAGGATTCAGGTAAGTCACTGAAGGGGTTTTAACCCCTTCAGCAACATGGGATGGGGCATGGGAGGGAGAGAGACACTGCAGGATTCTGCAGTGCCAGGAAAACGAATATGTTTTCCTGGCACTGGAGAGTCCCTTTAACCGTGTAACTTTCCATAACACCATAAAACCTGTACATGTAGGGTACTGTTGTACTCACGAGGCTTCGCTGAATGCAAATACGAGTGTTTTAAAACACTTAAACTTGTAATGATGATGATGATATCAGTGAAAGTGCATTTTTTGTGTGAAAAATGCCCCCAAAAATATGAAAACTAACTTTGGCTGGTGTTTCTGACTAAGTGACTGGACTTACCCAATTCTGAATACCCTGGGTTGTCTACTTTTGTGAATGGTATGCCACTAGGGGGTATTTCTCATTCCTTTGCTGCCATAGGGTCTCAAAGGCAACAGCTCAGCAAAACAATCTGGCAAACTGAAATGGGAAAGCCCTATATTTGTCTCTGTAACCATAGGCGTGCGCATGGGATGTGCCGGGTGTGCCTGGGCACACCTTAATCCCTGCGTCCCGCGCTATGTGCCTCCATGGGCCAGTGAGGGAGATTAAAGATCACACAGCACCCTTACACACACATACTAACAGCACTCCCCCCACACACACTAACAGTGCCTTCACACACACACACCCAGCACCCTCACACACACACACACACACAGCAGGGAGGGAGGCAGGCAAGAGAGGACCCGGGGAGCTCTAGCCAGCAGCTCCACCAGGTTCCTCTAGCAAGGTCGGAGCGTTGCCACGGCTAGAGTTAACTCACCACTGGACCACCAGGGATGGCAGCAGCACGGTCCCCCCTCCCTACAAAAGGTTAGAAGGGAGGGGGGCTATTTCCTAAACGGTCTCCTCCCCACAGTCCCTCCAAACACACACAAACAGCACCCTTACACACATCACCCTTACACATACACACACACACACTAACAGCACCCTCACCTACACACTAACAGCACCCAAACACATGCAGCACCCTTACACACACAGAACCTGTTGTTACGCTACTTGGGTGATTTGGCTTGGAACTCAACTGCAGCTTGTAAACTCCCTAATTACAATAGTGAAGAAACGGAGAATCCTTAAAGTATCAATACTGTAGCTTTAAGAAAAGAGAGAATTGCTGGTAACTTGATTCAAACAAAGTTTTAATAAGTGTTAAACTTATTCAATGAGTGTATTTGCAAAGCAAGAAACAGTTCATAGTGAATAAACATGATGGGAGTTGTCCTCCATATAATTAGTAGCTTGTAGCAATGAAGATTTGAGTAAGCAAACATTAGTTCATTAATAAATGATATTGTAGACAAATAGCTGAAAGTGTCCGTTTTCCAGTAATCCTTTATAGCATGCAGCAATCCTTGCATTGGCTCAAAGGCTGGAACGGCCTGTCTGAGCTTGTGAAAGTAGCTCCCAGTAGCTGAGCCTGTGGAGCCCGCGGTCTCGCGGAGGCAGCTCACACATTAGCTCACACACAATCACCAAGCACCCTCTCTCTAGCCCAGTTTCCCTAAATACCTTCAGAGCTGTGTCAGAGGGGGCGGGGTCCGGCTCCTCACAGCTGAGTGCCGAACCCGGAAGTGTTTCTACATGACACCCGTACACACATAGCACACTTACACACACAGCACCCTTACAGATACATACACACAGCACACCCACACACGCAGTACCCTTACACACACAGCACACGCACACTAACTGCACCCTCACACACACACAGCACCCCACAGTCCCTCCAAACAAATACACACAAACAGCACCCTCACACACACAGCACCCTCAAACACTGCACCCATACAGACACACACACACAGCACCCTCACAGATGCACACACACAGCACCCTTACACATGCACACACACAGAACTCGCGCACACACACACTAACAGCACCCTTACACACACAGCTCCCCTACACACACACTAACCGCATCCCCCACACACACTAACAGCATCCCACACACACAGCACCCTTGCACATTCACACATTAATAGCACCCTCACACTAACAGCACCCTCACGCATACAGCACCCTCACACACACTAAGAACACCCCCACACACAGCACCCTTACACATACACACACACAACACATACACACAGAGCACATACACACACACTAACAGCACCCTCACACACACAGCACCCTTAAACACACACAGCAGGGAGGGAGGCAGGAGAGGACCCGGGGAGCTCTAGACAGCAGCTCCGCCGGGTTCCTTTCGCAAGGTCAGAGTGTTGCCGCTGCCACTGGACCACCAGGGATGGCAGCAGCATGGTCCCCCCTTCCCTACAAAAGGTAAGAAGGGAGGGGGGCAATTTCCTAAATGGTCCCCCCGCCCACAGTCCCTCCAAACAAATACACACAAACAGCACCCTCATACACACAGCACCCTTACACATACACACACACACAAACACCACTCTCACATACAGCACCCAGAAACATACAGCACCCTCACACACAGCACACATACAGCACCCTTACACACAGCACCCTTACACATACACACACACTAACAGCACCCTCTCTCTCGCACACACACACACACACACACACACACACACGAACAGCACTCTCACACACAGCACTCACACACATACAGCCCCCAGAAACATACAGCACCCTCATACACAGCACTCACACATACAGCACCCTTACAAACACACAGCACCCTCACACACAGCACCCTTACACATACACACTAACAGCACCCTTACACACACACAGCACACACACACACACACACACACACTAACAGCAGCCCCCCCACACACACAGCACCCTCTCACACACAGCACCCTTACACACACACATAGCACCCTCACACACACACACCACCATTACACACACACAGCACCCTCACACACACACACACTAACAGCACCCTCACACACACACACAGCACCCTTACACACATACACACCACCCTCACAAACACACACACACACAGCACCCTTAAACACACACAGCAGGGAGGGAGGCAGGAGAGGACCTGGGGAGCTCTAGCCAGCAGCTCCGCCAGGTTCCTCTTGCAAGGTCGGAGCGTTGCCGCGGCTAGAGTTAACTCACCACTGGACCACCAGGGATGGCAGCAGCACGGTCCCCCCTCCCTACAAAAGGTTAGAAGGGAGGGGGGCTATTTCCTAAACAGTCCCTCCAAACAAATACACACAAATAGCACCCTTACACACAGCACCCTTACACATACACACTAACAGCACCATCACACAAACAGCACCCTCACCTACACACTAACAGCACCCAAAAACATACAGCACCCTCACACTAACAGCACCCTCACACTAACAGCACCCTCACACTAACAGCACCCTCACACTAACAGCACCCTCACACTAACAGCACCCTCACACTAACAGCACCCTCACACTAACAGCACCCTCACACTAACAGCACCCTCACACTAACAGCACCCTCACACTAACAGCACCCTCACACACACAGAACTCGTACACACATAGCACACTTACACATACACACACACACACAGCACCCTTACAGATACATACACACACTAACAGCACCCTTAAACACATAGCACCCTTACACATGCACACACACAGAACTCTCACACACACACACAGCTCCCTTACACACACACTAACAGCATCCCACACACACAGCACACACGCACACACATTAATAGCACCCTCACACTAACAGCACCCTCACACACAGCACCCTTACACATACACACACACAGCACATACACACACACTAACAGCGTCCTCACACATACAGCACCCTTACACACACACACACACACTAACAGCACCCTTACACACACACACACACAGCACCCTTAAACACACACAGCAGGGAGGGAGGCAGGAGAGGACCCGGGGAGCTCTAGCCAGCAGCTCCGCCGGGTTCCTTTCGCAAGGTCAGAGTGTTGCCGCGGCCACTGGACCACCAGGGATGGCAGCAGCATGGTCCCCCCTTCCCTACAAAAGGTAAGAAGGGAGGGGGGCAATTTCCTAAATGGTCCCCCCCACAGTCCCTCCAAACAAATAAACACAAACAGCACCCTCATACACACCGCACTCTCACACACAGCACCCACACACATACAGCACCCTCACACACAGCACACACACACACTAACAGCACCCTCACACATACAGCACCCTTACAAGCACACAGAACCCGTGCACACACAGCACCCTTACACATACACACACTAACAGCACCCTCTCACATACACACACAGTGCACACACAGAGCACCCTTACACACACAGCACACACACTAACAGCAGCACATACACACACAGCACCCTCACACACACACAGCACACACACACACACACACACACCACCCTCACAAACACACACACAGCACCCTTACACACACACAGCACCCACACACAGCACCCTTACACACACACACACAGTAGTGTGTGTGTGTGTGTGTGTGTGTATATATGTGTGTATATATATATATTTGTAGTCGGAGATATAAAGCCGTAAGTGTAGTCGTAGGTGAAGACTGATAGTTGGTTGTGGTGTGCCTGAACCAACGATCGGGTAGGCCTGAAATAATGAGGGCAAAAAGGTTTCAAACAAAACACTTTAATGTATGTAACATTCACATGAGCAGTTCTTTAAAAGCTTTCCTCAGTTCCTTCTCTGGCTGTGGAATGTATTTCCCGTAAGCTGCTGATTTCCACCTACCTAGTTTTTTAATGATGTGTGCGGGTACGTTATTGCTGGAAGCGGCTGATGCGGCGCCGATCCTGAATGAATGTCCTGAGATGGACATGGGGTCGTGTCCTAATCTGACCGCCAAGGCCCTTACATAGTGTATAAATTTAGCCGTGGTCAGAGGTTTGTCGGCGATAGTGAGTAAGGGTAAGTAGCTTTGTTTGTCTGTGAGGGAAAGGCAGAAAGTATCCAGGATTGTCACCGGGCACCATTTGTTATGGGTCGGGAAGTACTGGATTTCCGTAGGCGGTCCTACCTGATTTGTTTTTGTACGTCTTAGGCGCAGTATGTAATGGTCCCCTGATTTTTGTAGGTCCCTAATTCTGACATAGCTTGTGTTAACTGATAGATTATGTACCGTGAATTCATTGGGCCGTAAGAACCCGTAAAACGCTATGTACATAGCCGTCTTGAGTACGTTGTTAGTGTTAGGTTCGAATGGGTTAGAATCTAATAGATCTGATAGATCCTTGAATTTATTGCCGTCAATTGGCTGTCTTTTGGCTGTTGGAGGGCCGTCAGTGCGGAGTATTCCTTTTAGGACGTTTTTTAAGAGATAGGATGACATGAAAGGTTTGTGATTGGGGAACATGGTGAGTAAGTGGTGCTGAATGCCCGTGAGGTAGAGTTTTATAGTGTTATGGGCAAGCTTAAGGTGTAGGTGGCAGTGCGCGGTGAAAGCAACAATCGTGTCTAAGGAGAAGGTGTTGGTGATGTGGTGTTCGGAAGTGAACCTGGAAAAAATAGTAAGAGCTCTGTCATAGGATTTCTTGGTATTATCTGATAGAGCCGCTTTAGCCAACATTAGTGCATGCTGTTTCAGGTTTATCAATCCATAATGAGGTCCTGAAATGCGGGGGTTGGCACAGGTATGGCTACCGCCGTGGGATGCTGTTCGAAAAAGGCCTGCAAGTTGGAACGAGAGAGAGCGTCAGCTGCAATGTTTTCCCGGCCTGGTATGTGCATGCAAACCAAGTGGAAGTTGTGAGTTGCTGCCAGCCATGTGAGTCTTCTCATGAGTCTCATGATGACTAGGGATGCGGATCTGCCCTTGTTAATGATTTCACAAGTGGCTTCGTTGTCAGAGAGACATTTGACTGCTTTGCCCTCCCACAATGGGCCCCAAGTGTGTGCAGCTGCCACTATTGGGTAAAGTTCGAAAAGTGAGGATGTGGTGTTAAACGCCTGTAGTGTTGAAGTTTCGGATGGCCATGCCCCCCGGAACCACTGGTCGTTGTATATGGCTGCAAAGCCTGTGTGGGCTGCTGAATCGGTCCACACGACCGGGGAATCTATGTCAAGTGGGGGTATGAACATTGACCTCCCGTTCCAGGAGGAGAGAAATGTGCCCCACATGCGTAAGTCTGCTTTGGCGTTAACGTCGATGAGTATGTGGGTATTGTCGTGGGGGGTCTCCGTCAGGAGGTGAAGTAGGCGTGAAATGAAGGACCGTCCTTGCGGTATGATGCGGACCGCAAAGTTAAGTGAGCCCAAGAGTGACTGTAGCTCTTTGCGAGCGCAAAAGTTTTTCTGCATGAACCATGAGATTTCGTTGGTTATGCTTGTTACCTTCTCGTCTGGGAGACTCGCTACCATGGATATGGAATCTAGATGGATGGCTAAGAAGGTCAGGGCTGTAGAAGGACCTATTGTTTTTTCTACTGAAATAGGTACCCCCAGTGTGGAGAAAAGAGCAGCCGTTTTGTCTAAGCTGTGGGGGGTGCGGTTAGGTTCTTCAACCGTGAGGAAGTCGTCCAGGTAGTGTATTGCTACCGGGCAGCCACACACATTTAGTAATAACCAGCAAAGTGTTTCGGCGAACGTGTCGAACAGTTTGGGACTGCTTTTGGCCCCAAACGTCAAACGCGTGGCGAAGTAGTACTGGCCCTCCCATTTTACTCTGTGTAAATGCCACAGGGATGGGTGTATGGGTAGCAATTTGAAAGCGTTGGTGATATCGGTTTTCCCTAACCAGGCGCCTTTACCTGCTTTCAAGATTGCTCCCATTGCATTATCCACTGTGGCATATTGGAGTGAAAATTCGCTAGACGGAATCAAATGAATTAATGCTAGGAACCACGGATGAATGAGGCGCTGACAGGTCAATAATCATGCGTTTTTTATTATTGAATTTCCCAGTAGCAATGCCAATTGGGTTAGTTCTGAAACTGGCATATGGGGGGTGTGTGAATGGTCCTATCATGAACCCATGGTTGACCTCGGCTGTCAGTAGTGCGTTCGTAGTGACGAGATCTTGTAAGGCTGATTGTAGGTTCCTACATTCTAGGGTGCCTCCCGGTATTGCCACTAGCCCTGTGTGGAATCCTATCATGAAGCCTGTTGTGAGGAACTCGACCAAGTGAGCGGAGGGGTGATTGGAAAGATAATAGGTGAGGTTGATAACATTAATCTCCGTGAGTCATTGTCTAGGGAACAGCTGATTAGGGCACATGGTCTTTGCGTGTGCCCTAAAGCAAAGGGAACAGACATGCAATAAACGACAAGCGCTGAAGCTACAGCCCCCCGCATTGAAGTTATTGCATACCTGTGCTTTGCCGAGGAATACAATGGGCCTGCCCAGTTTGTCTTTGATGACCCTATCTGATTTGGGGGTGGGCTCTGCTTGGCTTGTGGAGGGTTGGCTTAGTTCAGAGGGACACCGATTGGTGGAATGTGCAGAGGACGTGCAAATGGCACAGGACGGAGGCTTGAGGCCGGCGAAGTGGCGGCAGAACAGTTCCGTATCCAGTTGGCTCCAGTCTGAGCGTATGTTAAACTGGACCAGTGCTGCCGCCGCCTTCGCCGAAAATGACCTATGATAATCATAGAAAGAGTAGCCTCCGTATTTGTTGCCTAAGTCCACCAATTTATGGAGGTACAGGTCCAGTTCTTCTCTGCATTGAGGGAAGACGGAACAAATGACATCCCTGTACAATCCAAAAGCAATCACGAAATCGGGGATGGCCAGTTTTTTGTTAAGCCTGGGGTCCCTAGCCTTGAGTACTACCGAAACTTCCCCATAGCAGTAAGCCTTGTTTTCTACTAAGTCTTGGGATGCTATGAGGAGTGAAACCAGGTTGACATCTTTCCCCTCTAGGATGTCTTTTTTAATGGCTTGGGGCACTAAGTGGGCAGGCGTGATGATGTGAGTGGAGGCAGGTGCTGGGCCGGAAAGAGTGCTGTTACCCGGGTTAGGCAGTGACTGTGGCAGCATGGTGGGAGCATTAGCTGGGTTGATCAAGGCCACTTGGTTCTCAAGATTCTCCAGTCTCTCGTTGATCAGATTAACTGAAGCGAGAAGAGTGGACATGGTGGCCTGAAGTCCAGGCGTGTTCCCATCGATAGCCTGTGTACTGGTGCCGGGTCGCGGGGTGTCGGGGTTATTGTTCAGGAGGCGGTACAGTTCCGCTTTGCGGGCCGTGGCCGGGTATGGTATGCCTCGTCTTCTGAGCTCAGCTGCGATCTTGGGAACAGTCCAGGAGCGTAGGGACGCTGGACTAGCCGTCTCTACCAGCTCCACTGGGGTACAAGGTCTGGTAGGGCTAGCGACCCTGGCTGGGGTGCTGGGTAGGGAGACATCCTCGGCTATGTCCGAAGCGTGTGACATTCTATAACGTGAGTAAGTACATCAATTAGAGGATGATGGTTCGAGTAGGGTGAATATTATTATAAGAATAATTTATCTCTTTATGTAGGGAGTGAAGTGCCTTGTAACGGGGGGGGGGGTGATTGACGTGCTCGTACGTGAATATGGAGAGTTTGCCCGTGACGTCGGTGAGCGAAGTGGTCTAGATGTGAGGACCAATTTTTTTGAGCGCAAGGACGTGTGACGTAGCGTGAACTATGACCCTGTTTTGGGGGTGTTGTGCTTGAAAAGCGAGTTCTATGGCCTTGTCCACTGAGAGAGGAAGGTGGTTTAGGAAACGTGATCGAATTGAGGCCGTAGTGTGGGCCTTGTGACCTATTGGCCTGTCAGGTGCGTGTCTGACCAGGTGACTATGCAAGGGGAAAAAAAAACGGAAAATGAGGTACTTACTTTGGTAAGCGAGTTTTCTCACGATAGCGTTGAGCTATGGAGAAGAATTAGCGTCTTGCGAACTGATATGGCATGTGGGTTGCCAGATTTGGCTCGATCTGCGTAGCTTGTCCGGTGGATATTAAGGGAGGACTATGCGTTGTTCCTTAGAGCCTAAGTGAAATTAAAACGAGTGTGTGATCGAGATATAGATGTTGGACCGACAAGACCATGTTGCTTACTTACCTATGTATTACTGGTAGCGTGGTATCCCAAGACTGTTGTGTCCAGTATGCAAAAGGTAGCCTAGAGAAAACAGGTATGTGAAATAGAATTTTAAAAAAAAATTTTTATTTTTTATTTTTTTTTTTATATTTGAGATTGACACGTGGTAGAAACGTGATTGAAGGTAGATTTGTCAGGGTGGGAAAAGCATAACGTGCATGACATAAGAAATATACTACTTAGCTTGTAGTATTATTTATAGGAAACCCCAGGGATTTAACTGTAAGCGGATTGCCCTTTTGTGTGTGTGATTCGTGTGGATGAGGGTCTGGCCGTCGGCACTCGTGGTAGTGCTTTGCCAGACCCCTAGTTAGACCACTAGAATGTTTAGATCGTGACGGATGGAAGGAGGGGTGGCTGGAGGCGTCATAACAGCTGAAAACTTGGGGGGAGGGGGTGTGGCAGGTGTTATACTACGTTCCATGCCCCCCCACTTGTCACAACTTTTTTTTTTTTTTTTAAATTTATTTATTTTTTATTTTTTTTATTTATTATGTGACTGGGGGAGGGGGGTGCTGGTGAACTTATGCAACCTTCCAGCTTCCCCCCCCCCGCGAGACCGGCGCGAGGGTACTGGACCGGCAGTGTGTCACGTGACCGGATTGTCACGTGACCGGCGGAAGTCTTTGGAGGGTGCTGGTGAAAACCTTGCCCGCCTTCCAGCTCTCCCCCCCCCACCACTATGGGGAACGAGGCCGGCAGCAGAGTGTCACGTGACGGGAGTGTCACGTGACCGGAAGTGTTCCGGCGATACCGGAGGTGAAATGCCTCGGAGGGGGGCCCGGTCCCCGGGCTGGCTGAGATGATGCAGGGTAGGGAGACCCTGCAGTCGTGGGGATGTTGCTGCCTAATGGTACTTACTCTGCTGGACCGGAACCGGAAGTGACGCGAGTGACGTCAGAAGCGACCTGGCCCTGATTTAGAGGTAGGTCTGAGTTTAAATAGGCCGGTTAACCCCTCCCACAACTACAGGCTCCGCCTTCCCATATATATATATATATGTGATACTTAAAAAATTAGAATATCGTGCAAAAGTTCATTTATTTCAGTAATGCAACGTAAAAGGGGAAACTAATATATGAGATAGACGCATTACATGCAAAGCAAGATAGTTCAAGCCATGATTTGTCATAAGTGTGATGATTATGGCTTACAGCTCATGAAAACCCCAAATCCACAATCTCAGTAAATTAGAATATTGTGAAAAGGTGCAATATTCTAGGCTCTCAGTGTCTCACTCTAATCAGCTAAGTAAGCCATAACACCTGCAAGGGGTTTCTGAGCCTTTAAATGGTCTCTGTCTGGTTCAGTCGGAATCACAATCATGGGGAAGACTGCTGACCTGACAGTTGTGCAGAAAACCATCATTGACACCCTTCATAAGGAGGGAAAGCCTCAAAAGGTAATTGCGAAGGAAGTTGGATGTTCCCAAAGTGCTGTATCAAAGCACATTAATAGAAAGTTATGTGGAAGGGAAAAGTGTGGAAGAAAAAGGTGCACAAGCAGCAGGGATGACCGCAGCCTGGAGAGGATTGTCAGGAAAGGGCCATTCAAAAGTGTTGGGGACTTTCACAAGGAGTGGACTGAGGCTGGAGTCAGTGCATCAAGAGCCACCACACACAGACAAATCCTGGACATGGGCTTCAGATGTTGTATTCCTCTTGTCAAGCCGCTCCTGAACAACAAACAACGTCAGAAGCGTCTTACTTGGGCTAAAGAAAAACAGACCTGGTCTGTTGCTCAGTGGTCCAAAGTCCTCTTTTCTGATGAGAGCAACTTTTGCATCTCATTTGGAAACCAAGGACCCAGAGTCTGGAGGAAAAATAGAGAGGCACACACTGCAAGATGCTTGAAGTCCAGTGTGAAGTTTCCACAGTCTGTGTTGATTTGGGGAGCCATGTCATCTGCTGGTGTTGGTCCACTGTGCTTCAATAAGTCCAGGGTCAAGGCAGCCATCTACCAGAAGATTTTGGAGCAGACGAGCTTCATGGGGATGCTGACTTCATTTTCCAGCAGGAAATTAAGCCCACACTGCCAAAAGCACCAAAGCCTGGTTCAATGACCGTGGAATTACTGTGCTTGATTGGCCGGCAAACTCGCCTGACCTGAACCCCATAGAGAATCTATGGGGCATTGCCAAGAGAAAGATGAGAGACATGAGACCGTACAATGCAGAAGAGCTGAAGGCCGCTATTGAAGCATCCTGGTCTTCCATAACACCTCAGCAGTGCCGGCATAGCTTCCATGCCACGCCGCATTGAGGCACTAATTGCTAAAAAAAAGGGTCCCAGACCAAGTACTGAGTCCATATGCATGCTTATACTTTTTAGAGGTTCGATATTGTTCTATGTACACTCCTTGTTTTATTGATTGCATATAATATTCTAATTTACTGAGATTATGGCTGTAAGCCATAATCATCGCACTTATGACAAATCACGGCTTGAACTATTTTACTTTGCATGTAATGCGTCTATTTCATATATTAGTTTCCCTTTTACATTGCATTACTGAAATAAATGAACTTTTCCATGACATTCAAATTTTTCGAGAATCACCTATGTATATATACACTGTGTGTGTGTTTGTGCTTTAGGGTGCACACCCATATGCAATAGGCTGTGCATGCCTATATCTGTAACCTTCCAAAACCCCATAAAACCTGTACATGGGGGGTAACTGTTTTACTTGTGAGGCATCGCTGAATACAAATATGATTGTGATATGTTTTAGAGCAGTAAAACTTAAAATGACAATGATATTATCAGTAAAAGGGCATTTACTTTTGTGAAAAATGCAAAAAACTAATATGACTGCTAATTTTGGCCAGGGTTTGTGACTAAGTGGCTACTTAAAAAAGACTGGACATATCCCTTTTTGAAAACCCTGGGTTGTCTACTTTGGCAAATGGTATACCATGATGGGGGTAAATCTCATTCCTGGGCTGCCATACAGTCTCAAAGGCTGCATAGCCAATCTGGCAAATGTGAATGTGTAAAGAATTAAATACTCAAGCCTTATATTTAACCCTGTAACTTTCCAAAACCAAATAAAATCTATACATGCGGGGTACTGTTTTACTCACGAGACCTCGCTGAACACAAATATGAGTGTTTTAGAGCAGTAAAATGTATAACGACAATGATATAATCAATGAAATTGCAGTCTTTGTGTGAAAAATTTAAAAAAACTAATATGAACGCTAACTTTGGCCAGGGTTTGTGACCAAGTGGTTACTACAAAAGACTGGACACACACCATTTTGAATACCCTGGGTTGTCTACTTTTACAAATGGTATGCCATGCTTGGGTTCATTTTCATTCCTGGACTGCTATATAGTACCAAAGGCAGCATAGGCCCAGCAAACCAACCTGGCAAATTTCAATGTGTAAAAAAATTTTAAAAAGAGGAAAGCCCTATATTTGACCCTGTAACTCTCCAAAACACCATAAAACCTGCACATACTGGGTACTTTTGTACTTGTGAGACATCGCTGAAAACAAATATGTGTAATTTATTGCAGTAAAAACTAAGTGTTATGAAATTAACAGTTAAAATGCCATGCAGAACTTGAAAAATACAGTTTCTTAATTTCTCAAAGTTTTTAAAATTTTATTCATATTAAATTGTTTCATATATAAATATGTTATGCATAATGATTTACAATATGTGTGGGTGTACTTAATATGAAAGAGTTGAATAATGGTTAAACAGACATATAGCACAAATTCCAGGTTTTGTTTACATTTTGATCACAACTTGTACAACTGACGTTGACGTCCTTAATGGGTTAAACTAAACGGGGCAGTTAGCCTTCATTTTACTAAACACAACCGCACACCATAACCGGATTCTTCATTTTACTGAACACTTTGATTATACAATTTTTGAATATCCGGGTTTCTCACTACATTTTTTTGTAATATGGGTATCCTGACTTGACTGTATCTAAATCTATGTATGTAAAACTAAATCCAGAAAAAAAGCAATGACGAAAATGTTAATGAGAAACATCACATCTCCCCATTAACACCTCCAAGCGCACACCTATTGTACAACAATATATACACTGCTCAAAAAAATAAAGGGAACACAAAACTAACACATCCTAGATCTGAATGAATTAAACATTCTTCTGAAATACTTTGTTCTTTACATAGTTGAATGTGCTGACAACAAAATCACACAAAAATTAAAAGATGGAAATCAAATTTTTCAACCCATGGAGGTCTGGATTTGGAGTCACACTCAAAATTAAAGTGGAAAAACACACTACAGGCTGATCCAACTTTGATGTATTGTCCTTAAAACAAGTCAAAATGAGGCTCAGTAGTGTGTGTGGCCTCCACGTGCCTGTATGACCTCCTTACAATGCCTGTGCATGTTCCTGATGAAGTGGCGGATGGTCTCCTGATGGATCTCCTCCCAGACCTGGATTAGTGTCTGCCAACTCCTGGACAGTCTGTGGTGCAATGTGACGTTGGTGGATGGAGCGAGACATGATGTCCCAGACGTGCTCAATTGGATTCAAGTCTGGGGAACGGGTGGGCCAGTCCATAGCATCAATGCCTTTGTCTTGCAGGAACTGCTGACACACTCCAGCCACATGAGGCAAATGCCAAATGTCCTGTACGGTGTTGGGCTGTAAGCACAACCCCCACCTGTGGACGTTGGGCCCTCATACCACCCTCATGGAGTCTGTTTCTGACCGTTTGAGCAGACACATGCACATTTGTGGCCTGCTGGAGGTCATTTTGCAGGGCTCTGGCAGTGCTCCTCCTGTTCCTCCTTGCACAAAGGCGGAGGTAGCGGTCCTGCTGCTGGGTTGTTGCCCTCCTACCGCCTCCTCCTGATGTACTGGCCTGCCTCCATGCTCTGGACACTACGCTGACAGACACAGCAAACCTTCTTGCCACAGATCGCATTGATGTACCATCCTGGATGAGCTGCACTACCTGAGTCACTTGTGTGGGTTGTAGACTCTGTCTCATGCTACCATTAGAGTGAAAGCATCGCCAGCATTTAAAAGTGACCAAAACATCAGCCAGGAAACATAGGAACTGAGAAGTGGTCTGTGGTCACCACCTGCAGAACCACGCCTTTATTGGGGGCTGTCTTGCTAATTGCCTATAATTTCCACCTGTTGTCTATCCCATTTGCACAACGGCATGTGAAATTGATTGTAACTCAGTGTTGCTTCCTAAGTGGACAGTTTGATTTCACAGAAGTGTGATTGACTTGGAGTTACATTGTGTTGTTTAAGTGTTGCCTTTATTTTTTTTGAGCAGTGTATATAACTAATTGTAATAGAAGAGCATTGGGACTAGAACTCCCAGCATGCTACATGCAGATGCTGATAAGTAGGAAACCGCGCACTCTAGGGACTGCAGACAAGCATTTGCTGTAACATAGTTTCATAGGGAAAACATAATTTCTTTCAATACTGGCAAGAGAATGGGCTGGTTGGTGAGGGAGATCTCGAAACAACCTAACTGTTTTGCCACCCCTCAGCCTCAGTGGCCTTACGAGAAAATTCGTCCATGTGCCCATCCTATAACACTGCCTTTATCATGTTCTATTCATGAATTGATATGCTTCAGTTCATGAACCATTCCTTCTCTTTTGTATACTCTTCTCTTTCTTTCATACTAGTACTAGCTGATTTTAGTGATCAGAGGTTTGGCCCTTGTGGTAAACCATCTCTATTAACTTTCGTGAATGTTACTGACGCTCTACAGACCAGTACAGGTTCTCTTTATTTTATGTTACCGAATGCCGTTCCTTTCGGTACCCCTGTTGTATAACCACAATTACACAAACCGTCAGGACCTTATATTCGCACATACGAAGTAAAACCACCCAGGCCCTGGCGTGTGCCGCCACTTAACCTTTGTCACCTTTCAAACAACCGAACGGCCGACCACCGGGAACTTGCGGTTTGCGGTTAACCACAACATAATTGAGGACCTCCCTGTACTCCGACGTGTGTCCCCAATTAGAACGTTGGGGCTGCGGTTAACCGCAGACTAATTGCTCATTCAGGGCGGTCTACGTTCGGTCCACAAAGGGCCGAGGCAACCATCCCTGGAGCGGTATTCGTATCACAAACTAACAGTCTCTCGATCCAGGGGTTTTGGGGCCAGGTCCTGCTCGCCTATTATCCGAAAGAAAACATGGCCGCCATCTCGTGTTCGGGACAAAGAAACACAAAAGGACTTTGTATGTTAAGGACTGGCTCTACCCTTCGTGAGGTCTGAGCGCTATTCGCACATCTGATGCGCTCAGACCTGAGCTATCTAATGAATGGTAGAATATAGGAGATGTGTTATACAATGTTATAAATATGTATTTTTATGCTGTTTTGTATGTTCAAGTTACACGTGGGATTCTGGGCACTTGGAGATAATTGAATCACTCCAACCATTGAAACTTGTATCTCCAAGATGGGCGGGGACTATTTCAAATGATACAGTGTACTGTTATTGGTCAATTGTTTGTGTTGTCCCTGTATCCCATCAGGTCCAGTGGGGGATGTGCCTGGACCTGAGGTTTTTGCATAAATACCAATGCCCAGGTGCCATTAAAACCAGTTCTTGCTTGACCTCCAAATCGCAGCCTCGACTCGTTTTGTGGGGAAAAGGGTATCCTAGCTGTACTATAGCTAGTGGGATTGCTCTACACTTACAGGATTCGTATGGACTAGCTACCGAAGCGGCGCTTCTCTCTCTCCATACCGTGGATCCAGGCTATCCAAGCGGTCCAGCCTCTAGCTAGCCTGGGGGTTACCGTAACAGTGAAATCTTCTCTTGATTGTAGACTTTAATAATATGTCTAACTTCTGGAGAATTTTCTTGGCTAGATGTTGTGAAGGAAAGAATTTTGTGATCATCCACTGCAGTTGTCGTCCATGGTTGTACAAACATTTTGGTGTTACTGAGCTAACCAGTGCATTCTTCTTTTTCAGAAATGTACCAAATTGTTTATTTGGCCACTCCTAATGTATTCCTGACAATATAGGGTTAAAAACACCATCTAGCCACCCTGGTCCCCTCATGCCTCCCTGAATATTGTAATTCTTACTTGTATTCAAGTCTGCAGCTGCATGCTTTGTGCCTGTTTTCTTTAGACCTGCCCACTGCCTGCTGACATCAGCAGAAGTGGTAGCATGATCCAATCACAATGCTTCCCCATAAGATTGGCTGAGACTGACAAAGAGGTAGATCAGGGGCAGAGCCAGCACAATTCAAACAAAGCCCTGGCCAATCAGCATCTCCTCATAGAGATGAATTGAATCAATGAATCTCTATGAGGAAAGTTCAGTGTCTGCATGCAGAGGGAGGAGGCACTGAATGTTTGGATGCATTTTAGGCAGCCATGACCCAGGAAGGATCTCTAACAGCCATCTGAGGAGTGGCCAGTGAAGTTATCACTAGGCTGTAATGTAAACACTGCATTTTCTCTGAAAAGTCTGAAGGTAATGATTCTACTCACCAGAACAAATTCAATAAGCTGTAGTTGTTCTGGTGACTATAGTGTCCCTTTAATTGTGTAAATCAACTATATCACACTTTTATGTTCCACTTTGTTATAGGTTCAGCTGGTTTCCCACAAACTTGGTATATTGTATTGTCATATAGGAAGGAGATTAACTGGGAAAGCTCATTGGGGAAGCTGTCATCTACTCCACACCAGTATTTTAGATATTGGTGGTGGGAATTGGATTTATATCCTATCGTGTGCACATACATACAGATACACTGCATTTACAGACATGCAGACACACTTTGCATTCACATATATAAAGTGCCAGACCTATACTCTCACTGTGAGATACACACATACACACGTTAAGAAAAAAATAATAATACAAATTTCTAGTCACCTTTTCATTTTCCAACCATTTTACTCGTTCATTTTGCTCTCCCCCATGACATGACATCCTGCTCCGCGGGAAAAGTGGACTGACAGGGCTCTCAAGGGGCTCGCTCAATGGGATACATTCAATGCAGTCAATATTTGGAAAATCAGTATAACTATAGCAGTTCAAATATTTATGGACATAATTGTATGCTCACCAGCCAAAATAGATATAACTAGATTACGGAAATGACAAAGTCTTTAAATAGCCCCTAAGAGAAAAACAAATCAACTAATAAGAAAGTATGTGTAGATGATTCCTAAATGAATAGTACTGCTAACAAATAATGTTATGAAAAGTAGTACTAGTTATTCTATAGAAATAATGAAATTATCTTATCTGTGCCTTCATGTCCCCTAGGCCCCAATGCTACCTTTGTTTACTGGCTCAACAAATGGTAAAATAATGTACTGTAATAAAGATAATTACCAAAAAAGTGTGATAGGACATAAATTACAAACCCATATTTGAATCACCAATTGAAGGAACAGACGCATTATATTCATCAGGTGTCAGACAGCTGTACAAAACAAATATATTGTTGTAGCAGCATTGGTGATCCCTTGATGTTTTGAAGAATTGTTACTACATATTTTACAGCTGAAGAATGGGTCACAAACTGAATTTTTATCATTGAAGAATTTTGTGCCAGGATTCTTATTTAATCACTGTCAAAAAAAAGGTTAAGAGCAATTGGGAGGGAGCGATCATTGCATTGTTACTGCTCCACCGTAAACACCGAAAAACTACTTGTACAGCACATGGTAAAATAGTTACCAGAGCATCATAAAGTCCTCACCTAAATGGAAACATCCAACTTGACTAGATTTGTGAGTACTTCTTCCCACTTATCTTTCCAATTCATTTAGCCAATCTTACAGAATCAATCTGAAATATCCTGGCAGTCACAAACAAAGACATGAGAATCCTTGCCAATTTACTGGGTTTAATCTGTAACCTCTAGCTTTTGCAGATGGTTAAAGTGATCCGATGTAATAACTCTTTGGATGGACATAGTATTTCGCTTCTCTGCTCACAAGCCAGGAAAACTGTGCATATTTAAGAGAGGGGTGTACATTTTGATTATTCCAGTCTACTTTTAACTGGTTGTATTGCACCTCTGTTTGACCTACCTCTTGCTCTCCCAATATAGGGGGATCACAGGCAAAGGAATCGGAAAGCCTTCATGCTCACAAAAAAAGAATACATGCTAGTTTCTTTAAAGGACCACTATAGTGCCAGGAAAACATACTTGTTTTCCTGGCACTATAGTGCCCTGAGGGTGCCCCCACCCTCAGGGTCCCCTTCCCGCTGGGCTGGATGGAGAGGAAGGGGTTAAACTTACCTATTTTTCCAGCGTCGGGCGGGGAGCTCTCCTCCTCCTCTCCTACCTCTTCTCCTCCTCTTCGGCTGAATGCGCATGCGCGGCAGGAGCCGCGCGCGAATTCAGCCAGTCCAAAGGAAAGCATTCACAATGCTTTCCTATGGACGCTGGCGTCTTCTCACTGTGATTTTCACAGTGAGACACATGGAAGCCCTCTAGCGGCTGTCAAGGGCTTCCATGTGGATAAACCCTAGATGGACCAGGCACCCAGACCACCTCATTAAGCTGAAGTGGTCTGGGTGCCTATAGTGGGCCTTTAACATAGAGGAGATAAAAAGCTGTGCATTAGCTATATTTCTTTGTAGAAAGTACCTGGAGGTTAATTCAAGGAGTAACATCTCAAAGCTCAACTTTAATTTGTGATCAAGATTGTGGAATTAGAAGAAACACAAATGCCAAAAACGCAGGTCATCCCCCTCAAGACAAATGGAAAGCAAACCATTATAAACAGCAAGTGTTAGAAACTGGTTCTATCTATAGATGTTTCTCCAGATAGAATACACAAAGCATAGGTCAGGCCCAAACTGATTGTATCTCAACACAGTTTGCCTTGTGATCTGGAAAGCAGAAACATCATGTGACTTTGGTGACTGCGCTAGTAATTCTATTCTGAAGAGCCCCTTTTGAAAACGATCTACTGTTAATGTTGAGCCAAAACTTGTCTGTTAAAAGGCATCATTCTAAATAATCTCTTTCTAAAATCATAGTGATTGATTTTCCAAAACACCCTGCAACCAACAATTGTTACAGTAAATTTAGAATCTTTTTTTTAGATTACTTGCCAAAAAGAAGAAAAAAAAATACAAACTTTTTTCCCCATACCTCCCAATTTATAACATACACATTTTTCCTTCTGTCTCTGCGTGTTGCCTGCCATGTTTCTCTCACTGTAAGCTCCTCAACAAGATCTACCCTTTCTTGTCTTCCCTTTTACCATTTATTGCACTTGTTATAAACATTTAGTGGTTCTTTATTTTGTCTGGAAGAGTGTACTGCAGGACAACACAATTCTGAACTGACTGTCATAAGACATAGGCTACATTTAGAGCTGTTTCACATGACTGTGTTTACTTTCTAGAAGCAATTGGCAGTTGTCTTGTGTTGTGAGAGTAACCAGGAGACGTGCCCAGTCATTTTTATTAGGGTAGATCATATGACTGTGCAAGTGGAGTGAAATGCATTTGTTGACTGAGAGCATCATTCCCAAATACAAACAAAAGCATTTTAAAAGGCACATCTGGTTAATTTAAAATTTACCTCCCAACATTTCAAATGGACAAAGAGGGACACTTTAATTTTAGATGTAGCCAGTGGTTAGCATAATCATTTATAAACACATTTTTATAAATGTATTTATTTATAAATTCCTTCTTTAATTGTGATAATACAGGGCATTTATTATTATTATTATTATTGTTACTATTCTTACTAGGGTTTAAATAGTGCCAACAAATTTTGCAGAACTTTACAATTATAGAAAGGGAATATTTGGCAACAAGTAAATGAACATAGAATCCCAACATTTAGAAACAAAGGTCTTATGGGCTTCTAAAATTATTTTACTACAACATTTTTGGTGATGATTCTGTAGGTCTACTATGGGCCTAGAGAGTAGAAAGACCATGGCTCTAATTCAAAAAGGGTCTATGAAAGACCTGTGATAACAACTGCTGAATCTTGCACTATGGGATCACAAAGTGGCACCACATGTGCAAAAATGTGACTATAAGTTAGCACCAACAGGGATGCCAATAGAGATCTCTGTTGGAGATTGGTGTAATGTGGAGGAGATTGTCCAAGGAATTATTCCAGTCTGAGACAGTAAAATCCTTAGGAAATAATGATAATCAACGAAGTTAAGTTAAGGACAATGCTGATAGTATGCGAACCATTGAAATGGGAGGCATGGAAGAGTATCCCTTAACTATGACTAGGAATCAATTGATTTTGATTAGTGATGCACCGAACGGTTCGCCGGCGAATAGTTCCTGGCGAACATAGCATGTTCGCGTTTGCCACGGCGGGCGAACATATGCGCGTTTCGATCCGCCCCCTATTTGTCATCATTGAGTAAACTTTGACCCTGTACCTCACAGTCAGCAGACACATTCCAGCCAATTAGCAGCACACCCTCCCTAGCAGACCCTCCCACCTACTGGAGGGCATCCATTTTACATTCATTCTCAAGCTGCATGCTTAGTGAGAGGAGGGAAAGTGTAGCTGCTGTTGATTAGATAGGGAAATGCATAGCTAGGTTAGGGTATACAGTGTCCACTACAGTCCTGAATGACTCATCTGATCTCTGCTGTAAGGACAGCACCCCAAAAAGCCCTTTTTAGGGCTAGAACATCAGTCTGCTTTTTTTTTCTGTGTAATGTAATTGCAGTTGCCTGCCTGCCTGCCAGCTTCTGTGTCAGGCTCACAGTGGATACTGTGCCCAGTGCCACCACTCACTCACTGGTGTCACAATAGCTTGCATTTAAAAACCCAAAAACTTTTTTCACTGTTATAGATTGAATAGCAGTTAGTTGTCTCAAAGCGGGTGTGTCAGGCTCACAGTGGATACTGTGCCCAGTGCCACCACTCACTCACTGGTGTCACAATAGCTTGCATTTAAAACCAAAAAACTTTTTTCACTGTTATAGATTGAATATAAAAGTGGCCTCTTTGAGAGAAATATTTCCCACAATCAGAACAAAAATAAGGTTTCTCTCCTGTATGGTTCCTCAAATGATGCTTAAGATTGGAAGCGGCTGAAAAGCATTTCTCACTCACAACAAAAAATATATTTTTAACATTTTCCAAGTGACGAAATGACGTTTGGAACAGTCTCTATTCTGCTCTGTGTCAGTGTGTATCATGATCTCTGAGGACAGGTGTCAATCCATATCTGCCAAGTGACCCTATGTAGGAGGAACAGTCTAACTCAATCCATATCTGCCAAGTGACCCTATGTAGGAGGAACAGTCTCTATTCTGCTCTGTGTCAGTGTGTATCAGGGGCTCTGAGGACAGGTGTCAATCCATATCTGCCAAGTGACCCTATGTAGGAGGAACAATCTCTATTCTGCTCTGTGTCAGTGTGTATCATGATCTCTGAGGACAGGTGTCAATCCATATCTGCCAAGTGACCCTATGTAGGAGGAACAGTCTCTATTCTGCTCTGTGTCAGTGTGTATCATGATCTCTGAGGACAGGTGTCAATCCACACCTGCCAAGTGACCCTATGTAGGGGGAACAGTCTCTATTCTGCTCTGTGTCAGTGTGTATCATGGTCTCTGAGGACAGGTGTTAATCCATATCTGCCAAGTGACCCTATGTAGGGGGAACAGTCTCTATTCTGCTCTGTGTCAGTGTGTATCAGGGGCTCTGAGGACAGGTGTAAATCCATATCTGCCAAGTGACCTTATGTAGGGGAAACAGTCTCTATTCTGCTCTGTGTCAGTGTGTATCATGGTCTCTGAGGACAGGTGTCAATCCATATCTGCCAAGTGACCCTATGTAGGAGGAACAGTCTATTCTGCTCTGTGTCAGTGTGTATCATGGTCTCTGAGGACAGGTGTCAATCCATATCTGCCAAGTGACCCTATGTAGGAGGAACAGTCTCTATTCTGCTCTATGTCAGTGTGTATCAGGGCTCTGAGGACAGGTGTCAATCCATATGTCAAGGTGTCAATATGTCATATGTCAGGTGTCAATCCATATCCATTGTGATTTAGGAATGTTAGGTGATTTATGCCCTTTATGGATTAAGACCAGACTCTGTATCAACTGTGTAATTTTCCATGGGAGTTTTGCCCTGGATCCCCCTCTGGCATGCCACAGTCCAGGTGTTAGTCCCCTTGAAACAACTTTTCCATCACTATTGTGGCCAGAAAGAGTCCCTGTGTGTTTTAAAATTCGCCTGCCCTTTGAAGTCTATGGCGGTTCGCCCGGTTCGCGAACATTTGCGGAAGTTTGCGTTCGCCGTTCGCGAACCGAAAATTTCGGGTTCGCGACATCACTAATTTTGATGTGTTAACATATTGGGTAGAGGGTGTCATGACCACTGTGTGTCCATATTGAGAAGAGATAGGTGAAACATGGTGTCGTGGATCAAATCAAGTGTTTGATAATTTTTGTATATCTGCCCCTGTCCAAATTGTTGAATTAAATGCGTGCACGCTCACAAAGTAATTCACACCAGACACAAGTTTCAGGTTAATGAAAAACTTGAGGAAAGTTTAATACACGGGGCCGGTATGCCCCTTATAAAGCAAAAATATATCATATGCATAATTATAGATAACAGAGAAAATACATCAATAATTGGTTAGTTGTTAAGTGGTTCATCTAATGTACATCCTACCGGGTGTGATGTCACTGTCATCATGGATCTCTCCTCCAGATTCCAGCGCCATCTTGTTAATTGAGGTGGTTAGTCGATGGGGGGGGGGGGTAACTCCCTAGCGGGCACTTTAAGTAACTTATGAATAATACTGATTATAGTTATGCAGAGTAAATAGGCATTTTACTAAAGTTAATATTCTGTCCATAACAGTCCCCCCTTAAAATGACTATTTTCTAACAACCACTATATCTAACCCTAATACTGTCCCTAATAGGCTGCCGCACATCTGTCCCACAGGCCTCTCGAACACTTCTGCTGCGCATAAGACAAGTAGTGGCTTTTCCACTATATCCCCCGCTACAGCCTCGCCTGTGCGGACAGACACTGTCCCTAAGATTTCCCTAAAGAGTAGTAGTTGCATATTTAGTGTGGTGAGACTGTAGGGGTGTATGAGGTGTATCACAGTTTTCATCAGCAAACTCTTGGTGAAGGAGGGTTGGGGTGGTACGGTCAATGGTCTGGTAAACTGTCTTCTGTAGGTATTTCTGAACACATGGCAACAAGCAAAAGACAATGAGAACAAAAAGAAACATCACGGTCAAAACAGCCATACTCTCTTGAACATGCACTTTCTGCCAGCCGTTCAACCATCCAAATCATCTATCCCATGAATTAGTGACTCCTGAGTTCCTCTTTAACTCTCCTGAGAGACTTTCAAGCTTCTCTCTTGCTATGGTTACCTTCCCATTAGGGCCTGTGTTGTCTGGGATAAAAGTGCAGCATGTCATAGTGTCTGGGAGTATTTTACACACTCCTCCTTTCTCTGCTAGAATCATGTCTAGGGCCATTCTATTCTGAAAGGTCATTTGAGAGTTGGCCTGTAATTGCTCTGCCAGGCCCTGGAGGGCATCTCTGGTGTAATTGACAAAGGGTTGCTGGTTGTAATAGATATAATTAATCCAATTTACATTTTTATTTGCAGTGATGTGTGGGATCATGGATTTGAATCCAGCCGCAACTTCATCTCTCGCTTTAAATTCGTTTGGCACCTGTCAGAGTATTTATATTGGCAGACATTTTGTGCTATGATAGAAACTAAAAGTGTATATTCTGAGTCACTCTGAACAGACCAGACTCCATTTTGTTATTTCAAGTTAACAGAAAGACACTATATTTCTATCTGTAAGCTAACCACTTTCCCAGAGCTGAGGAATGCATAGTATATACAAGCCAAGTGATAAGGAAGGGGGTTGGACAGACTGTCTAATGCTAATGGAATATAATCAAATCTAAACCCAGACAATTGTGACAGAGAAGATTAAATAATAATATTTAACTGTCTATATATATATAGGTACCATTGTATGGAAAAGGGTAAACTTAGTTCATGATCTGTCATATCAGAAATTATGGCAGGAATTGCAGACGCTAAGTCTGGACAAAATTTAAGAAACCTTTTGAAATTTTAAATTATGGCGCTATAAAGATAATGCAAAATGACGTCAAAATAGCCACCAGGAAAAGTTAACTCTTTCCTGGATAGGTATGTTTAGTGGGACAAGACTGCCCTCTATAGACCAAATACCTAATTTGCGATCTGGAAGATAACCACACCTCTAGTGCTTCTATTGGGTTATCAACTGATGACGTACAGAGAGTATGGCCCTTTAAAAGTTAAGACAAAGGGAAGATAGAGATACGAGAGAAGGAGGCAGATGCAAGATATGCAAAGGAGAGGAGAGAGGAATTGGAAGTTTGGGGACTCCAACTCGGACAACATCTGAGACTAACACTCTACTCCTAAAACTCTAACACTTAGAATTTACTGACTTTCTAACCAACACCTCCATGCAGAGAGACTACCAATCGGATGAAATATCTACTCAACTGGTAATTATACTGGTTTCATTTAATTTAATTAAATTAATTAAAATGTATTAATAGCATTATATATGACTGGATAAAGCACGGTCAGATTTCCATATTAAGAAATCTTAGTTAACTAAAGAATATATAGTTATAAACATTCCATTCTGCAGGTGGAATTAAGAATAATTATATATTGATGTGATATTATCACGTGTTAGCATACCGCTGTTTTTATCCAGGTGTATTGATTTGCTCTAAATTAAGATAGATATCTTTTAGACAAATTAAAAATCTGCTTATATAATGTGGTAAATTCTCTTATTGGATGAGTTTAAGAAAATGAATTTAAACTGGATTAAATGTTATTTTATTTAAAATGACATCAGAATAGATCTTAACTACCTAGGAGATCTAGCCAGCATTGAAAGGGTTATTCTAACTGTCTGCTAAACTTTACGACCTTACGCTGCACTCTGAGGAATTCTGTTCTCTGTGTGAAAAGTTTCACTTTCAGCCTGTGTTAAAGATAGTCATAAATAAAGTCTTGACAGAAAATGCTTTTTAGCCATTGAAACGTAATACCCATTTCTTTGTATTGCATATAATTTTATACTGAATATTCATTGATTATTGTCATGCATGTTACATAATATTATTTGTTTATTATTAATTTGTCATATAAGTAAAATCTATTTTTATACATTGTGATATTAATTATATGAAATACATTTCACTTACGATAAACGTTCTTTGGGATCTGAGAATTGAATTAGTGGGCAATTCTCACTGTTACTATTATTATCCCATAAATATCCCCACACACCCCCCTTGGCACTCCTATGGCATCTATGTATATGTGAGGTTCGAAACTGCCCTTTACAGGAGTGTCTCTTTTTACTCTAAAATATGTGTGTGGTGAATCAAAAGGGCCTTGGTGATTGTCTGATATTATGTGTATGGGCATAATAACTTTAGCTAAGGCACACTCTCCCCACCACAGGCCTGTCAATCTGGATCTGAGTTGCATGTCTCCACACAGCCAATAAATGTCTCCCAGGGATTTAGCTTGGTTTGTTATCAGGGCAACTGGGGGTTCTCGATATATAGCACAATACCCAGGAGGGAATTTTCCCACAAATGTACCCGTGTTGCTGTGCATGGCGTAGCAAGTGTAATTACCTGGATATACCGTGACTCCATCAGGTGGCTTGATATCCTTTTGAGTTAATGGGTATACCTTTTTCCATGATTCACATGATGATGAATTGCCTTTTGACTGTACATAGGGACTTGGGAAACATGTTTCTACATCAGGAGGTAGGTTTAGGGGTTCTGTACCCAAATAGGGTCTAGCTCCTCCACAAACATAACAGTTTTATTATGAGAGTTAGCATTATATCTCATCCATTCAAGCCATAGGCTAGTGTCTGAAAAAACAGTCTCTACTGCCTTATTGTCTTCAAATGTAGGGTTAGCTATAGCTACCATGTCCTTGAGAGTCTTGATGTGTGGTTTGAGAGGGTTAATAGTCATGTGTGTGGAATCTACCCACTCATGCGATTGGTACATGTCTTGTAGATAGAAAGAACCCAATTTATTGTATGAACCTCCCCTTCTCCAGTACATTCCCATTACGTACTCACCAGTATCTCCAGGACTAGGGTGTTCTATGTTTAAGGTAAGCTTCATTGGATTTGACCCTATTGGTTTGCGTATAGTCATTCTGTGTAACAAGGATTTCCCATTTCTGTCCACTCTATTTAAAGCACTCTGTCGTCTGTAGCCCCATGGTCGGCCTGTGTTCCAACCCACCGCCTTCCAAGAACTACAGTGATGTCCCCAATGGTCACCAGTCACACAAATGTATGGGTCCTTTTTATTAGATATGTCTTTGTATATTGTTGATTGTAATGATTGTGGAAATACACAAGAGACAATATCACAGTAATCAAATGTAAATGTGGCTACATGTGTGTTGGAAGAATTATACCAAAATGTGTAAACATGATTCTCTTTAGTAATAGCAACTTGTTGGACCTTATCAGGCCTAGCAGCAGGAAAAGGTACAGGAAGCTCATGGTTTAACAAAATTTGCTTCCTCTGGAGCTGGAAATTTCTTGCAGTGAGAGGCGTGTATCCAAGTGTTCTTCCCGGCCAGTTTTACCGGGGTAGACGTGGTTAGCAGGACTTGGAATGGACCATCAAATCTTGGCTCAAGAGTGTGTTTCCTCAGGAATTTCTTAACCAGAACCCAATCACCAGGAAGTAACTTGTGGGTGCCTGTATCAGACTCTGGATCTGGAATGGAAGAAAACACCTGTGCATGGATTTTGGTCAAGGCTTGAGAGAGCAGTTACATAATCTACCATTGTATCTGACTGGAGTGGGAGTTGTTGAGGAAAGTAGCAGCTTAACCTAGGAGCGGAGCTGAACAAGAGTTCATATGGGGATAAGCCTATCTTCCCTCTTGGTGTGTACCTCACACTAAACAAAGCTATGGGAAGACTTTCTGGCCAGGATATGTTAGTCTGTCTTGGTCCATCTTAAGCATTCTGGCTTTCAAAGTGCCATTCATGCACTCTACCTTACCACTACTCTGTGGGTGAAAGGGTGTGTGGAATGCAAGGGTCACTCCCAGTGCTGCCCAGATTTCTTTGGTCAATAATGTGGTGAAGGATGTACCTTGGTCACTTTCTATTACTTCAGGAACTCCGTATCTGCAGACAATTTCAGTAAGTAGACGCTTTAGCAACTGGGCAAGCTTCTGGCCATCCTGAGAACATGTCCACCATGACTAGTGCATATTCATACTGGCCACCTTTTGGCATTTGAATATGATCGATTTGGATCCTTTGGAAAGGATAGTGTGGTTTTGCCAGATGTTTAGGAGGAGGTTTTTCCATTTTACTTGGATTGCATTTGGTACAGATGGTGCAAGATATGCATAATTCCTGGTCAGAGAAGTAATGCCTGGTGCTTCAAAATATTTGCCAATTAGAGAGTTCATGAGGTGCTTGGACAAGTGTGCTGCTCCATGGGCCCATTGAACCACTGCTGGATACATGTTTCTGGGTAGGCAGAATTTGAGATTAATGGTATACACCCCACCCCCACAACTTTGTCTTTCTTCTGGGGCAGCAGCTGCTTGTTGTTCCTTCAGGAACTTGAGATCCGTGGGTAGAGTTTGCATAAGGGTTCCTTCAGCGGACACTCTTCTGTCCACTTCCATTGATTTGCGTGCAGCATCCTTGGCGGCCTGGTCAGCTAAATAGTTGCCATTTGCTTCTTCTGAATTCAATCTTCTGTGGGCCTTTACCTTCAGTATGGCCACTTCTTCAGGAAGCAGTAAGGCATCAATCAACATTTTGATAGCTGCACCATGTCTGACTGGCGTGCCAGTTGCTGTGAGGAAACCTCTTGTTTTCCAGATTAATCCAAAATCTGGAGCCATCCACAAACAGGGTGAAGTAAGAATCTGGCAAAGCAACTTTATGCACTGTTGGGAGATGTGTTGTCTCCATTTTCATCTGTTCAAAGCAATCATGAGGAGGGGTATCTTCACTTATTTCTGTGTGATATTGAGGGTAACCAACTGTCTTGCAATTCACAGTTCTTTTGGTAACACCCTCTGCGGTAAGCTGATCTTGGTCTGCAATGCTCCATGTGTTGGCCAATGGGCCAAGTTCTTTCCATGAGATTTCTGGAGATTTGGTCAAGAGATATGAGGAACAGCCAAATTCCAGTGATGATACATGTGTCTTACTTCCATGGGTAAGAGGACCAGGGCCACACTATTTCCTTTAGAGTCACAAAACAAGTCTGTCAAGCTGAGGCTTACCTCCACCAGTCTGAACAACTCTTCTCCGTAATGTGGGTCAGGTCCTGGGGTATTTCTGTACCACAAGGTGCAGTGGAGAGAAGGCTGTTCATCGTGTGGAAGTGTGGGTTTCTTTACTTGTAGTTCAAGGGCAACATCAGGATTTATGTCAAGGCTGTACCAATGATGTGGTATTTCCCCCCCTGGGAAGTGGCAGAAGAGTGGCCGGATTGAGTGTGTAACATCTTTGTAAAGTGACATTGTCAGGCAGGAGGAGAGTGGTCTGCAGGTGGAGATATCTCTGAGACGTGAGATGTTTCGGCTGCACTTGATTAAGGATGGCAGTAATGTCATGTGGTGCAAGGACTGTAAGAATAATGTCATTAGTCTTGTCCAGCAGAGCACTTGCAGCAAAAACAGCTCGTAGACAGGATGGTCCTACTCTGGCTACTGGATCTAACTTGCAGGAAAATTAACCAATGGGACGTTGGCGTGACCCATGAGACTGAGTTAGAACTCCAGATGCGTGACCCATCCTTTCACAGACGAAGAGCTTGAAGGGCTTCTGGTAGTTGGGAAGGCCCAATGCGGGGGCTGTGGAGATGGCTCTTTGAAGGGCATAGAAACTGGTAAGAGCTGCTGGAGATAGTGAGAAAGGTTCAGTCGTCAGGGCATCATATAGAGGTTGCATGAGTGTAGAGGCCTCAGGAATCCAGGCCCTGCAGTAGGAGATGAGGCCTAGGAAGGCATGAAGAGGTTGGTGAGCTGATGGAGGGCAGATGGCAGTGATTCCCTGAACTCTGTCCCTGGTGAGGTGACAGGTGCCATGGGAAAGACAATGTCCCAAGATCACCACAGAGGGCCTGCACCATTGTAACTTCTTTTTGGAGGCTTTGCAGCCTTTTTCGGCTAGGAAACAGAGTAAGTCTTCTGAGAGACGTTCAGCAGTTGGGAGGTCATCTGCACAGAGGAGTAGATCATCCACATATTGGAGGAGAACCACATCTGGGTGGGACTTCTGCCATGGCTCCTGAACAGTTGACATAGCCTTTGCAAATTGACTTGGTGAATTCTGTGCACCTTGAGGCATGACAGTCCAAGTATACTGCTGGTGGTCATGGGTGAATGCAAATAGATATAGCGAGGGCCTGAGCAGGCTTCAAGGGGTATTGTGGCCTACGTGGTGGATTTGCTCCTTTGTATAGCTTCACAACCACTGGATGAACTTGCAGGCGTCCAATATCATCTGGGCCTGTGGACCAAAGCTTGGCTGGTACCCTATCCAGGGCACTCGGGGAATCTAGCACCCTTACTTCCTCACGGGGAGACTCCATGTGTAATAGTAGAGGCAAAGAACAGAGAGCTGAGGTATCCTTACGAGAGAGAGGGGTTAGTAACTGAACCTGACCGTCAGCAGTAAAGGAGATAGAAGCCTGCAGGTGGGAGAGAACATCAGCACCTAACAGGTTAATAGGACAGGTAGAAGACACAACAAAATGTGTGAGAATATCTGAGCCCACCCGTAAGAGCATGGTTAGCGTGTTGGTTCGAGGAGTACCATCTACACCAACACATGAAACATCAATGTCAGACAAGAAAGAAGAGTAAGGCAGGTCTTGTTCTCTGAGAACACTACAGGCTGCGCCTGTGTCAACTAAAAAGGTGGTTGGGTGACCTTCAATGGGTAGGACCACTGTGGCTAAGGGGACTGCCGCGCCATATGAGGTTGTGCCTTCTCCTTGATAACAGTGGGCGGCTGCTCTTGATGGTGGTGGTGGCCCTTGTCGGATCCATGTGGACCGGTCTTTGAGCTGTGGGCACTCTCGCTTGTAATGCCCCCACTTCTGGCAGTGATGGCATTGCACATTGCCCTTAGCCACAGTGGTCCTACCCATTGAAGGTCACCCAACCACCTTTTTAGTTGACACAGGCGCAGCCCGTAGTGTTCTCAGAGAACAAGACCTGCCTTACTCTTCTTTCTTGTCTGACATTGATGTTTCATGTGTTGGTGTAGATGGTACTCCTCGAACCAACACACTAACCATGCTCTTACGAGTGCCTCCATGTCTTTATCCCCTGTAGACACTGCCGTGACAGGGGTGTTAGACACAAGTTTGCCAGTTACCTATTGGACAAGATCTAGATGGTCAGGTGTAGTGGTGGTTGGCTGCTGCGGAGTGATTAGGCTGCTGAGCATGCTGTACAGGATGGTCATGACTAGGTGATGGGTGGTCAGCGGGTTGGTAACCATGAGAACCATAATTATCAGGAGGACTGGCAACATAACAGGATGAGGTGCAGGATGATTGGCAGCTGAAAGTGGAAGATAAGTGGCCTGGGGGTAGTCTTGGGCCACTGCAGGAGGGTAAGAAACCATAGGATGACCTGTCATTGGGGGTATAGGATAGCCTGCCATGGGATGAGGTGGTCTTACGGCCTGCCACTGCTGCCTGGAGATCCTTGGATGTGGACAATCTTTCCTGCAATGGCCAGGTTGATTACAATTAAAACACGCTCTGGTTTGAGGCCTAGAAACCTGGGACATGGGTTGCCCCATTGAGTTTGCCTAAAAGTACCGAACACTGATGGGAAACCACAATAGCGAAAGACCGGAGCTCCCGACGGCCTGGAAGTCCAGCGGTGTTCGCGCCGTCGAGTAGCCGTTTTCAGTTCCACGTGCTCGACGACCAAACACCGCTGGTGAGACAAAGGATCCAAGATGGCCGACTGCCGCGTGGTCGGTAGCCGAACGACGGCCACCTAGGAAAGTCTCTAATTACCAATTGCAACAATGGTTAATGAGCGCCACACGTCCCTCTATGTGTGGGCTGTAGCGGACAGCACTGGGCTGTCCTGAAAATTGCATGTGTATAACTGTATTCGGGTAAATTGATGTTTTTTATGTGTCTAAATAACGTGTGTTCGTCTGATTGTACGGTAGAATCATTCGAACAAACTAAGGGAATGGAACTACCCAACAGTCAGACCTCCCCTGTGTGAAGTGTGCCTTCAATTACCCGTTGCAACAATGTTGCGAATGGGTAATTAACAAGCTATGCAGTAGGTCCTTTGTTCTCGGGGTGGCCACCATTCGGGAAACGAACACGTGGCGGCGGCCATTTTAAAACTCCCGAACAGCGGTGTTTTGCCGTCAAGTGTCTGGAACCCAAATCGGACACTCGACTAGGCGAACACCGCTGAGACCTCCACAACCACGGTCCGTTCGGTTCCAAACTACCGAACGGCCCCTCGTTCGGTAGACAGAAACAACCGAACGAGGGGATTCATGCGAACCCTACCTGATCTCTGTAGCCTTAGCCTTTCGTGCAATTTATTCCCTTATACTGTGACCGACCGCAGGGCCCCATCGCATGGAGCCCAATTCGGCTGTTCTCTCCAGCGCGGTCGGTCTTTTTAGTGCCTCCATGAATTTCCCGAACCCCTGGTCCGATCTGGGTGATTTTTGGATATGCTGCTCACCCAGATCAGGGCTACCAGGGGATGTGCCATTTAAAGGGGTACCCCTAGGTTTAGGGGTACATCCAGAAACTGGGGGAATTTGTGTACAGTATAAGGGGATTATGAGTCAGGCTGAGGGGAGGAGATGTGTGGGAGGTTACCATTGCCGGATTGGATACTGTAGTAATTAATGAAAATCCCTCCCTTGCATGGGAGCATGCTTTATAAGGCCACTGTGAAATAAAGGTTTTTAGTTCTGCTCCTGATACTGTGTGTCGTCCAGTTATTGGGATTGCTGTTGGGATATTGCTGGATTATTTTACCTGCTGGAAACCTTGCTTTATGGATTTATAATTACTTGTTCCTGAGCATCACTTGGATCTTAAGCGGAGATAACTTGTGGAATACTGGATCTCCGCTACATTGGTTGGCAGCGCTGGGACCCAGACTCACTAAGGAACAAGGATTGATGGAGATTGATTACACACTAAAGAGATCCACACTGAAAGATCTTCTGGAAGCAAGGGGTATTTCAGCCAGCAACAAAACTAAAGCAACGCTTATTTCAGAGATAATGGCAGAATACCGAACAGAGGAGGATTCGGTCACCGAACAGAGGGAGGCAAGAGAGGGAACAGAGCAGGAAGAGTTCCAAAGACAGCTCCAATTTAGACTGGCATTTTATGGGGAGAACTCACCGATGGAAATAATCTCCAAGACAATGACGGAGGTCCAGGAATTAATAATGCGGCAAAGAGGGCCACAAACACCAGAGAGAAACACAGTGGTGTCCACAATACAAGAGGGTAAGACAAAAATTCCTTACCAGGCAAAATGTATGTGGAAGCTGAAGAGGTTATAGATGCATTCCTCCAGGACTTTGAGAGACTGTGTATGCTGCATAAAATAAATAGGGAGGATTGGGTCCCCATCTTGGCAGGGCGGTTGACAGGGAGAGCTGCTGAAGCCTACCGTATCATACCAGATACGGAAATCAGAAACTATAGCCGGGTAAAAGAAGTTATTTTGGCCCGATATGCTATTACCCCATAAGCTTACCGGAGACGCTTTAGGGAATTGAAAAAGGCAGACAAAGATTTGCATGCAGAATGGGCCTGCCGATTGCAACGGGCAAACCCTCGGATGGGTGCAAGCGAACCAGGCACGGTCCATGGAGGACCTATTACAAATGCTGCTACTAGAAAAATTTACCCGCCGACCTGCAGGAGTGGGTGAGGGATCGTAACCCCACTACTATTACCGACGCAGCTAAAAAGGTGGATGATTACATGGATGGGAGAAGGCAGCACAAACCAGTGGTAGTCAGAGCAGCTGTAAGGCCAGTCGGAGGGGGGGGCTACCCCAACAACACAGTAACCCCTCCATGACAACTACCACTACCACCAACAACTGCTGCACCGAGACTTCGTCCATCCAGTTCTGTGCAATGCCATCACTGCCAGAAGTGGGGGCATTACAAGCGAGAGTGCCCACAGCTCAAAGACCGGTCCACATGGATCCGACAAGGGCCACCACCACCATCGAGAGCAGCCGCCCACTGTTATCAAGGAGAAGGCACAACCTCATATGGCGCGGCAGTCCCCATCACAACTATAGAACAGTGGGAAGTTCTTCACGAAGCTAATCCAGTACAGGCCAATGCTGATAATTGTCAGCACCATAGACAAACTGTATACTTGGAGGGTAAAGCGGTCCAAGGACTACGTGACTCAGGAGCTACTATAACCCTGGTAAAAAGTCACCTGATCTCGGATCAGGCTAAGCTCAGCAAAACTGTGGCCGTCAGGGTAGCCGGGGGAGCAGTGTACCGGCTACCTACAGCAAGGGTACATTGGCATTGGGGAGAGGGGTCAGGAAACGTGGAGGTGGGGTTGATGCCGCAGTTACCAGCGGAGGTTTTGTTGGGGAACGATCTGGGGAGGCTCACGTCTGCTTTTGAGCCCCAGACACCAACCACAGGAGAAGCTCACCCTGTGGTCACCTGACAACAGGCCCGCACCCAGGACTACAACACACTCCCGGAGGTTCAGGTAAGAGACCCTTCCCCTTCCTTAGAATGTGTCCCCTGGGCCCCACCTAATGAATTCGCAGCTGAAGTAATAACTGACCCTACGCTGCAAGTATATAGGGACAAGGCTGTCACTGACTCACCTGGGGGGGAGGGAGAGAGATTTGTCCCCTATACAGGGAGTCGGACAAGCAGATAGCTGGGTCAGACGCGAAAGTGATGAGGCAGCTAGTGGTGCCGCAGGGGTACCGAGCAGAGTTACTCCGGATAGCGCATGATATTCTGCTATCCGGACATTTAGGGGTCAGTCGCACTAGGTACAGACTGACCCAAAGTTTCTTCTGGCCAGGGATCAGCCAGGAAGTGCTCAAGTATTGCTGTACGTGCGATACTTGCCAGAGGGTAGGAAAAAGGGGAGACCGAAGGAAGGCGAAACTACACCCCCTACCCATAATTGAGGAACCCTTTAGCAGAATAGTGGTAGATTTGATAGGCCCTCTCAAGAAAGCTAGCCCATCAGGCAAAAGGTACTGTAACGAAATCCCTTATTTACAGACCATACGAACAAGCCTGTTCGGTTATTTGGAGGATTACAGCGGGATTTCGTGAAAATAGCAATAAAAGCGAATAAACTACCGAACCACCGACCTCCCACTGAGGTCGTGTGGTGCCTATTGACCACCCTGACTGTTGCGGTTAACCACAGACTAATTGGGGAATAGCTGGTGGTCCGCGTTCGTTTACCGAACACGTGGCAATCGCCATTTTGTATTGTCGAACACTCAGCGGTAAATGGCGAGGATTCCCTGGAACTGATTCTGGCTACTTATTTTGTCGAACACCGCTGCTATCTCTTCCCCTCCTCGTTCGTACGGTGGAAAAACACACGAATGAAGGGGATACTACTTCATTCGTGCGCTGAAAGTATGCGAAAGTGACCGACCCCAGATAGCTATAGTATGGAACTTGTAGTCGGCTACAAACACACGAACGGCTGGTGAAAGCCAAACTTCAGTCGACGATTCTGAGAACTGTGTTTGTGGGATCTGAGCGCTATTCGCCTAGAATATGCACTCAGATCCAAGCTATCTGGGGATATGTGGGACTTAAAGTTTATGTTGTATAAAAAGAAAGTTCTCGATTTTTATTCTGTTTTGCTGAAATAAGAAAAGCCATGTTTCTTTCTTCCTGGAGATAATTAAGGCTCTCTTTGCTACCTTAAGTTAATTATCTCCAGGCTGGAAAAGAGGGAGTGATTTATGGAAAGGGGAGTGCTTATGCTATAGCCACTGTGATTAGCTACTGTGATACTTTTGTCCCAGTCTTCCATCTGGTCCCCTAGGGGAGTGTCCACCAGGTGGGAGACCTGCATAAATACCGGGCGGGTAGCCCACAGTAAATCAGATCGTTTTACCCCTTCATGAAGTCTCGACTCATGTTAGGGGGATTGGGAGTTATAATCACTTTGTTTCAGCTGGATTTCGGGAAAAGCTGCAAGGATCATTGCTGCACGAATAGAAGGATCCTTTACAGGTACATTCTAACTGTAGTAGATTATGCCACTAGACATCCAGAGTCAGTGGATCTGACCAATATCCACGCTGAAACGGTCGCGGATGCCCTCATGCGGATCTTCTCCCGGATGGGGTTACCCAGGGAGATTATCTCGGATCAGGGTACCCAATTTACCGCAGAAGTCACCCAACACCTCTGGAGGCATTCTGTGGTATAAAGCCTATTATCAGTGCCCCTTACCACCCCCAGACTAATGGGCTCTGCGAACGGTTCAATGGTACATTGAAACAAATGCTCCGAATCTTTGCAGAGACCCACAAGGACTGGGAGCGATTACTGCCGCACCTCCTATTCGCTTACCGGGAGGTACCCCAGGAGTCCACAGGGTTTTCCCCGTTTGAACTGCTATTTGGGAGTCAGAGGCCCCCAAGATCTGATTAGAGAGCATTGGGAGGGAGACCGGAGTGCAGATGGCACTCCCATCATACCATGTGTGTTGGCCTTCCGAGACCGCCTGGAAACATTGACTAGGACGGTAAGGGAAAACCTTCAGGCGGCACAGACCCGCCAGCGCACATGGTATGATCGGGGAGCCAGGGACCGTAGCTTTCAGGTCGGGCAGAAAGTGTTGATTTTAAAACCTTTACGACCCTATAGGTTGGTGGAACAGAGATGCAACACCACCTATATAATTGGCCCCTGCACAGGGACTGGAGGGCAACCCATGCTCCATGTGAACATGATGAAGCCCTACTAGGAGCGCTCCGAGGAGGTAACCGCCATATGTGCGCCCAACTCTGACGAGTTTAACAGCTTACCTCTCCCAGATCTGCTGGGAGATGGGCAGTTGTCTGGAGATTTAGGGGAGGTTGCACTGGGAGACCGACTGAGCCCACAGGAGCGTATCGAGGTACAACAGCTCTTGGAAGAGAAACGAGACACATTCTCTAATGTACCTTGATACACCCCTCTGGCCACTCACCGGGTAGAGACCCCAGGGCAACTACCCATGCGCCAGACACCATACAGCATCCCTGAAGCGGTGCGGGAGAATATGCGCAAGGAGATCAATGAGATGCTCCAACTGGGGGTAATTGAGCCCTCAGACAGTCCCTGGGCTTCTCCTGTAGTGCTGGTACCAAAGCGAGACGGTACGACTCGCTTCTGCGTGGACTACAGGAGATTGAACGAGAAAACCGTGTCTGATGCCTATCCCATGCCCCGGATAGATGAACTACTAGACAGGATGGCCAGGGGCTAATACCTCACTACTATTGACTTATGTAAGGGGTATTGGCAAATTCCCCTGGCCCCAGATGCCATCCCTAAGTCGGCCTTTGTCACCCCATTTGGCTTGTACCAGTTTAAGGTCATGCCATTTGGGATGAAAAACGCCCAAGCTACTTTCCAGAGGATGGTGGACCGACTCCTGGATTGGTTCCAGGACTATACCTGTGCCTACCTAGACGATATTGCCATTTTTAGCAATACGTGGCAGGAGCACTTGGCCCATATAGGAGCAGTCCTAGACAGGATTAGGGAGGCTGGTTTGACATTGAAACCGGCCAAGTGCAGTATAGAGATGGCCGAGGTGCAATACCTGGGACATAGAGTGGGGTGCGGCAAGCAAAAGCCCGAACCAGCCAAAGTAGAGGCCGTGGCCCAGTGGCCCACCCCTAGGACTAAGACCCAAGTTTTAGCATTTCTAGGGACAGCCAGGTATTACAGAAAGTTTGTCCCCAATTATAGTGCCCTGGCCAAACCCCTCACCGACCTGACCCGGAAGAATCAGCCCCGCCAGGTGACCTGGACCCCGGAGTGTGAACAGACATTCCAACATCTGAAAAATGCACTGATAAATGCCCCTGTCTTGGCAGCTCCCAATCCAACTAAACGTTTTCTTGTTCACACAGACGCTTCTATGTTTGGATTGGGGGCAGTACTGAGCCAAGTCAGGGCCGATGGCGGAGAACATCCCGTGGCTTACATCAGTAGCAAGTTACTACCCCGCGAAGTAAGCTACGCCGCCATCGAGAAGGAATGCCTGGCTGTGGTGTGGGCCCTAAAGAAACTGCAGCCGTATTTGTATGGACAGCCCTTTTCATTGCTCACGGATCACAACCCGTTGGTATGGCTGAACCGGGTGGCTTGGGACAATGCCAGGCTGTTGCGCTGGAGCTTGGCGCTGCAGCCCTTTGACTTTAATATTCAGTACCGCCTGGGTAAACAGAATGGAAATGCTGACGGGTTGTCAAGACAAAGTGACCTGGAGAAGTGATCCGTGAGCCCCCGGACAAACCCAAGCCGATCCGTGCTGGATCAGACTGTGTATGCTGGCTTGTGGGCAAGGGGGAGCAGTGTAGCAGACGGCACTGGGCTGTCCTGAAAATTGCATGTGTATAACTGTATTCGGGTAAATTGCTGGTTTTTATGTGTCTAAATAATGTGTTCGTCTGATTGTTCGGTAGAATCATTCGAACAAATTAAGGGAATGAAACTACCGTACAATCAGACCTCCCCTGTGTGAAGTGTGCCTTCAATTACCCGTTGCAACAATGTTACGAATGGGTAATTAACAAGCTATGCAGTAGGTCCTTTGTTCTCGGGGTGGCCACCATTCGGGAAACGAACACGTGGCGGCGTCCGTTTTAAAACTCCCGAACAGCGGTGTTTTGCCGTCGAGTGTCTGGAACCCAAATCGGACACTCGACTAGGCGAACACTGCTGAGACCTCCACAAGCCCGGTCCGTTCGGTTCCAAACTACTGAACGGCCCCTCGTTCGGTAGACAGAAACAACCGAACGAGGGGATTCATGCGAACCCTACCTGATCTCTGTAGCCTTGGCCTTTCATGCAATTTATTCCCTTATACTGTGACCGACCGCAGGGCCCCGTCGCATGGAGCCCAATTTGGCTGTTCTCTCCAGCGTGGTCGGTCTTTTTAGTACCTCCATGAATTTCCCGAACCCCTGGTCCGATCTGGGTGATTTTTGGATATGCTGCTCACCCAGATCAGGGCTACCAGGGGATGTGCCATTTAAAGGGGTACCCCTAGGTTTAGGGGTACATCCAGAAACTGGGGGAATTTGTGTACAGTATAAGGGGATTATGAGTCAGGCTGAGGGTAGGAGATGTGTGGGAGGTTACTATTGCCGGATTGGCTACTGTAGTAATTAATGAAAATCCCTCCCTTGCATGGGAGCATGCTTTATAAGGCCACTGTGAAATAAAGGTTTTTAGTTCTGCTCCTGATACTGTGTGTCGTCCAGTTATTGGGATTGCTGTTTGGATATTGCTGGATTATTTTACCTGCTGGAAACCTTGCTTTATGGATTTATAATTACTTGTTCCTGAGCCTCACTGGGATCTTAAGCGGAGATAACTTGTGGAATACTGGATCTCTGCTACATGGGCTATTAGGGGGTAGCTCATTTGGTTCACGAACAGCCAATAAAGTCGCTGTTCGTGAAACGAAACACATGAATGCAAGCGGCTTTCGGCTGCTAGCATACGAATTCCATGCACATCACAGTATCAACCCAGGTTTACACATACATTACAGCGGTTATTACAGACAACCTTTTTATACATATAGTCCAGCATCCCACAAGTGGCTAGGTTTGCCACAGCATCATCAAAGCTCCTTTCCATTATGGGCCAATATGCATCCCTAGCTTTAATTTCACATAGACTAAACAAATCATGCCATGCAGCAGAATATGTTTTATGGATCTGAGCAATCCTTCGAAAGAAGGGCATGGGTTGTTTCTCTGGGTCTGGAAGAGAAATTACCAGGATTGCAGCTTGGAACGGATTAAAGGTAACATACATCAAAGGGAATCCATCAACAGCAGGTAGAGCACCGTGATGGCTGGCTGCAGGCCGTGGTGGAGCGCTGCCATTATCAGAGGGTTGTCTGTGAAGGTTAACTATATCAGATATAGCCAGGGCTGGTGCTGCTGCAGTGCCAGTATCAGGAGGGGTGCTTGCATTAGCTAACTGAAATGAAACTAGTTGTGATGTAGTGGGGTGATGGCCTGAGGCTGCAGAGGAAGCAGCGTGATGATTGCCTGGTATAACAGAATCATTTGAACCAACAGTCATAATAGGATAACTGAGAGCCCCCATAATAGAGGCGAGGACGGAAACGGACGTGGGGATGCGAGAGGAAACAGCAGCAAGGATGCTGAGGGGGGAAGTGACAACCATGACAGGGGCCGGAGATGACACAACGGGGGCAGGGGAAGGAGGGGTTAATAACTGAACCTGGGTGGACATTACAGGAAGGGTGGGACAGGGGCAGGAATGGAAGGAATGACGGAGGGAGAAGGTGGGACAGGGGCGGGAACGGAAGAAATGACAGAGGGAGAAGGTGGGACGGGGGAGGAAACAGAAGGCATGACAGGAAGGAAGGGTAGGACAGGGGCTGGAACGGAGGGAATGACAGAGGGAGAAGGTGGGACGGGGGAGGGAATGGAAGGCATGACAGGAAGGAAGAGTGGGACAGGGGCTGGAACGGAAGGAATGACAGAGGGAGAAGGTGGGACGGGGGAGGGAAGGAAGGCATGACAGGAAGGAAGGGTAATAATAAGATCTGTCCGCTCCAAGGATGGGGTACAGGGGGGTGGGGGCTGGAGGGGCTGTGTCAGTTGGAGCTTGTGGCCGGACAGGGGCTACGGGGGTTGGGTTAGCCCCCTTCTCTTTGCGCCAGACGCCATCATAGGGCGGTGGCTGGGACACATTTGGGGTAGAATCAACAGTACAAACATTTTCATGGTATACATAAACTTTTTGTCCTTCAAATACTAGTTCTTCCTCTAACCACCCTTCACGTTTAATTCCTTTTGCAACACGATACCAAGCTTCTGCTGCCTTAGTCAATCCATTATCAAGCAGCAATCCCTCTTTATCTATCAACAATTTTCTCCAGCTCTCTGGTCGTAACCGGCCTCTGGGAGACATAGTAATACCACAGATCTTAGCAATCTTTCTCACCTTAATCACAGCCTCCTCACCTGCCTTCTCTTTCACAATATCACAAGCCAACTGGCCCTTAGAGGGCCTAGCATGCTCCTGTCCCATTCTCAAAATACAAGTCGTCACTTGAGAGAGAGATAGAAACAGGAAAAAGATCGTCTACAGTGTTTGACTGCCACGTGATACGTGCGTCTTCCCAAAATGTAGATTAGTCACTGGATCCGCCCACCCAAAGTGGTCATGGATTGGAGCGAGGCGAGCAGTGTGTGACTAACACTGTTCTGGATTAAAGGTACAGTAGAGGAAGAGAGAGAAAGTGAAAGTGAAAATGCCAATAAGAAGACACTTGCAAGAATCACAAATAAAAATATGTGCACGTAGTCTTGAATCAAAGATAAACCACACAACACACACAGATGCAATCACGTCACATACAATGCAATAAAGAATAACATATCAAGCATAACAATAATAAAACCAGCAATCTCTGCTCCTCTCTGAACAGTATAGCACGTTTCCAAGCCTCTCCTAGGCGGTATAGCGGTCCCGGCTCCTCTCTGAACAGTATAGCACGTTTCCCAGCCTCTCCTAGGCGGTATAGTGGTCCCTGCTCCTCTCTGAACAGTATAGCAAATAGACAAGATACTGCGGTCCCTGCCAATTAGGCAGTCAAGCTAATAATATGTAACAATACAATGCAATTAACCTATCTTAAATCCCCAAGCAAACACTTTCACACCCAGGAGGCAGATAGACAATCAACAGGTTCTTATAAAGAGACACCGGGCAAGAATTTTTACCTGTCTTTGATGCCTTCTGGCGGCCGGAGTGGACACAGAGGCAGGCCAGTCACAAAAACAGGAAATATAGGCAAAGTGCTAATGTGCAATCATTACCGTATATATAAGGAGGTGATCAGTCTCTGGTCCCGTCTCCGCGGGTCCGCTCCGGCCGTCCTTTCGGGCAGAGCCGTGGAGCCCCACGTTGGGCGCCAAATTGTCGTGGATCAAATCAAGTGTTTGATCATTTTTGTATTTCTGCCCCTGTCCAAATTGTTGAATTAAATACGTGCACGCTCCCAAAGTAATTCACACCAGACACAAGTTTCAGGTTAATGAAAAACTTAAGGAAAGTTTCATCCAGGGGGCCGGTATGCCCCTTATAAAGCAAGAATACATGATATGCATAATTATAAATAACAGAGAAAATACATCAATAATTGGTTAGGTGTTAAGTGGTTCATCTAATGCACATCCTACCGGGTGTGATGTCACTGTCATCATGGATCTCTCCTCCAGATTCCAGCGCCATCTTGTTAATTGAGGTGGTTAGTCGAAGGGAGGAGTAACTCCCTAGCGGCCATTTTAAGTAATTTATGAATAATACTGATTATAGTTATGCAGAGTAAATAGGCATTTTACTAAAGTTAATATTCTGTCCATAACAGTGGGATTGTTAATTAGTGATATGTGAAGTGATTTTGTGGGGTGGGTGCCAAGTCCAAGTCTTGAAGCTTTCAATACCTTTATTAAACAGTAATAACTGTTAAGGGGTGTGTAGTAATGCTGTTAAATCGATAGGATGTACTACCGTCGTTTCTCAATCTGTGTATGTATAATGAGTAGGAGCTCCCATCTTGTTTCTCAATCTGTGTATGTATAATGAGTAGGAGCTCCCATCTTGTGTGCATTAAGCAAGTTCAATTTTAATTGATTCAGGTTGGTTAGACTTATGGGTGCAGAGGAGCCATTCCATATATAAAATGACAAACTTTAAAAAAAAAATATTTTATTAAATATAGTTTATTCTTTAAAGAGAGCATAAGTGGGGGGGCTTGCAGTTTGGGAAACCTCACTTTTTAATAGATTTACTCTACCACAAAGTCATGGTATATGTACTTGCATGTGTTCTACAAATACTAGACATACTGGAAAACAAGAGGAAAAAATATATATATAAAGTATATGACAAAATATATTTCACATGCATTCAAGTCAAAATATATTTCACATGCATTCAAAATTGTGGCCTCCTAATACACTACTCGAAAAAATAAATGGAACACAAAAATAACACATCCTAGATCTGAATGAATTAAATATTCTTCTGAAATACTTTGTTCTTTACACAGTTGAATATGCTGATAACAAAATCACACAAAAATAAAAAAATGGAAATCAAATTTTTCAACCCATGGAGGTCTGGATTTGGAGTCACACTCAAAATTTATCCAACTTTGATGTAATGTCCTTAAAACAAGTCAAAATGAGGCTCAGTAGTGTGTGTGGCCTCTACGTGCCTGTATGACCTCCCTACAACGCCTGTGCATGCTCCTGATGAGGTGGCGGATGGTCTCCTGAGGGATCTCCTCCCAGACCTGGACTAAAGCATCTGTCAACTCCTGGACAGTCTGTGGTGCAACGTGACACTGGTGGATGGAGTGAGACATGATGTCCCAGATGTGCTCAATTGGATTCAGGTCTGGGGAACGGGCGGGCCAGTCCATAGCATCAATGCCTTCGTATTGCAGGAACTGCTGACACACTCCAGTCACATGAGGTCTAGCATTAGGAGGAACCCAGGGCCAACCGCACCAGCATATGGTCTCACAAGGGGTCTGAGGATCTCATATTGGTACATAATGGCATTCAGGCTACCTGTGGCAAGCACATGTAGGGCTGTGTGGCCCCCCCAAAGAAATGCCACCCCACACCATTACTGACCCACTGCCAAACCGGTCATGCTGGAGGATGTTGCAGGCAGCAGAACATTCTCCACAGCGTCTCCAGACTCTGTCACGTCTGTCACATGTGCTCAGTGTGAACATGCTTTCATCTGTGAAGAGCACAGGGCACCAGTGGCGAATTTGCCAATCTTGGTGTTCTCTGGCAAATGCAAAACGTCCTGCACGGTGTTGGGCTGTAAGCACAACCCCCACCTGTGGACGTCAGGCCCTCATGGAGTCTGTTTCTGACCATTTGAGCAGACACATGCACATTTGTGGCCTGCTGGAGGTCATTTTGAAGGGCTCTGGCAGTGCTCCTCCTTGCACAAAGGCGGAGGTAGCAGTCCTGCTGCTGGGTTGTTGCCCTCCTACGGCCTCCTCCACGTCTCCTGATGTACTGGCCTGTCTCCTGGTAGCGCCTCCATGCTCTGGACACTACGCTGACAGACACAGCAAACCTTCTTGCCACAGCTCGCATTGATGTGCCATCCTGGATGAGCTGCACTACCTGAGCCACTTTTGTGGGTTGTAGACTCCGTCTCATGCTACCACTAGAGTGAAAGCACTGCCAGCAATCAAAAGTGACCAAAACATCAGCCAGGAAGCATAGGAACTGAGAAGTGGTCTGTGGTGCTGCAGGTGGTGACTTGCTAATTGGCTATTTCCACCTGTTGTCTATCCCATTTGCACAACAGCATGTGAAATTGATTGTGGATATGTGTATATGCAAACTATAGCCTTTTACTAGATATGAGGGAATGTTCAATTCTCTACACATGGGGCATATTTATCAACGTGTTCTAAAAAATTACAGTTAAATTCCATTACTATTTTGATTGTATTTATTAAAGTGATCTAAAAAGTGATAGCTATCTTTGCAAATTCAAATTATATTTCAAGACCAACAAATTTGGACTTGCGGAAGCAAGAGAAATTAAATAAATGGTGTATATATAAAGAAAGAAAAACTTATAGTTGTGCCCCTAGGAATTAGTAATGTAGATATGATAAACCAAGGTCGTCTGATGATTTAGGATGGAATGTTACGTGCCACTCTGTCTTTTATGTCGCCAAATAAAATTATTGATTACTTTTTGCAGTAGGGCCAAATCCCTTTTGGATATTTATAAAGAAAATTACATGGTTACATAGCTGACCTTATGTCGTATGTAAAGTCCTATTCATGAATAGATTTCCTATTTGCCACAGGAATGCCGGCTGCCTGTACCTATGGCTGAGCATGCTGGAGTCCTCGGCGTGCACCTAGAGTAAACCGCCGCAGCTGTGGACTGAGACGCGGTGAGGGACCTCCAGGTAAGTGTAGTCGTGACATTTAGTCCCCTCCAGTGCCCCTCCCGAGATTTGGTTCTGGATCCGCCCCTATGTAGGGGTTCATTATGTGTGTGTGGAAGGGGTGTAATGTGAAAAGGGGTGTTGTGTGTGTGTAGGGGTTCAATATGTCAAGTTATATCACCCCCCCCTTTGAATCCCAGGTGGTCCAGTGGTGGCACGCACAGTTCAGCCTTCAGCTCCGCTGGCTGCAAGCTGACTACTCTCTCCTTCCACGAGTACAGTGCAGTGTCGGAGCGTTGCCATGGTAACGCGTGGCAACGCTCTGACCTGCCTGCTCGTGTTGCCTCCCATGCCCTTTCTCCCTTCCTATGCTGTAGCAGCAAAGTGCCTTGGGGCCAGTGAGGGAGATCTTTGAACTCCCCACCGGCCCAGGAAGGCAGATAGCATAGCCTGCTCTGCATGAGGCCGGCAGGGAAGATGAAAGGATCTCCCTTGTCGGCCTTGGCACATGGGGAAAGGAGCCAGCTCTGCAGAAACTGGGACATTTATGCGTTCCGAGAATGATTCTCGGGATGCCGGGACAAACAGGTGAAAACTGGGATGTCTGGTCACCCTGATCTAAATTTATGTGCCAGTGAGTGTATCATTGTTTGTGTGTGCCTGAGTATACGTGCCAGTGTCTCTATCTTTGTTTCACTGTGTATCTGAGTGTGTGCCAGTGTGTGTATCTGAGTGTATGTGTGTGCGTGTGTTTCAATGTGTCAGTGTGTATCTGATTGTGTGTGTGTGTGTGTATATAATAGTGCATGTATGTATGTGTCAAGGTGTTCACACGTTTGATGGCTATGTGTGTGTGGGGGGAGGGTGGCGCAGTAGTTGGTGAAGCCACCACCCTGGAAAGCATTTTTGCACGCTGGTTTCATTGATATGCTTTCCTAAAGAAATGATTTTTTTTTGAAGAAATGGAGACAGGGTGAGAGTCGACTCAATGACAATACACGATCCTCCGGATTGGCTGAACCACTTCCAGGCCTGGGAGGCGATCACTGTATGAGCTGCGCGGCCTGGCTGCAGGGACTGTAGTAACGTGTCAGTTTTTTTAATTGTATCGACAATGGGGAGTGTCCCTTACAGGCTGGCAAGCCATCATATGAGTTCTAGTTCTGTAAAATTCTTGCATCCAACCATTTCGTTTACAATCCCTGTCCTAAAGTTTTATGAGTCTGAAGAAAGAAGAAGGTTGCGAAACCCTTGTTTGCAGCCAAACAGCATGACATCACCCATGCCATGGTTCCGTGTCAGCGCTACTGCGCATGCGCCAAGGCTCAGCGCCAGCGCCGCATTTCACACCGCGCATGCGCCAACCCACCCCCCCCACCCCCAATCCCGCGGCTTTACAAGCTCTCGCGAGAACTCCGTGTTTTATTCCTACGTAATGTGCCGTGCTGCTTATGGCGGCGCTGGTGATGGTGCTGTGAGCTGTTGGGGTGAGTTTGGCTTTGTGAGCGGGTATCTTGCCCTCAGACCCCACCATTGTCCCGGTACATGGCTGGCTGAGGCGGTGAGGGTGTCGGGAAGGGCTGGCATGCAGTGATAGCGGGCGGGGGAGGTCGGAGAGGGTATCCGCTGCTGGCCCTCAGTGTTGCGCCTTATTGCATCGTAATGGCCAGCCTGTAATGGCTCGCGTGGACTACATTTCCCGTGATGCTCGGCCGGCTCTCCGGCTGGCTAGTCATCATGGGAAGCGTAGTCCGCGGCAGCTCGCCGTGCTAATGGCTGTGTATTGATGGCGAGGCTGGCTGTAACACGCACTGCAGTCACGGTGTATACGGCCTCCGTGGTGGGGAAGGCTGGCTGTTCGAATAGCGGACAATGGGGGGGGGGCACACAATGCGGTGCCGGAGGGCTGGGTCTCGGGCAGGCACGGCCAATGCGAGGGCGCAGACTCAATCCGCGGCTCGCGCTGGCCAGGCCACGACCTTCCTGGGCCCGTGATGCGCCGTGCGGCACGCTGGGAGTTGTAGTCCGCCCTGGCGTGTTCAGTTGGAATGGGTCTTGTTGGGAGAACTACAAATCCCTGCAAGCACCGGGCTGATCTGGGAATGTGCTTCCTTTCATGCTGGGGCTTTTTGTTTCCCTCTCCATGGTGTCGCAATAGTAACTCACATGACTCGGCGTGTTTTGTGTGTGTGTTCCTTGGTGCATTTTACGGCCTTTAGTTTCAGGGCTTATAAACTGATTGGAGACCAGCTGATGTGGCTGTTGGAGGGCTGTACATGAAGTGCTGGCCTGCAGTGTGTGCAGTCTATACACAGCAAGGAATCAGTGAATCAGGCAAATTGTTTAATATGTTACCGGGAGCCATCACTTTAACACATGCTACAGGGCTGCTCACCAGCACGTGTTAATGTGTGTCCAGGGAAAAATGGTGGATCTGGAAAGCACGGGCTCATCATAGCTCATCTCTCTTGTAAGGGGAAGGAAACATGCAAGACACGTGCAACTGCATTTCCCTTTCTCAGGAATGAGTGTACTTGTAATATGAAGCAATCAATGTTTTGGGATTTTTTTATTTATTTTTTTAAAGCTAGTGTTGCTGAAAACAGATTTGCCCAGTTTCCAGTAGACAGAGATAAATATATATATATCTATATATCTCGAATTTCTTTAATGTAAACATTTTGTTGGCTGGCAGGAGGTGTTAAACAGCTGGAGGTCCATAGTAGGACTGCCCCTCCCCTAATGCATACAATTAAAACCTGGTGGTTGTAATTATTTTTGTGCTTGTGTGGGCTTTGGGATGCTGTCGAATTGGACATGCATAGGACAAAATCTATGAAAAAGTGCACTTTTGACACTTACTGTGCTTAGAATAGTGCATCTAAGAGTGATTTTCATTATTTTATAGAAAAAAAGTGTAAATACATCTTTGTCGTTTTATTAGACATTTTGTAATATGGGAGGTATGTGTATTTTTCTATTCTTAAAGGATCAGTTTTATACATTATCCACACTTCTGGTTGATGCCTGCTAACATTAGATTAGCTTTCACCATTGCAATAGCTTTGCTGCATATAGTTTTGACACTTCATAGTGAAAAGGCTTTGCTTGTTTATCTTCATTACAGGTTGACCATGTGGACCGAGCATGTCTTTATGAATAAACCATAAATGGTGGAGGGGTGTGCTCTTTAAACAACCTGTCGTGTCTGACTAAAGTAATAACCAGATCTTATTTTACTATGTGGTATATTTTCTTAAATTATACAGCTTACCTTATGGTTGGGTTGTTTAAACTTAAAAACACTGTGATCTCTAAAAATGCTGAAACATACATTTTGTTTTTTTCTATACACTGTTTTACCTCAAAGGCACCATCGTTCAGTACATATCCTTTTAGAGTGACATGCTGGCATGGGTTCATGGGAGCTATTTTTTCCAAAGGAAATTTTTGGTTTGCCCTCTGTAGGTGTTAGCCATATAGCCCTCTGAAAAGCAGTTTCCAGTGAACCAATCAAAGGCTGGAATAGTGGAAATATAGGATCACGTCATTATTGCAATAGAGGAAAAAGAGTCAATACTGGTTCTGAGATTCTACACGTTAAGCTATTGAATATATACATGAAATATATTGAAAGAGAATTTTAAAAACCCCAGGAATTTTATCTCGGCAGTCTTGGCCTACACCGTTCTTTGTCTATCCTTCTAACAGGAAAGTAGTCTTTTCTAAGTGGGAGGAATGTAACTCCTCACACGCCTGCTGGCTTTAAAAAAAAAAACAAAAAAAAAAAAACCTTGGTTATAAATAGTGAAATATCTGTTTAATAATTATACTGCGGAGCATACCCATTTGCCTATTAATCCTTCTATTGACAGAGAGCAGTATCGGTGTATATCAGAGATGCATATGTGTATATTCTAGTACCTTACTTGTCAGTCTGGACACAGTGAAAACCTAGACATGCTTGACTGCTAGCACAACAGCAAACCCAATGAGGGGTTACATGAAACATATTTTGGAATGGAACTATGGGTGAGACCTTCATCTACCTTAACACCAAAACAGCTAGTTACACATCATTTGAACATTGTCAAGAGGAAGCTAGTGTCACAACTAAAATCAGATGGAATACACCAAACCTCATACATGAGGAGGAAGAAATTCTGATACCTTAGGAGGGTTCCTAACCTGAATTTCTTGCTCAAGATGGCATAATGGGTGTAAGATGATCATAGAAAAGCTAGCAGTCCTTGACCACTGGACAAGATGATGAAAGATCGCTGGGAAAACGGTCACCAGACATTATTCTGGCTGAGGCACTGTCTACAGATCGTATGCCACAACATTAGTCTGACTAAAAGATCAGGCTGAAGGGACAAAAAATGCCCACCATAAAGGCAACATATAAGTAGTTAGCAAGCTGTATCAACTTCAGAGGTGGAACGATCAAAGATAGACCTTGCCAACTGGGCAAATACAAGGGTATGCATGTACCAGAGACACTGGAAACCGCTAAGCAGTGGCTAACTGCGCTGGCAACCAGACTGAGCAGATGCACCAGAGAAGCAGAGGCTGAGAAAATACATGCTTTGTTTTTTTTTTGTTTATATAGCGCCATCAGATTTCGTAGTGCTGTACAATGGGTGGACTAACAGACATGTAATTGAAACCAGAAAACTGAACGTACAGGAACATTGAGGTTGAGGGCCTTGCTCAATGTGCTTGCATTCTAGTGGGAGTGGGGTATAGTGACACAAAGGGTAAGGGTACTTGATCCATTCAAGGTGTATGCATAGCTGCAGGCTTACCATTTATCCACCCAAAGATAGAACAGTGCTGGAAGAATATATGGGGGAGAGAAGCATCACTTAAAACAAAGACTCAGTGGCTTCTACAACTGAAAGCAGTCTACTGCATGCTTTCAGAAAAGGAACCTGTCACCATCATATTGGGAGATCAAACCATGAATAGCCCACATAAAGACTTGTTTAGACCCAGGACTTGCTATGACCCACACCTATTGGGTAAAGATGACAAAACACTGTTTGCTAAGAGTGAGTGGGGGCATTGACTCCCTAATCCACCTAACTCTGATATACAGCAAGGACATCAGAATCTCGTTCCAACTAGAGAAGTGTGGGTGACTGATGTCAAAAAAGAGGCAAGATGATCAGGACAGAAGGTCAAATATGAGACACATGGAACGTCTACAAGTACCTCAAACACATGGCAACCATGAGGAAAAGGCAGGGAACATCAAAGTACCTTCAATGTCACAGGTCCTGAAGTCCCTTTTCAATGGCAATAACAAGATCCAGTCATCTGGTACCCAGCTAGAATAATAACCTGGCCAAGCGAAGAGTTGGTCACCATGGATGTCAACATCCAGAAACTACTCCCTATGAATGGAGGATTCCATCCAGGTACTGTACACCTTCCGAAAGCAAGGCGATCAGGGACTGAGTGTCATGGCCACAGACCTGGATGAAACCCAGAGCATCAACGAGTACATGACAAAGATGAACTACTAAGGGAATGTCTGAAACAGGATGCAGAAAATGTGGTTCTATGGCAAGACAAACCTCTCCATGGGGTGTACAAATGGCAGTGAATGTGCCTCACATTACGAAATCCTGCCAGTGGTTGGAAATTGCAGGACATAGACTGCACTGAGGCACTAATCCTAGCAGCATAGGAATACACTTGACGCAAGCACTATAGAACCTGGGGTCTTCCACATCTGACAAAAACCAAGGTGCAGACTGTGCAAAGAGGCCTCTGCAACAATCCAGCACATAGTAGCCAGGTACAACATATTAGCAGGAATGGCATACACTGAGCGACACCTCAAAGTTGCTGGGATTGTGTACTGGGCTGGACTTGCCGAAGTTCAAATGGGAATTGCCACAAAGGGTAATTGAAAATTACAGGGCTACGATCCCGTGGGACTTTCAGATACAGACACTCATTTTGGCAAACCAACCTAGCATCATGGTGGTGGTTGATGTGGCAATAGCCAGTTACAAGAACATCAAGAAGGAAGAACATGAGGTGGACAAATACCAAGGACTGAAAAAGGAGTTTGAAAAGATGTGGAAATTGAAGGTGGTGGTAGTTTGGTTTTGTGATTGGAGCTTGGCTTTAACAGATTCCAGGGATCACTGTCCAGAAGAGTGCAGTTTTAGCAACATCTAAGATGCTGCACAAAACTTTCAGCTTCCCAGGGAAAAACAATTTAGGGGTGAGAAAATCAATTCTACATCTCTCATTAAGGCACTTAACCTCATATGTGCCACATAGGGAATACACCCTCTACTCCCCAAGCAAATCAGCGTGAAAGTAGCCTAACCAGGACCCTTGTATAACATTTCGGTTCTACTGCAGACTTGTGTAGTATTGGTTTTCAAATTGAGTAATTTGTAGTTGGTTGCATAAGGGATAAAAAAACCTCAGCACTGGTTCAGACTTTGCTTCCGTTCCTCCCCTGCCCTCAGACGCAGTGCTCTCATTAGTACTCCCCTTTCCCCCCGCCCCCCATATAGGAAAGCATGTGCAATGCTTTCCAATGGGGATTTGGGCTTGCTGGATGTCATCGTGCATAGAACGTCCAGTGTCAGGCAACCAAAAGTCGCTATACTACCTGGAAGTCCCTCTAGTGGCTGTCTAGTAGACTGCTACTAGAGGTGGAGTTAACCCTCAAAGGTAATTATTGCAATTTCTTAAACTGCAATAATTAAATTTGCAGAGTTAAGGACCTAGGGCACAGCACCCAGACTACTTCAATTAGTGGAAGTGGTCTGTGAGCATCTAATGTCCCTTTAAGACTGGCAAACTCCAATTGTGCTAGTAAAATTCAGTCTCTGTAGCACACTCCTGAGAGGGATGGTGGAATTCCTCTGATCTTGTGATGGTAAGATCCAAGCAGATTTTTTTTTTTTTAATTCTTTATTTTTATTTATGTTGTGCACAAGTATAACATTATGCCTGTGCAGCCACAACAGCTGGCACAAGCAAACCTTTTACTTCATAACAAACAGGTATTATGGGTAAAGCATTGAGGGTAATGTGTCCAGTTTTAGTCCATGGTAGCAGGAAGGAGCACACGGTTTCAAGACAGGTTGATCCTGAAGTCCCTATTGTAGTGGCCGTCTAGGTGTGTTAGGCACATTACTGCTCCGATCGTGGGTGATGTTATGTAGTCCTGCTATCAGTGGACTTATCAATGGGTCTGTGGGCTGTCATTATGGTGCAGCAGGGACTAGGCTCCGAGGTGGCTAGTGAAAGGACATACCCCCATGACTAGGGAGAAGATGTGTCAGTGTGGCCTGTTAACCCGCCTGTAGGGTGTTTGTTTAGGTGCATGGGTATCCATGTCCCTAATATGTCCGTTCGTGGCCTGTCAAGTCATCAGTCAGTGAGGGTGGCCCATAGCCCGGTTTATGAGTGAGAGATTGTCGGTGTGTCCGGCTAGGTTCTAGGGACCCCTGATTGATTGTGTGCCTCAAGTGCTAGCGCATTTGTGTTGTGTGGGCTAAGGTTGTGTGATTGCTCTGGTCGTTAGTCTAGCCTAGGTCGGTGGCAGGAGGGAAGTGTAAACAGCGGGTGTCACCTGGTGGAAGTCCTGTAGGGTAAAGTCGTCGTTGGAGGTGCATCGCATTACTTGTGTGGGCTTTCTTCGTTTTCAACAGGCAAGAGTGTGTTACAGTCTTTGGCAGGTCCCGGGGGTATTGATGTCCCCTACCCTCCGTCATTCAAGCCGGTTTATGGTGGGTTCAGTCTTCTTGGTTCTCTATGCTTGGTTCCCGCCTCTGGATTCCGTCTCCGTGCCGGCCTCTTCAGTCGCCGATGTTGTTTCTGCATTTGTCGCAAGTTTTGCCTTCTGCGGCAAGTTAAGTGCCATCAGGAAACCGGTTGGGTCCTCTTGTGCAGAAAGGGTCAGTATCTTGTCTCCCTGCTGTACCACGAGGGTGCCCAGTGCTCCCCATCTGTATCGGATCCCGTTTTCCCTGAGTTCCTTCGTCACGGGCATAAACCTCCGCCTCTCCAGTAGGACATTGAAGGGTAAGTCATCGTATACCCGTATTGAGCATCCGTCTACTCTGATGTCAGAGGTATTCCTCGATCGTGCCAGGATTGCAGCCTTAATTGAAATGTCTCGGGTGACAGCTTTGACGTCTCTGGGGGCATCCGCAGGGGCCGTCGGAGCCTTTCGTATTCGGAACGCGGTCAGGAGGGGCATGTCGCCAGCTTTGGTTTGTACTCCCAGCGTTTTTGCTACTTCATTGGCGAAGTCCAGTATAGTCTCCGTGTTCACTCTTTCGGGTATCCCGCGGAGCCGTACGTTTTTCTTGCGGTGTCGGGATTCCAGCGAGGTGACCGTGCGGGTAAGCCCCTGAATTTGTTGGGACATAGTTTCTATTTGGGCTCGGGTCTCCTTGAGCTCCTGCTCCCTGTGTGATTCCTTAGTTTCCACCGCCGCAACCCGCGTGGAGAGGCCATCAACCTCTGTGCGCACGCCAGCCAGGTCGGCCTTCCATACCTCACGTAGGTCTATCAGTAGTTTTTTAATGTCCCCTTTGGTAGAGGGTGAGGTGTCGGAGTCCGACTCTTCGCTCCCATATACCTTGCTCAGGGTCCTTGCTGGCATAAAGCTGTCTTCCTCCAGGGACTCATCTGAGTAGCTAGAGTCTCGAGTCCTTGTGGGCGCCATCTTGGGTAGCGAGGTCTGCTGCAGCCTTTCAAAGGACTCTCGGATGTCCGGCTGTTTTGCGCTCCCCGAGTGAGTTAATTTGCGGTTTTTTCGCCCCATTGCGACCTGGAGGGGTTCTGCAAGAGCTGGTGTGTATTTTTGGGGTTAATTCTGTCTGTTTTCGTGGCGATTTGTGCTATTTAGCCGTGAGGCTTACGGGAGCTCCACAGCAGCACGTCTTGTTCTTTGCCCGGCTAGCCACGCCCCCCCCAAGCAGATTTTTGAGGTGACAAATGTTTTTTTTTTTTAACTCGATTTCTGTATTCAAGAATGTCGTGGGGAAATTACATTGCCTTATATTGCTGCAGCAAATAAAAAAATTGCTTCCCTAATGGAATCGTCCCTGGTTAGGGCACACACATTGTTATACCATCCAAAAACAGAAAACCCAATTTGTTGGAGATCCAGAATTTTATTTTCTTTCTTTTTTAAAGCCAGTTTAATATGTCTATAGCACAACGTTCTTCCACTGCCTATGTATAAAGTTCAACTCTCAACTTTGTGTGGGGTGCTACTGTTGAAACAGTAAAATTTTAAGCAGTACTTTGGCTTGCTGTATGTGAAATGTTATGCCAATGCATATCCAGATGTGCTGGTCCTGAAGAAACATTGTGTGAGTAACAGGTTGACTTTCACAGTGTCCAGTTAAGTGATTTCACTGTATTAAAATTACTAATTGGACTTTCTATAGTTTGCTTCAAATTTCTGCCCTCAGATCCCAGGAAGTAACTGGGAGTGTGTGTCCAATTTTGGACTTACATTTTTATTAATCTGACTGCTTGGCATTACCCCAGCAGGGCTTTATAGGTTTTGTGTGGTTAAACACTCTCGCAGAAGTGTGCATAGGTTACTTGGTATTAATATGCTGGCATCATTATAGACACTATAGGGGGGTTATGTGTAAAATGTTGTTCTGAAAAGTAATTTAAAGTACAAAAAGTGGGGCAGTTGTCATGGAAACAAGTAGAACCTGCAGGCACATCACATATGCAACACCCCCCTCACTCCATTTCTGTGCTACTTTTCTGAACACTCTTTTTATGCAATTACCCACTTTGTCTAGTCAATATATTTACCGGTATATGGTTAATGTTTAAATGGGAGCCAGAACAATGATACATTGATAAGCGTATTACATTTGTCTGTATCTTAATGTTTGTTTTTTTTGTGTGAAATTACATGACATTCATTTAGGCCCTTTGTGTACATCTGTGTGGGTTATTTTTATTTTATTTTTTTAATGCGACAATCCTGTTCCTAGCAGCTGCACACATTTAGGTCTCTGAAGGAATTCTCATGCAGCTGTTATAGCTGACTGCTCCAGTGCCTATTAATAGCTGCAGATTTTGAGTATTTCGTACAAGCGCTCTGTATTCTGAGACCATGACTTGCAGATTTTGTAGTCCTTGCCATGTGAAGGAATGTCAGTGATTGGGGAAGCTTCTCAGCCTGCCAATCTGCATTGTTTACTCCTCGAGAGCTTTCTATTTCCTTGGAGCATATTTTAGTACATTTACAATTCTTACATTGTACACCACACAGGGACAAGTTAAATGGTGATAACTTGTCCCTGTGTGGTGTACATAGTATGTGGTACTTAGCAGAATTAGCAAAGACCACCGATGGTGATGTCGCCTGGGCATGGGGGCAGGCTAAGATGAGATTTACGTAACTGATCCTGTCTCTCACAAGTGGTGCCATTTTTCGCTCAGCGGTTAACTTCAGCGCCAGGAACTGATGTCGCTGATGTAGTCTTGCCCATTGCAAGAGTTCATCATCAAGGTCTCTGGTGGATCTATAGATAAAGCAAATTCCCTGCAGCCGTCACTTGTCACGGCTTTTGTGTTTGACCCTTCTGGATAGTGGTAGCTTTACCCAGTGTTGAAGTGTCAGGCATAGGAAATATGACCACGTGATCTTTGGCCAGTCGCACATGATGGTAAGATCTAAAATATTTCTACACATTAGTGCTTTATGAGAAGATGAATTTATTTTCCTCTTCTGTATTTGTCTTGTGTTTTGATCACACAATTGGGGAGGTGGGGTTGTTCCAGGAGAACCCAAATAGATCTATATTTTTATTTTTTATTTTTATTTTTTTTAGGCTTTCTCAATTTTTAGCCAGAGCCATGACTTAAAGGTACACTATAGTAACCAGAACAACTACAGCATATTGTATTTGTTCTAGGGAGCATAATCAGTCCCTTCACACTTTTTGCAGTGAACACTTTTTTTTTTCCCCAAGATAAAGGTCACTGTTTACATTACAGCCTAGAGACCCCCTTCACTAGACACTTCTCAGATGGCTACTAGAGGGTCTTCCTCTGCATGGAGACACAACTTTCCTCATGGAGATGCATTGATTCAAGTCATCTCTGTGAGGAGATGCTGATTGGCCAGTGGTGTTTGGCTTGAGCTAGCTCTGATCTGTCTCCTTGACAGTCTCTGCAAATCCAATGCTTTTCATATGTGAAAGCATTGTGATTGGTTCAGATCAGCACTTCTGATGTCAGCCAAGTAGACAGATCAGGGGCAGAACCAAGCACCGGCAGACTGGAATAAAGGTAAGTTTTTACTATATTTAGGGGGATATAGTTTTTAACATTATAGGGCCAGGAATACGTTTGTGTTCCTGACCCTATAGTGTTCCTTTAAATAGAAGTTCAGGTGCAGCATGTATTCAAATTTAGTGTCACTGGATTCCTTCTGTTATTTGTTGATACGTTAATATTCCAGGTCCTGATTGGGATCTATCCTGATGATGAAGCATTTCCCAGGGTCCTATTGTGCCCTGAAAAGCAAGAGCGCACAGACGGTCATGCCATTCTTTAGGACCCCTGGAGTCTAGGCTGTGGATTGACTTTTTTTAGAATATCTAAAAATGAGTGGGTCTGTATGTGTAATACCCAGCATAAAAACAAATTATTGACTTTAAAGTGTGCTTGCTGTCCTGACTAGCGCAGGTAATTTGTACTGCCAATGCATATTCTCTTTTTAAAGATTGTAGAATGCATTGTTGCCCATTAGATGCGTTAACTTCTTTTCTACTAGATAGTTACTAATTTTTTTTATTTTATTTTTTTCATTTTCTAGTATGAAGTGTAACAGACCAGAAACTACCACCTGAAACTGCTGCTTCAAGTTCAGATCAGTCAAGGAACACCTGCCACAATAGTAACCAACAAGACCAAAGAAGAGAACTTGCGCTGAAGACACAACGCTTGATCTGAAACAAGAAGTTTGTGCCTACTCAACAGCTACACAAGAGCACTTCCCAACGCTGCTATTAGTCTTTGTTTTATTCTCAGTGCTGCACTTTGCCACCGCCTAGTGCAGCGGGAGTTGTCTTTCTTAGCTCGATAGATCATTTTCTCTAGCTATCTTTTAATACTAGCAACCGAAAACCTTCTGAAGCCTGCGCTGTCCGAAAAAAGAAAAAAGCAAAAAAAAATTGTTTAAATACTACTGAAAGTGCAATACCTGAATATCTCATCAAGGTGGGTGTATTTTCATATTTCTCAGTGTGTGGTAGTTAATCCCTAGTACATATTTGAGTAATTTTTATTCTAATTACTTGCACTAACATCACCATCATGATTATTGAGCACAGAATTACTTGGGAATAACCTAGTTTTACAAAAACGTTGTTTTGAAATACATGACTCTCGTTATGCCTATGGCCAAGGAAGTGTACTGAACACCACTAGAGGTCCTATATTAAAGGACCACTATATGTACCCAGACCACTTCAGCTCAATGAAGTGGTCTGGGTGCCATGTCCCCCAGGTTTTAACCCTGCAGCTGTAAACATAGCAGTTTCAGAGAAACTGCTATGCTTACACTAGGGTTAATCCAGCCTCTAGTGGCTATCTCACTGACACGCTAGAGGCGCTTCTCACTGTGATTTTTCTGGGCGTCCATAGGAAAGCATTGAGAAATACTTTCCTATGGACTGTTTGAATGCGTGCGGCTCTTGCCGCGCATGCGCATTCAGCGCTGACGTCTGGAGGAGGAGAGTTCCCTAGCACTGAGGGAGCCCAGAGCTGGAAAAGGGTAAATGTTTAACTCCTTCAGCCCAGCGGGAGTGGGACCCTGAGGGAGGGGGACCGAAAGACCCTATAATACCTTGTTTTCCTGGCACTATAGTGGTCCTCTAACCATTTGAATAGTTCAGTTGCAAATGGCTTGAGCTGCAATAAAGTGCATTTTGTTTGCACGCTTTAAACCATTGAATTTGGCTTTTTACACATGCTCTGCAACTTGTTTCATGGATTGACAACCTGTTTATATATCCGTTCTGTACGATCCGATGCGCATAGAGTGGGCTTTAGACTGGAACGTGTTCACCTACAATTAGCCATACTGTTCTCTTAATCCACGATAACGTGGATAAATGTAGTTTCACTTATTTTATGTTAAAAAAAAAAAATATCTTGTTCAAGTCATCCCTCACCAAATGTCAGTTACAAAGTGTACTGTCTTGCTCTTCAATGTTATTGGCTACTGAAAGTGTTTTTGTTAAACTGAGGTCTTTTCTGCACAAATACTGGCAGAGCTCATTTTCCAGCCATTGCCTAATTTTATCTTCAGAGCAATATACCCTGGGAACTGTAGGCATACAGCAGGCGTATGTTCTCCCACACCTGTACTGGGAAAGACCGTATCACTATAGTAAATGAGCAGTTGTCTGGTGCCCAACAACAAGTGCTTGTTCCAATAATGGGAACCCAGTTGTCCTAGCTAAATGTCTAAGAACCACTGCTTTAGAGATTGCATCTGTGGCAGGGAACTCATAAGGTTTTAGGTGATCCCCCTTCTCCCTACAATGCCAAAGTGTATGTGGTTGATAACGTTAGGCATGCAGAGGCTTACACAGTCTTAAAAGTCAGTCAATAACTTGACAGACTTCTATCCATGTTTAGGTGCGGGGGAGGGTTAGGGCTAATCCGTAAGGGGAATGATCTTTTAGGAATACATGTTGAATAAGTCTTTGGCACAGTTGGCATTCCTGGAGTAAGAGTTCAACCACAAGCTCTCCACAGTAGATGACAACTGGACAACTGTCAGAAACAAAAGGCATTCCATAGTTTAGTTGTATTTGAATGTAAAAAGTAAATGGTGGGATTATGGAGTTGGTTTTTTCTCTTTAATAGTGTTGGAGTAATTTATATAATTTCTGGGTAGTCATATACTCAAGTATTTGTGAGCAATTGGGTGACGCATTTTTCACAAAATTACGTTTTTGAAAAAGTATTCTTTAGAGTCACATTATGCAGGAAGTGACTCCAAATTTTTAGTTCCACTATGGCTAGTATGTTAATCATGTAAAAAAAGTCAACATAGTTATACTCCTCTTCTGTCCCATTAAGGACCAAGGCTTTTTTGGCACTTTATTTTGTGTTCATTCTAACAATGTCCCCCTTTTCTGTTTAAGTGCTCCTATTAACATTATATTTAACACTTTAAATGAGAAAAGGGGCTTTCTTTTGTTACCCTACATGTATAAGCTATAAAAAAAAAAAATCCACGTTTTTTTATTTCATTTCTACACAAGTGCAAATAAAAAAAAAAAAAAAAACTCTAATTGGATTCATTAATTGGTCCTGTATGTTTAGGACTTCATTTGGTTTTTATAAGTTATAGAACACATCCTGTAAGGAGTGAGTTATGGTTAATATCAGAATCCAAAACTGCTATACAAAAGTATATATTTGTTGAAAGTATGTTAACCATTTTAACACTTCTCTTTTAACCATTTTTATCACAAACCTAGGTCATATTTTATTCCATTTTCTGTGGAAATGCACAGACCAATACTGCACTTCATAGTCTGCTACTGGTTTAGAGTACGTTGATACCCGACATGCATAACTTTTGCTCCTAATCCTAGCTCTGTTGATGTCAGTAATGATATCCGCATAGGGCTTGTGAGTACTCTGTACTGTAGAAAGCAAGATGGTGTGGCACTCCTGGAGACAGTGCACTGGTTCCTACACAATTTGGTACTCTGTGATGAAGGCCCGCATCCTCCAAGTCATCTCAAGTAGCTAATCCACAGGTTCAACAGGTAAAGTGCATCATCTAGGTTTATTAAAGACAGGGACTCAAATATACATTTTGACCAACATGCCTTAACCATACATGAAACTGTGGATTCTCTACTTGATAGTACACGCCGTATTGTCATTGCAGTGTGAGATGGCAATATCCTCTCATCCTGTAGCTCCAGCACACAAACTGGTGCTGGGCACTAGGCAAAGCCCAGCACCGATCTTGCAGCAGGGGACCTCACCAGAGTATTTTCAGACCCTGGGGTCTACTTGACATTGTTTTATCTACCAGAGCAACCCTCAGCCAACACATGAAAATCCATTTTAAAGGGCTATGAGTAGCGCTCACATTTATTCGGTCAGTCCGTTGCCCCAATAGAGAATAGACTAAAAAGTATTGAGATACCTGGACTTTCTTGGTACCAGCAAGGATTTAGATATGTTTACTGTATGACAGCCTATGCCTTCAACGGCATTAAAACTCTACGTTGAATGATTGCAAAGTCGTCTGGTCATTAAAGGGACACTACAGGCACCCAGATAACTTAGTGGTTTGGGTGCAGTGTCCCTGTTGCTTTAAACCTGCAGTGTAAACATTGCAGTATTAAGAATGTCTTTTGTGGCTGTGTAACCTCCTGCGGTTTGTTTGACTGTGAAACGACGCTGGACGTTCTCACACATCCAGTGTCTAGAAAATCCCCATAGGAAAGCAGTGAGGCAATGGTTTCCCATGGCGAAGGTCTAATGGGCACGCATGCATATTAAGTGTTTTCCCCCCATGCGTGACGTTGGAAAAGCATGATCCAGTGCAGAGGGAACTATGAAGAGGAGTCCATACAGTCACTTAGATAAAATCCATTAATGAAGCTACAGCTTTGCTAATAGCTATACTATTACCCTAACAGATGGTTTCATGCAGTTCATGAATTTTGATTAGTGGTTGAAAAGCTTTCAAATGAAAGATTATCTTCAACACATTATGAAGACATGCACATTAATTCCTTATGAAACTTGTACAACTCTCCCACAGAAAATAGGGGAACATGAGCGCCACTTCCCAGTCTAAAAGCTTGCTGAAAGTGCTTTGGGCTGGTACCAAATGGGAACTCTCTGGTGGTTTCAATTGCCATATAACTGGCTTGGTATTCCCTGTCATTCGTGTAACTTAATGCTTTTGTGAACCTTGGTACCCATACTCCTGATTAATCCTTCATAAATGAACACTCCAAGCACCATAGTAGATACAGCCTGCTGTTGTGGTTACCCTCCCATGATAAGTATTAAAGCTATTTATGAATGGGTTGACAACCTGTCTGAGGACCATTGGATCTGGTCACAGCCCTGCTCGTTTTCTGAAGATGTGCAGAGTGCCGCCGGTCAGGGACGTCATTGATTGCCTTAGAGCATCAAATGCCCAATATAAGCCAATCACTAGTTTCCTATTCATAAAGTATGTGGGTTTTTTTTTTTGTGTGTGTGTGTATGTATATCGATTACACATATACACACTTTTTAACACTCATCTACCTTATGAACTGTGTGGTGGTTCTTGTGTATAGCAATCTTTATTTCCAGATAACTGTGTGTGCAGAGTATCATTTGGAGATTTAGAAGAACAATTTCCTATGTCATGCACTGTACAAGATGAAAGCTACTTGGCAAACAAGAGCCCACTTCAGAATGTCCTTTAGTGCTAATCCCTAGGGCAGGGATAGGCAACCTTTGGTACGCCTGATGGTGTTGATTACATCCCTTATGCTCTTACACCCTTAATGCTGGCAAAGCATCATGAGATGCGTAGTCCAAAACATCTGGAGTACTGAAGGTTGCCTATGCCTGCTCTAGGGTATGCAGAGATCAGAAAAGGTCAAAGTCCTAGTTCTCTCCTCGTCATTCCATTATTTAAATGAAGGTGCTGTGCAAATCTGTAATAATCTGGACAATTCAGGTTGAATATGTAGCGATTAGGGATCGACTGTTTATCGGTTTTACCGATCTTCGTTATTTTCGGCAATATCTGTATCAGCCAATAAAGATCCCTATATTGACAATAATACACAGCAGGACCACCGGGCTCATTACAAGCTCGGTGGTCTTGGGGACCCGCAGCAAGCTGTTACTTAGCTTCCAAGCAGCTCCCTGTGTAAATCTTGCGAGTCCCGCGGCCGTCAGAGCGTTGCCACAGGTTACCATGGCAATGCTCCGTGTCTCACACAGACCGCAAGATTTAGACAGGGAGCTGCTTGGAATGTAACCGTTTGGTGCGGGCCCCCACTGCTCAGTACATGCCACTGGACCACCTGAGAATGCCATAGCCCCCCTCCCTGGCAAAGTAAGAAGCAGGGAGGGGGGACAAAAAAAAATATATACATTCACTCTGATATATATATATTCTCTATATCTCACTCTGCATTATGTCCTGATGAAAGCTCCCTAGAGGAGCTGAAACATTGATTTTCAGATGTATACTGGAGAGTAAATCTTTGAAATTCCTTGAGTGCCGGTATTTTTCCTTCATTTATATCAAAGCACCAGGTACTGTCTTTTCTTTACAAGTTGGAGTGCAAGGGCTTTCTGTATTTTTGTGTGTATGTGTATACTCCGAGAGAGAGAGAGAGAGAGAGAGATATTATAAATATATATATACACACACACATACACACACACACACTCTGCATACACTATACGTGGCATGTATATTTTGTGCATTTAACTTTTTAGAAATAGTTTATTTTTTCAAAATGGTAAATGTACAGAATAAAGTTATCGGCCTGAAAGTTCACAGTATCTGCTCTAAAAAAATCAATATCGTTTGATCCCTAGTAGCGATCTGTCACAAGTAGTTTATAGCTATTCTGCACATTTTCTTGGACTTCTTGTGACCTTAACTGCACTATTAATATTTTTTATATTGCTGTAAAAGACCATGCATGCCAGACAATTATGTGGTCCGAGAGAAGCTGCAGCAGTTTTAGGAAATCGCAGATCTAATAAGGATGGGACAGTGCATATGTTAGTCTGAGGAACCTCCTGTATAAGACAGCATGTGGTCATGATGCTAGATTACACAAATTAATTAACCTCATAGTATTCCATCATAAAATATATAGTGCTGACAACATATGTTTAGTATAGATTGCTTATTTTTCCTGTTTATTGTGTCTGTGCAGTCAGCATGTGTAAACCTTGTGTCTAAACAAATCACAAAACTTAATTTGTCATTGGTTTGCAGACAGTGGAACAATTTAGTCTGCTACAAGTCACCAAGTAGCTTTACTCAGAACTTTTGACTTGAAATTGATGCAAGTACCATTTACACATGTTGAGTAGATTGAGGATCTCCTTATTTCAGAGCATTCTCATTGAGGTTCTGGTGACTTCTAATGTGAACGGTTTCTTACGTTTTCAGTCCTGGAATTAAATGGTTAAAGGACATGTCCCATTACATGCATAACAAAATAATGCTTTGAATTAATATTGGGAATGGGTATCTGCAGAAACACAATGTTTACTCTTAACATTGTTTTTAATTTTATTTTTTGAAAACCTAAACTGATTCTGCATATTTAATTTTTTTTTCCCTTCAATACAATCATTCCTTGTTTCTATATGTATTGTTTTTGTGACTTGTATGGTTTTAAACTGAAAAATCATTTTATATACAATTTTTATTTTATTATATACATATAAGTGTTTTCTTATTCTTTGTCCTCTGCTTTGCACTCTTCCTTCCACCTTGTGTCCTCCCATAACCTTGATTTGAGAGAGAAGTGCATTGGGTTCTCATCGACTTGGCTTCCTACTCATTATTGGGACCTAACCAGTATCATATCATACGGCATCTTGCAAATGAGCTTGTCGTTTCCAGCCACACGTGAATTGATCAGGTTGTCTTGTTTTGATTTTGTTATATGCAGCATTGTAAAATTAAGTTGAAACAGGAGTAGAAATATGGCAAGCACCTGGAAAGAATTTGTTGAATTTTCCATGCCGTCTTCTCCCCCTACTGCATACGTTAGTGCCAACCTGGGCAATGCATCTCCTGTCGGACTGACTTTATCACCTTATGGCCGATCAGTAAGTTATTTCACCCTACTAGAACTCTGCTACATTAATCCCTGACTCTAGTGCATAACAAGATCTGTGCCCTGCTCAAACATGGCCTTGTATTTTCATTTTTTTTTTTTCTGCCCATCTTCACTTTAATATTTTTACTAACTTAATAAAATCCCTCCATCCTTTATTTTTTGCTATCCACTAAAGTGCAGCATTACATATTTAAAACTAGTGTGAATATATATATATATATATTTATTTTTATTTCCCATCCCTCCCCCCACATAATCCCATTGCTTATGGGATCTCGTAAACTTGAGTTGTGAATACCAAACACTTGTTTATTTGCTTTACCTCTTAAATAAACAAATTGTGCCACCACTGACTAAAAATACAAGGGGAGTTTAAAACCTATGTAGACATGACCTACTGTTCAACTAAACCCCTTTCTAATAAAACTGCAAAACGCATCCTCAAGCATGGTCTGTTTCCAACAGGCATCCAATTAGCTGTGCTGCTGTAGCATGCAGAGCAACATTAATCAATGAAGAGTTTGTTTAATGCAGACCCATATTATATTGCATATATAAAATTATCATAATGGTAACAAAAGAATGAGGGTTAACATTAATAATGTTTGAGAACAGACTAGTTGTAATTTCAGTATTATCCATGTTAATGTCTTCTAATACAGTGGTTATAACATGATTTTCTATGTAGTTAACTGTAGTATACCCTGTCTGCGAAACCAAGAACTGGTTTCTTATTTAAAGGGACACTATAGTCACCCAGAACACTTCAGCTCAATGAAGTGGTCTGGGTGCCAGGTTCCCCAGGTTTTAACCTTTAAGATGTAAACATAGAAGTTTCAGATAAACTGCTATGTTTACATTGCAGGGTTAATCCAACCTCTAGTGGCTGTCTTCCTGACAGCCACTAGAGGCACATCCAGCGTGCAGAACCTCCATAGGAAAGCATTGAGAAATGCTTTTCAATGGACTGTTTGCGCGCGCAGCTCTTGCCGCGCATGCACATTCAACTCCATTCGGGAGCTGATGGCGGAAGAGAGGTCAACAGCGCAGAGTGAGCCCTGCACTGTATAAAGGTAAGTGGCTCAAAGGGTTTTAATCCCTTCAGCCCAGCAGGAGGGGGACCCTGGGAGTAGGGGGTCCTAAGGATGTTATAGTGTCAGGAAAACAAGCTTGTTTTCCTGACACTATATAGTGATCCTTTAAGTAATGTTACAGTGCATTCGACCTGCTTGCACAAGGTGTTTTGTTTATTTTTATTTTAAATCTAAGATTCCATGAGTATTTTTTCCTGTAGTCTTTGCGTAGGCCTGGATGTGTGTGCATAGTAGTTTTTGACCGTCCTGGTCTTGGCTTTTGTGGTGGGTATTTGTTATATACCTGTTTTAAGGCTGCCACTGGACCATATCCAGACATACGGTTTTAGTGCAAAAGAGAATATTTTGGGGGCTTGTGTGTGTGCTCCCTGTGATGTGTGTAAAGAAGCTGAAGCCTGTAGAGGTGTGTCTAGGACTGCCTAGGTGCTTTAACTCCTAAATTGCAGAGAATAGAGAAGTGGGAATGCATAATCTGTACACCAAAACAATTTCGGCCATAATCTGTACACCAAAACAATTTAGTTCGCATGTGTAATTCTATGTAATTTTCCTCTTAGTGCCTTTTCTGTGTACAAATACTAACATTTGATTTATTGTGCCAAACTCCAAACATGACACACACTAAAAAGTTAAATGTACAAATCCCCATTTACCTGCTAAAAGTAACATAAGATAAGAATTCTATAGACTGTCCGTTGATCAAGTAGTTTGGTTATAATTACTGTCACACATTCTTCTCCATAGCTTACTATTTCTATTTTGATCTTTGCAAAGTGGTTAAAAAAATGATTATTGCGATTAAGCACTTTAGATATATAAATTTGTCAAAAGATTTAACTGCTGGGTCTCTCCTTAGTAGCATTTCTGCTCGTTGGTTACCAGCGTGAAACTGTGGCCTGTAGAATCTCCCTTACATCAAATGAGATTGTCTACTGTGCATCATGTGAGAAGATGCATGTTTCATGGACCATCACAATGGTCAGCTGATTGGGAATGACAAGACACAAAAGCTTTCTAAAGTGATGTGTTCAGTTAGACAAACTGCACAGTAATTTTTGTTTGTGTTCGTGTTCCTGTTGTGTTGAACTTTTTAATCAGTCTCTATGGGGGGAAAATGGAAGTGACAGTGTTACTAAGCCTCCTTATTTTGATTGTTCATAATATGTAGTAATGTCAGAGAGTGACTTCTGTTTTTCAATTGCAATATCCATGCAGACTCTATTACTAAGCAATTTCTTCAATAAATATCAAAATCCCTTCTGTATTCGTAAACTGACTGGTACAGTATTGTCAGTGTTGCATATTCTTACGTGCGATTACCTAAATGATGCAAGCTATAAACATTATTACAAGCAAATATTGCTTACATTTATATGGGGGGGAGAGGGTGGCATATTTTTGTGGGGTCTAGTTCAAAATAATTCTCATTATATGGGACTGTTTGGAGCTTTGCAGAGAGTTGATGCACACTAATAACAATTTGTATTAAGGGGCACTGTAAGCCACAAACCTTTTTTACTATTTTGTTTTAATATAGTTTTTGGTGCATAGATGCTTTTCTTTTTAGCTAGACATTTGAAAGGGGCAATATAAACACCCATACCACTTCATGTCACTTTAGTGGTCTGGGTGAAGTGCCCCTGTATGTTTAACCCTGCCATATAAAACACTGCAGTTTTCCAGAAACTGCAGTGATTACATTGCAGGGATAACTTCTGCCTATCGTGGCTCTTCTGCTCGATAACGGAGTTTCAGTCTGTGAAATGTTACACTTTGCATGAGGACGTCTTATATCTATAAATTCCCCATAGGAAAGTATTGATGCAATATTTTTGTGTGGGGAAGCTTTAATGTGTCAGGTTAGTACCACACATTAGATTACCCACCTCACCTTACTATTTTTTTCCATATTAAATGTAATCCGGCATCCTGGTTCAGTCCAAGACCTATCATAGAGAAGCCAGTGGTTGGACTGTTTTGTGCGCTTAGAGCGCTCTAAACTGTTGAATGGGGCAGGTGGAGAGGACAAGAATATTGCGTCTGTTTCCGGTGCGCTGACGACCGATGTAGAATATGCACAGAACTGACAGAATTCATGGCTGCAAAAGTAGTGTCCTGGGGGCGTAACAAGCTCCAGCCCACAAATGCAAATATCTGGACATGCTGTGTGTAACGGATCACTGGGTACCTCTGAAGGATGCTCCTCGCGCTTCCTGAGGACTCCAAGCACTGCAGCAGATACCACAACCGGAGAAGCATACAAATGCTCTCAAGCATATGAATGCTGTAAGCAGCTGAACAGGAAAAGCATACAATCAGCTTACACTCCTGGCAATCAGCATACAATCCAATAACAAGACGATACTTCGTTTTGAGGTCAAGCAGAACTGACTGTACTGGAACATACAGCCTCTTTTATTCCCAATCCACAAATTTTAGTACTGCCCACAGGGTTTTACAGAACAACCAATAACACACATACATTACTGAAAACACTCCCAGCAATTATACACACAAGCCTCCCCTCTGCCTGTGATATAATTATGGTACACAATGGGTTAACATAATTATCACAAGCGGGAAAGTTTTTATACATGTGCTATAACTTTAAAAATATACGTCCAATCTTCGTGAATTACATATTCAGAATCAGCACACTTTAAACAAACTCTCTCAAAAATTAGACAAATCCATCCAGTAGATAGTTAGCTGGGAGTCCTTTGACTGACCGCAAGCACCATTTCCTGCCCCAAACAGTTCCATAGATTTGGGCTGTGCGGTCGGTCTGTTTTACACAGAAAAATGACTAAGTCCCATTCGAATGCACGAACGGGGCCATTCGTGCATTTAGCTTGGTATGGCAGGGAGTTCAAACTGCCGAACGGGACTTAATCTCTGCAGCTGAAAACTGAGTGTAGAAGAAGGTAAGGGTCAGCGGTGTTTGTTGCAATGTGTAGCAGATTTCAGTTCCATGGATTTGGCTACACATATCGCTGACCTCGTTCGTATGAACAAAGATGGCCGCGGCCACTTCGACTACTTCGGCTGCATCCGAAGTGCCAATTTAAAGCTGCAGAACTGCTCCAATACAATTTTTAAAGGGGCAGCAAGTCTTTTTTTAATCCAATCTGCTAAAATAGTCTTTAACAGGCAATATCTTCCAAGGGCATTGTTCCCAAAAGTCACAGTATGTCCCAAGATAGTCCTTAAAGGGCCAGCAGCATAATAAAATACAATATGCCCAAATACTGTATTTAAAGGGCCAAATCTCCCAGGGGTCATAGTCAGGAGGCAGGCAAACAGGCTTCTCCAATGCCCGGTGGCGAGGTTGGTTTCGCCACACTGTTTCAAGCAGAAATCCTCCACTTCCATACTCCATGACCACTTCAAATCACTGAAGTGGTCATGCTTGTGGGAAAACAAAATTCCTACTGAGCATTTGTGAGGCGCACCATTAATCCAGTGGTTTTCTGAGAAGCAATAACAATGTTCAGTTATACTGAACATAAAGACTTGTAATTGAAGGTTCCACTAATTTCAGATGTAAATTTACTAAAAGTGTCAAATTACAGATTCTCACAAACTTCAAAGTGTAAAGGAGCACTATAGTGTTCAAACCACCCCCTTAGAAAGTGTTAAAACGAGCCATTGGAATGACTAAGATTGTCAAGAAGGCGGGGCAGGGGCAAACATCAACCTGGCCAATCAGTATATACTCTAGAGATGCAATGAATGCATCATGAGGGTAAAGTTTAGTGTCTCCATGCAGAATGTCTGCACACTGCAGCACTGACCCAGGAATCACCTCTAGTGGCTGAGTGAGGAGTGGCCAGTGAAGGTGTCCTTAGGCCAGGGATAGGCTACCTTTTGGCACTCCCAGATGTTGTGGACTACATCTCCCATAATGCTCTTACACCCATAATTCTGGCAAATCATCATGGGAGGTGTAGTCCAAAACATCTGGAGTGCCGAAGGTTGCCTATGCCTGCCCTAGGCTGTAACGTAAACACTGCATTTTATCTGCAAAGGCAATGTTTACAGCAAAAAGTCTGCAGGAACAAACTATAGACAGCAGAACTACAACATTAAACTTTGCGTTTGTGAGACTCCATGGACAACCTCGAGGCACCTAAACAACTACATTAAGATATTGTGGTTTTGGTGCTTATTGCTCCATTAAACGGATTTCCAACTTGGAGCCTGACGCAATTTATTTTCTGCATTCTTACCTTTTATTTGGCCACGTGTAAATCCCTTATACATTTTAGTCATTCAAAAAATTGATTGAAAAAGTTGTGTAGCATTATTTCCCATGTTGTCATATTCTTGCAGTGATGGCCCTTCCCATGCTAACTGAAGTCAAAACCTTAACTGCTTGCTTACTTTTTATACACCATGCCAGTTGGATAATTGTTTGTGTCGCAAAGCCTTTTGGTGTGTGATTCTGTTCTTTTTCTGGTGTGCAATATTTAAAAACGTTCAACATACAGACCTCTAACCTTGAATTATTATCACAGCTCTATGTGATGGAGAAGCTATATAATGTACCAGCAGAGCCCCTCAGCCCATCTGCAGCTGGTCTTCCCACTCACACCTCTTCAGCATGTGGGTCTAAAAAGCAGAAGAGGACCCCTTTGTATCAAAGATCTGTAAGTCAGGGAAGCCGTGTGTATCTCATCAGTTGGCCCAACATTGTTGGGCAAGAGCTTTGCACGGTTTTGTGAATAACCATACTAAAATGTCTGGATTTGCATCACTGAATAAATTGATACCACTTTATTTTAACTTTTTTTTTTTTCTTTTTTCCTCCCCTCTAATTCTTTAAGCTAATAGCGCATGTATGCTATGTACATGCTCTCCACTGTCAGAATGTTCATGCGAAACCTTAAACACACACTCCCCCTTTTTCCCCCTTCCCCCTTATATTTGGACATTGAAACTGAAGCCATATTAACTTTTTTCTGACTTAATTGACTTGTTTTAGATTTTGTTCTGATATCAGTTTGCTAGACTTCTGAAAATATTGATATTTGACTATTTTCTGGTAATGAACCCCCTCACACACACTCTAATTTGCTCTCTCCATACCCACACAATTGTCTCAACACTCGTTTTTTTTTTTAAAGTTTTGCTTTGTTCTGCATCTTTGCTATTTCATTTTAGTACATCTGTTTTCACATAACCGTTCTTTTTTGTTTCAGTGAATGAGCATGGTGTTAAGTACAAAGCCCATAGCATTACTGTTTTTAACCAAGTCCTGTATATTTTTGTTTGCGTTCCGGTCCTGATTTCTTCAGATTTTCTTAACTTGTTTTCTCTTTTTTTTTTTTTTTTAAACCAGATGAGTTTTGACCCAAACCTTCTCCACAACAATGGACACAATGGGTACCCCAATGGTACAGCATTACGTGAAACGGGTGTTATTGAGAAACTGCTGACATCCTATGGATTTATTCAGTGTTCTGAACGCCAAGCTAGACTCTTCTTCCACTGCTCACAGTATAATGGAAACCTGCAGGAGCTTAAAGTGGGAGGTAAGGAGTGCTCTCATTAAGTTAGGACCTTTTGGGGGCAATTACATCACGCTTAGTTAAAATGTTTTACAGCTCGGTTTCTTTATTAAAAGGACATTAATCCCAAAAGGTTGTTTCCTCTTGTACAACATTAATGAGATTGTAAACATTGTATGTTGGTGCTTTAACTTTTTACTTTTGATCTGACCCCTAAAAGGAATATATATATCATTTTGCATCAAGAGGATCTCAACAATGGGATTACACCGAGAATAAAAATTAGGCTTTTATATAGCCACTTTAATGTTCAATCAAGGCTATTGGTTAAACATATCCACAACACCTGCATCTGTGACTCTTACAATACAGTCCTCTTCACAAATTATGGCTACTGTAATTGCCACTGACTCAAGTCCATCAAATGACTAACTTGTACTATGATTACACTCATGTGTATATAACGTGTACAAATAGTGCTATGACACTGGCCACTGACCAGCTGAAAAAACAAAAATGTCCCATTTCCCCATCTCCCCCTTTTGTGTGTGTTTTTTTTTTTTTGTGTGTGTGTGTTTTATTTAACATGGCACATTTGGAATCCATATCAAAGTGCAGGCTAAAAGTTGTTTTAATAAGGAACTAAAACCGATGTTTAAAACTGACTTCTATGCTCTAAATGCAGTATGCTATCTAGTGTATTTACAAATAGGATCTCTACAATGTTCTTGCTGCTTTTCCTCCAGATGATGTTGAATTTGAAGTTTCTTCAGACCGCAGAACTGGCAAACCAATTGCTGTTAAACTGGTAAAGATAAAAACTGAGATCTTGCCAGAAGAAAGAATCAGTGGTCAGGTGAGTGACTTTCATTTATATTAATATTGCTTTTTAGACTGTTGTATAATGCCGATGGTAATCTATAGGGAATGTCTAGTTCTGTGCACCATTCCTCCCCTTTACTTTAATATAACCTACAAATCAGTGATTTATGTAAAAGGCAAAATCTGTAGCCTGTCTCTGGTGGGCTCTCTTTAAAACCTTTTATCTTCCTTTTGCCTTTACTTCTGGAACACATCAGCTGGCAGATTTATAGAAGTGAGAATATGACTACAGTGGGCTGTAATGGAGAGCAATCTTCTTTGTTTTCAGCTTCTATTTCCATTGCTTTTCTTACCAACCTTTTGGCTTGTCTGTAGCAGTGCTTATCATTTTGGAATCCTCCAACTTGTGTTTTTATGGTCGAGTCCCTTTTTACAAATCTTGTAAAATTTTGTAGTGACACTCCAAGTAGTCTTGACTTAAAGTTATTACAACCAATACTTCTGACTCTCACTGGTGAGTTGAAGTCATGACAACTGGCATGGAGTGGAATTCTAGTGTGAGAACAAGTGAGATTTAATGAATACTAGTGTCAGGGATGGAGATGCTGAATGCTAGTGCTGCACACTGAAGCACTGACCCAGGAAGCACCTTGCGTGGTCTGAGTCTGAGTGATTGTCACTAGGGGTGTCACTAGACTCCATTGTAAACACTGCCTTTATCTCTGCAAAGGCAGTGTTTACATTTAAAAGCCTGCAGGGACAGACTATAAACAAAAAAAACTACATTAAGCTGTAATGGTTTTGGTGACTAGTATCTCTTATTGAATCTTAAATATTCCTTACATTATATACACTTATTCTACTAATAGATTTTTCTAAGGGTTATCACCTTTTTGAGCTGGAATATTGCTGTATAGTAGTGCTTGTCCTATAGTTACCAAAAAAAAAAAACTTTAGTAAATACATCGTTTTAATGGTTTTTCTATGTGTAATGTCTAAATTTGTAACTTACAGGTTGTGTGCGCCGTGCCTCATAACTTGGAAAGCAAGTCCCCAGCTGCTCCAGGCCAAAGTCCCTCAGGAAGTGTATGCTACGAACGCAATGGGGTATGTGTCTTAATTTGTTGCCATTTTGTGATGTACTTGTACATAATTTAATTGTCATTCTTGAAAAACTCCTATATCTATTTTCCTCTTTATAGGAGGTGTTTTATCTGACTTATACCCCAGAAGATGTAGACGGCAATGTTCAGCTGGAAACTGGAGATAAAATAAACTTTATTATTGAAACCAACAAACAGTGAGTGTTTCTTTGTGTGAGGGTTTTGTCAAATGGCTTAATATTTAGATTAGTTGAACTTTACTGTACATCTGCTCTGTGAGTTTATGTATTTGAGCACAGTACCTCCACCATATGTCTGTGCAGTAGTGTTGTATTTAATAAGATTTGTTGGTATTTGTGGTTTTAGTAGATGTAAAATAAGTGCCTGTTTTTACTCCTAGTACTGGTGCTGTTAGCGCTCGCAACATTGTGCTGCTGATGAAAAGGAAGCAAATGCGCTGTCAGGGAGTTGTCTGTGCCATGAAGGTGAGTATTAAATATCCACTGGAACTGCTAAAGATATGGTTTCTCCTGTTTTTGTTGGGGTCTTTTTTTAACTCTCGGTCACATCTTATTCTGCTTTTTATGACACCCACTCTCCCCTTCAATAACAGCATCAGTTGTTTAAGTGTTAAACTATGACATATCAGTATTGTTTCAGACCTGAGGAGCATAGGAAAACTCTCAAAAGCTTGTCTGTTAAGTATTATGTTGGTCCAATAAAAAAATAGATCCTTCGTAATGCAATACTCTAGTACAGAGAGAGGCAACCTCAGGCACTCCAGATGTTATGGACTACATCCCCATTGATGCTTTGCCAGCGTTATGGCTGTAAGAGCATTAGGGAGATGTAGTCCATAACATCTGGAGTGCCGAAGGTTGCCTATCCCTGCTTTAGTATTTTACCTTCTTGTATAGATGTGTATGAAAAACTATGTATAAAATGTCTTAAGTGCTGCTTAATAGGAGCAGTTTGCTAACGTGAATGGGAACTTTGTTGGACACCTATATAAGCACTCTTATCCACAATATATACTGTATGGATATACTTTGTTAACCTCTCTTTGGTTTGCAGGAAGCCTTTGGGTTCATTGAAAGAGGTGACGTGGTCAAGGAAATATTTTTTCACTACAGCGAATTTAAAGGTGACCTTGAAGCCTTACAACCTGGTGACGATGTTGAATTTACAATAAAGGATCGAAATGTAGGTTTGACCTGCTGCCTATACTGCTCTCTCCTGTGTTTTTATGGTATTTATTTATAGGGTGTTTATTCTCATTTTTATGTACTACAGGGCAAAGAGGTGGCAACTGATGTGAGATTGCTTCCTCAAGGAACTGTTATTTTTGAAGATATCAGCATTGAACACTTTGAAGGAACTGTAACCAAAGTTATCCCTAAAGTACCCAACAAGAACCAGGTAACAGCTCATTCTTAATTTCCGTTTATTTTGCTTATACGTTAAGTGTCACTCCCCTAAACGTATTAACTTGTTAATTGAAGCTGTCCTTCAACTGACGTTACATAGGCTATGTATATCTGAGGTACACACCTACATACAAAAGGTAGTAGTAACCTTAGTCTCTGTAGTTTCCTCTGTATTTAAAGAGCTTATAAACATTATTGTAATTTGCTATCTTCATGCAGTATAAACATAAGCACTTTACTTTTTCTCCTTTCCCTTTAGAATGATCCTCTACCAGGCCGCATCAAAGTTGATTTTGTAATTCCTAAAGAACTCCCTTTCGGTGATAAAGACACAAAATCCAAAGTGACCCTGCTGGAAGGTGATCATGTGCGATTCAACATTTCCACTGATCGAAGGGACAAACTGGAACGTGCCACTAATATTGAAGTACTCCACGATACGTTTGAATTCACAGACGAGTCCAGAGAGATGGTTAGTATCCACATGTTTTTCTATATCTGCACTAATTTATATTTTGTATATACACTTTACAGGAATGATTAAAATGCAAGAGGTTTCACACATCTCTTATAAATTGAATTGTTACTCTTGTTTGTTCTGTTTTCCAGTAATAAACCTGTATATGGTAGTTAACCACTGAATATTCTTACTAATAGAAAATACACTAAACCAGTTCAGTGTGTAGATAAGTAGTTCTTTGGAGACATTTATTCATACCTTTGCCAGTCTAGGTAAAGATCCATGGGAAGTGCTTGCACATGTCATGAATATCCAAGTAACATCACATTAATATGAAGTTATTGACTAAGTCTTTATACTTCTGATTAGGGGATGGGGGAGTTTAGAATTATGTTTGTATAGTTTTAAAGGGTACCTGTCACTGTGCCTACAAAGTATGCCTCTATATCTTTATATTTTAAAGAACATACAATTTGATCTATACATTTTTCTAGCAATTGTATAAATTAGGCCTTTCTCCCACCTGTCATTCTTCAGTGTAGACTCTTCCAGGAGTCAGTGCCAAGGGAGAGCAGAAAAGACCTCCCACAGATGATCCTTCTGCTCTCCACAATGCAACCACTGCTCATGCGCTATGGTAACTCCCTAGTGGTTGCTAGTGTTGGATATGGCGTATAGGAACATATGTGACTGCACATCAATCCATTCAGATGGTGGCAGCAAAGTCAGAGGAAGCTTGTCCTATTTGGGAAAGCATTCCGAAGTAGGGTGATTTAAAGAAGCATGCAGGAGAAGTTAAGGATTAGTATTATAGAAGTTACCCCATCGAAACTGATGAAATGGCGGTGCTGGATCGGAGGTAAGGTGAGTGAATATCTCCATGTTTGACATGAAGTACATCATGCAACCACGGTATGATGCATTCAATGCATCTGGGAGAGATTTACATTAAAGTGGAACTGTCATGACAGGTTCACTTTCAACTGCAGAAAATGTACTATCTGGTAATGTAACTTTCGATTCTTTATATATTTTTTGTTATATATATATATTTTTTTTTTTTTCCCTCTTGAAAACGTTTGGCAATTTTCTAAAACGTTGTTAGGATAGATTTAAATTGCAGTTTAAAACATATGGGTAATTTGAGCCAAAGCAGGGCACATCTCATGTAGCTTGTTACTGATAAAGAAAACCTCCTGTCTCATCACTTGGTTTAAAGGAAAATATACTCTGAATAGACTGTTCATACTGCTAGTACAAAGTAAGAATTCTAGAACCAGATATCAAGGATTAAGATAGTCCGTGCTTTGCCCTGTGCATCACTGTAGTTGACTTTATTGGAGGGTCAGTAAAGGTCTGAAGGCTTAGTTTTTGAATGGGAAACCAAAGTTGTAATAAGGACGATAAAAATAATGCACCATAAAACAGCCATCCTCAAATGTTTTGTATGAATTCAGCCACACATTTTCTAAAAGAATTGAACACTTAATAACTTGTTACTACACAATGTTGCATAATCCAAACAGAGGTGTACCATGATGCTTTAAAGTTTAATAAATTCCCCCCTGCACCCTCAAACTTATAAACCAGCACCATCCCTGTAAGTACTTGCAGTTAATCTGAGTAGTACTTGCTCGAATAGTTTGCATGACCCTGATGCCGGTAAAGTTCTGCACTGTGAGCAGCTGTGGAGCTACATGATGTACTCATACTGCTGTTTCCCTTTCACAGGGTGTGATTGCAGCAATGAGGGATGGGTTTGGTTTTATAAAATGTGTTGATCGGGATGCCCGAATGTTCTTTCACTTCAGTGAAGTCCTGGATGGAAACCAGCTCCACATTTCTGATGAAGTTGAGTTTACTGTTGTCCCTGTGAGTAAACATTCTTAATACGGAGTCTAATAGTGCCCATTAACATTCCGTAAGCCAGTCTTGTAGCATTTTAAATGATTCTTCCCCAAATATAAACCAAAAACCAATTACTTCTCCATTGGAATTCTTGTCCTGGTATTTAGATGTGCCCTTGCATGTGGACTGTTTTGTGTCTTTATTTTGGACTTTGCAGGAGATCACCAACAATGGAGATACATGCTGTATTGTAATGAGCCATAGTGGACCATCATTTTTACTTTGTTAAAGTGTTCATGTAACTATTCATATCCAAATCTTAAGCTTGTGTCTGTCTGTTCTAGGACATGTTGTCTGCTCAAAGAAATCATGCCATAAGAATTAAAAAACTTCCAAAGGGGACAGTCTCGTTTCACACACAATCAGATCACCGTTTTGTTGGAATTGTGGAAAAAGAAGCAATCCCAGCCAGTGCGAAGTCAAACAGCCCCAACAAAGGAAAGGATAAGGTAACACACTTTTCAAGGGTTTTCTGTCCTAGAACTCAGACATACTTTTGTTACACCAGGGTATTTTCACAGGATTTTCCTTTGTCTAATCCCACCCTTGCCCTGGCAGTGACTTTTCAATTATAGCAAGATCTTTGTCCAAAAGTGTCCTCTTGTGTCTTGAGTGTAGCATTTAAGATCCCAACCTTGTGTTGGCCAAGTTGAAAGCCGCTGAGGACAGTGTGTATACAAATGTAGACTCCAAAACAAACGCTTGTCAAGGTATATGGCAGTACTGCTTAACATGATTTTTAGTTTCCGTTGCAGTGTTGAATTACATTTAGACTTTCAATTTTTTTTATATATTTTTTTTTTAGTAATTTGATTTTCTTAATTTAACCTACATGTACTTTACGTTCTGGCCATTCTCCAGAAAAAGGAGAAGGTAAGCTGTTTAAGCATGATGTGAGTTGAGAGCCATTGTCTTTGTGGCTTTTAATAAACTAAAGTGTGTTCGCTGTGTCTTTGTTTGGTCCATACTTTTCTCGTCGTCTTTCATTCTGCCTCTGTCATCTCTTATCTAATATGTAGGTTGCATCTTGCTTAAGATTGTTATTAGGGTTATAAAAGCTCTGTCCTGGAGGAATCTAAAAAAATAGTGGGAAGTGAATATTTCATCATGTCCAATTTAAAAACAAAAAAACCCTTGTGTTTGGAACGAGATTTACCAGCATGCTCCTGACATCCTTTTCCTGATTTGCTGCTCATTTGTTTTTATGTGTTGCAACTTGTTTCATAACTGGTTTATTAATCATCAGAGTGGCATGGACTTTTGCCCCAAGTCTATATTCTAATAAGTCCCAGGGAAAATTGAATTGATGGAATACAAAATCTAAATTTAGGCGCTCTAGTTAAACAGATCAAAATTATACTTTATTGTGAAGCCAGAAGAATTATTGCATAAAATGTGCTAAAGGTCCGTTCTTTTCCAACAGCCAAGGATTTGAGTATTTCCCAGATCAGTTCCTATAGGTTTACAGACAAAATATGCATAGCTGGTGTGCATTGAGTACTGGGTTGGAAACCCCCTGGCCCAGAGTATAAAAGCAGAAGCCACTTGGATAAAATATAAGCATGTAGGCGTTGAGAGAGTTTGTGTGTGTCCAAACTCCATTTCTTTGAAGCATGTTCCACGTTAGTGACTGAATGTTGCAGGTAAGAGGTTCTGTGTGTGTATTATAGCAGATGAAGTTCAGTCTGTGGAATTTTAAAATCCTGCTTAACGATGCTCTCCCAGAAAGCCTCCTTGCATCTTGGGTAATGCAGTACAATAGCTGGAATGGTAAAACTTTTATGTATTTCATGTGGCTCAGATAAAACTTTGATACAATGATTAGATAAAGGCGTAAAATACAGAATATGTTCAAAGGTTGTTTGACACCATTTGATCATTACAGCATTACGATTTATGTGAGGGTTTTTGCATGGTTAAATAAACAAATAAATGGCACAACCAATATTTAATTCTTAATCTTTTTGAGCACAACATGCTAAATTGGTTAATTCCTGGGAATACTGTATTCATAGTCTATGCATGCACACAGCACTACTGAAGGAATGCAATTGACTTGTGCCCAAGACAACAGGGCAGCAAATTCAGTGTTGGCTTTGGATGATATAACAAGGACCTGTCTCCACCAGATAAGTGAAAGTTCCACTTGATTAACTAATGGTAAACACCACATTTGTTAAGCATCTTGGTACCATGCATCCTATACTATACATTTTAGCAAACCACCTTCTGATTGGACGAAGAAGGCTCTTAACTTATCCACGTCTCTATTTTAATAGACAACAGCTGGCCTGGACCCAGATAAGATTCTGGTAGTGGACAGAAAGGTGACAGGCTAATAATGTGGTTAATGTCTTAAGACACTAGTAAATCTTTGTGTGTGTGTGTGTATACTAAAACAGTGTTCATTTTCTGTAATAGGAAGGTGAAGAAGGAATAATCTCCTATGAAGATTGTGGTATAAGGCTGACAGTGCCATATCATCTGAAAGATCTGGAAGGATCAGCTCCTCAACCTGGCGATAAGGTGAGATTTATTCTCTCTTCCCCTCTCTAATGTAAAATTACAGTACAAACAGGCAGATACTATAGTTACACTAATTCTGTGAATGTATCTGGGTGACATCTTTAATGTTTTTGTTTAGGATGTAATAACCCCCCCACTCCTTTTTACAGGTGTTTAAAGAACACTGCCTATTCCCGAGTTTTATCCCTATATGCTGCCTTTTTAGTTCTTTTATACAATTTTGGCTTACCAATGACTTGAACGAGATGTGAGAAGAGCAATCCTAGCTTTAAAAGAATTGACTGCATGTGGAGTAAATGTTGATGGGCTTCAATACTGGGTAAAGTCTCTGTGCATTTGCCTTTAAATGAATTCTCTTTCAGGTTGAGTTCAGCATTTGTGAAGCGAAAAGGACTGGCCAGCAGAGTGCGGTGTCCATGAAGGTGATGGGACGCAATTCTAACGGCAAAAGATTCATTGGTTATGTTGCCACACTAAAAGATAATTTTGGATTCATTGAAACTGCAAATCACGACAAAGAAATTTTTTTTCACTACAGGTAATTGCAGGCATTTACTGTAATTCAGTACGTTTAAAGCAATATTATAGCAGGCAACTGTCTTGATACATATAAGACAAGTTTTTAGAGTTTTTGTTTGTAAACCCTTGATTATGAGCTCTTCTAAGCAATTGGAAAAACTACGGATTGTGTTGATTATGGTGCGTGGGGTCCTTGGTTGACCCCAAAGCCTCACCCTATTTTTGCCACTGAGATAATGAGCAATCTTACAGCCTTGTGTGTCTGTTTTGATGCTAGTGATAGCTGGGCTTGGTTACCTCAACCCTCGCAACTCTTAGAATCTTTATCTGATCATCCGTTTCTTTAGTCTCTTGACACCGAAGAAGTTATGTAAAGTTATGTAAAAGACTAACAGCCGTAGAAACGAATCTCATTTTATTTGATCACTGTAGATTTACCATCTGTGTAACTTAAATGAACACTGTAGGGTCAGGAATACAAACTTGTATTAGTGACGCTACAGTGTTAAAAGCACATTTTAGCCCTCTGGCCCACCTTGTACCACTTAAATTGTTTACTCACCTTTATTTCAGCGCCCCGCCACTGATCCGCCTCCTAGGTGGACATCCGAATCGATAATCTCTGCCAATCCATTGGTTTCTCATATATAGTAGGTTGGGGCAGAACCAAACGACCCACTGGCCAATCAACATCTCTTCTTAGATTTATGAAATCAACCCACCTCTATGGTGACGCGAAGTTCAGAGTAGGAACGTTAGTGATGCAGGTTATGCGGCACTGACCCAGGAAGCACATCTAGTGGCTGCTTGAGTGGAAGTGTCCCTAGTCAGCACTGTAAACATTGCTGTAACGGATCACCTGGCACTCCGACTGGGTATCTCCGTTGAAGGATGCTCCTCGCGCTTCCTGAGGACTCCCAGCACTGCAGCAGACACCACAACCACCAAACCGGAGAAACATACAAATGCTCTCAAGCATGTGAATGCTGTAAACAGCTGAACAGGAAAAGCATACAATCAGCTTACACTCCTGGCAATCGGCATACAATTCAATTCCCCCAATAATGAGCCGACACTTCGTTTTGAAGTCAAGCAGAACTGACTACTGGCACATACAGCCTCTTTTATTCACAAACCTAGTACTGCCCACAGGGTTTTGAAATACAACCAATCAATCCGTACAATACACACACTCCCACACAATCGTCCCCTCTGCCTGTGATATGATTACTGAACCCAATGGTTAATATAATTATCACAGGCAGAGAAATACAGTATTATAAAACATATCACAGGGACCCCAAAACATGCAATAACCCCATAAGTATATCCTCGAACCGGGGGATCTGGGTGAACCACATATCAAAAATTCACCCAGATCCGTTCAGTAGTTTGGAAGATACTGTTTAATGCAGATTCCGCAGAACATATACAGGCTATATGAAAAATAATTACTGTATAATGTATCCCCTGTTGTCTAGTTTAAAACTACTGCATAATGTCTTTGTGCACCAAATACCGGCGAGATGGCAACGTGTAGAAAAGTCTAAACAGTGTCTGTGAGTTAAAATGGCCGCCATCCATTGTTCTCACCATGTCTTTCATCCATTGTTCTCACCATGTGCCTCTGATACATGAAATGGTGGCCACCCAGTAACTCCACAGTTTGTCTGGTAGTCTATCCAGCCGGACCAACAGATGAAACACATGGGGAACATGCAACAAACGAAGGCAATCATCAAAAATATGGACAATAGTCATATTTGTGCACAATCTCCAGTTTTGTCACAGGGCACAAATAGTGTTTTCAAATCCCATATATCCCAGGGCCATAGTCAGAAGGTAGGAGGCGTGACGAGGTCTGTTCCACCACAGTTGCCCTTTCTCTTTGCACAGCATGGTTAATTTAGATTTTTTTTATTTAGATTTTTTTCTGCTGCTCTGTATTAGGCTTTTAGAGCCTACAATAGCTTTGTATGTATGACTAGAAGTACTTATCTGCAGCTTTAATAGAACTTTAAAGATCTGATTGAAAGTTAAACTTTTTTTTTTTTTTTTTTTTTAAGTCTCTCTCAGCCAGGGGAGGTGTAATTTAACTGTTAAATGGCAAAGAACTGCGTAGTGCGACTGCAGGCAAATGATTTCTCTTGATGTTTAGAGTATTCAAGTTACAGCTGCTTTTCTATATTCATACCTGGACAGCTCCTGTGGCCGTAGAGGGTTGAATATTGTATATGTTTAGCGATGCTATATAAAGGGATCATCTTCGTTGACTTAGTTGTTTCCAGGTTTGATGAGACCATCTTGCCAAACACTGCCTGGGAATAGAAAACTGGAAATATAATTTGTTATGCAGTAGTTTAAAAGGACGCTGATTTCTCTTTTTCTATAGCGAGTATTCTGGAGATGTGGATAAGCTCGACTTGGGAGATATGGTGGAATATTGTTTGTCAAAAGGAAAAGGAAACAAGGTCAGCGCTGAGAGGGTCACAAAGGTCCATCAAGGTAACTATTGTCTTACTAGTTCCCCATTTCTCTCCAGAATCTGGCAGTGTTTATACCACAGAATTCATATTTTAGACTTGCATCTTTTGCAAGTGTATAGTGATAGTTTTACTGTAAGTCTTCTGCAGACACTGGGTTGTAGAAGTAGAGTAACTTGGTGTTCATTAGTAAAAAGGTAGGAAAAACAGCTAGGAAAATAGAACTGTTACATTGTTGGGTTTCTGATTGGGTACACGTCTCTCATGAGGAAAAAGTGCCACTGTGGATATGGTTGCTAAACCCCACATACTTTGCTCAATACAACTGCTGAACGTAGCAAAACTGAGCCCATTACATATACACATCATAAAGTTTACGTTTGTAAGGGAAAAGAGAAGCAATAACTATAGGAAACAAAAAATAGAAAGCTATGTAATGACTGGCATGGAGAAAATCTGACATTGTTCAGTGTAGCCGTAAATACAGCAGGGTAGATTTCTAAATTTGTTCGAGTCTTGGTAAAGTAAGAGGGAATCCAGTGCATATTAAATTTTAAGCTATAGCTAGACTTTACTCTTAATTTCAGTTTTGAATAGTCTTAACCAAATGCCATTCTTTTGAGGGTGGTTATTTTTTATTTTTTTTGGGGGGGGTGGGGAATGTAATGCATCCATATGTTTTGCTTCTCTGGGTAAACCGTGCACAATCTCCTAACTGTTTTTTGCTATCTAGTTAACGGATCAAATGATGAAGTGGATCCAACATTGTATTGGGGTAAAGTTATCAGACCCTTGCGAAGTGTAGATCCAACACAGACTGAATACCAAGGAATGATAGAGCTTCTAGAAGAGGGTATGTATGTCTAATTTTACTAAAAGGTTTCCTAACATATTCTCATGCAGCTGAAGATGTTTGCAGCGTTTTAGGCCCGTTGGCAATATAGGCAAGCTGTAGTCGATCTTGCTTGTATTACCACTATTAAAAATTTCTGGGTATTGCATCACATGAGACCTAATCATGACTACAGTTTAAAAGACATGGACTTTAGAGAATGTGTGATATTAGCCAATAAAACGTTGTTTGGAGAATAATTTTAAAATGTACTGAATAGTTGTTAGTTGGCTATTTTTTTATTATTTTTTTTCTTCTTTCTCTCTGCTACTTATTCTTGCAACGATGTTAAAATATGCAATTATTTATGCCAACCTAACTTTCCTATTTAGTTGAAGATAAGCAGAAGATCACAGAAGAAACTCCTGAGGAAACTGAGGATTTAGAAGAGGATGACACCGAAGTGAACAAGCCAGGTAAGATAAATAAACACAATTTTCTAGAATACTGATTGTATGTACAGATTATGTGAATTATCCTAATTTTGTTGGACACTACTTAATATTGATCCCATGATAGTGCTAACATTTCTTATTGGATCTTACCCACCTGGAAATGTAGAGAATATCCACAAAAAGTTTGTTGCACTCTTCTCCTACACCATACTTGAGCATCAGAAGGGCCAGGCTGCAGGTACTTGGGGACCCTCCGTCAATGATAAATGGTTTGAAAGTGGGATGACACCAGGAGATGACTGCACCATAACATTTTTAATAAAATGTGGTTGTGATGCCTAGAGTTGCTCTTTAAGTCCTGTAGGTGGAACCAGTAAGGAATGTGATGAGCCGCATTCAGTGCAACCTTTATTCGTGCTAGAATGTAAAATACCAAAGGGCTACTAATACGTTGTATCTGCATGTGGGCTGGATGGGAGCATTACTTTAACCTAGTTTAAACTGTATATACGCTAGTTATGATAGTTGCAACTGCTTACAGCCAGGTTCAAATTCCAGTCAGAACACACCACCAGTAAGTGTCCAATGGGCAAGACACTGAATGTTCTAGGAAACAAACCACCCCACACAATGGTTCCACCTGTCGATCTGGCCACTCTCCCATGAGGCGGTCGGCACCAGCAGACAACACCAATCCTTCCCAGCACCAAAAAGAGTAGAAAAATTGGCAGCACTCCAGGATACAAGTTGTCAGTTTATTAGAGGGTAAGTAACCTTAGATCCTTAGATCCTCAGAAACGTTGCACTACTGAGGGTTCCTAACCCTCTAATTATATAGACTGACAACTTGTATCCTGGAGTGCTGCCCATTTTTTCTATTCTACTGAATGACCTAGATCTGCCTACCTTGGTCCTCATTGATTGCCAGTTAGTTTGCGCAGGTCTTCACCTCTTACCGTTTCTATCATTGTAAAGCTCTGTGGAATATGTTGGTACATAAATACTAATAATAATCAGCTGATAAATATTTATTACATTTTTAGCTAGCATGAAAGGACAACTTATCCCGTTTGGCATAGTGGGAATGATCAATAAAGCAGATTGCCTCCAAAAGGGAGAAATGGTAAAGTTCCAGCTTTGCGTTCTGGGTCAGAATGGTCAGACAATGGCTTGCAACATCGAGCCCCTCCGCAGAGGTACAGTGGAGTGCGTGAAAGATCAGGTTAGTACCCTTTTTTTTAAAAAATTTTTTATATTTTTATAAACCACTTACCTGCAACCATATTTCTTCTATTGCCGTGTCAAGATTGATGTCTCAATGTTTTGTATAACGGTGTATTTTATATCTTGTCTTTCAGTTTGGCTTTATTAATTATGAAGTAGGTGATAGCAAGAAGCTTTTCTTCCATGTGAAGGAGATTCAAGATGGGGTTGAGCTGCAGGCAGGGGATGAAGTGGAGTTCTCTGTGATCTTGAATCAGCGTACTGGGAAATGCAGTGGCTGTAATGTTACACTTCTGAGGTAACTTTTATAAGTAACTCCATATTTGTATCCTTTCATATGTTACACAACATAGCTCCAAAGTGGGTTTTCTCACACTCTCTGCCGCTGCCTATCAAATGACCACTGAATATAAGGCTCATTGAATGTAAGCTCATTGAGCAGGGCCCTCAACCCCTCTGTTCCTGTGTGTCCAACTTGTCTGGTTACAACTACATGTCTGTTCGTCCAACCATTGTAAAGCGCTGCGGAATTTGACGGCGCTCTATAAATATCATAATAATAATAAGACAGGTTGGAGCCCTCAGTCGGTTAATTCACGGTGCTTGTACGATTTCAGGGTCGTAGTTATATTTGCCAAGTCTGTAAAAAAATAAATACCAAATTTCCATACAATTGTAGCAGTTTGCTCAGCCAGAGCCCTTCACAAACACATCTTATGAAGTGCTCAGCTAGCCAGGCCACCATATAATATATGCTTGCTTCATATACAGTTATACTAAAAGTTAACCTGTTTTCTTACAGTAAAGGTCCTGAAATGGTGGCAGCCCCTCGACCTGATAGGTTAGTGAGTCGTTTAAAGAGCATAACCCTGGATGATGCCAGTGCACCCCGTCTCATCGTTCTACGTCAGCCTAAAGGCCCGGATAACACAAAGGTAAATCTGGCTTTTATATAACTTGTGTATGCTAAACTGTTCGAGGTATCGCATTTATCACTTACGACTTGCTAAAACTGTAGCAGAGAAGCTTTAGAAGAGCATGGAGCACCACAAACCCTTAAAAATCTTGGAATGTGTTCTCTTTAACATTAGGATTACGTATCCCTGTAATTTGTATTTTATTTAAAAAAAAAAAAAAAAAAAAGTTTAAATTCAGAAATCTGCTCCCTATTAAAGGGATATTATAGATCATGCCCCTGCAGTCTAGCTGCTCACTTCTCTGGCCTTTAAAAGTCCATTTGCTCTATACATCTCTAGTTACCCCTACTTGCATGTGACTTGCACAGCCTTCATAAATATTTCCTGTAAAGGAACATAGATAAATGTTCCTTTTATTGCACAGTTTATTAAGTGTTCTTGCATAGCAAAACCACTTAATGTTATCTCACATATATATTATTATTCTTCTTATAGCCAAATTTGCCACCCTAACTCCTCCCACAGTTTTTACACTACATAGACAAAAATTTACCAAAACGTGCAGATTGTTCCCGATCGGATTGCTATTACTTTGTGGAACGTTTTGCTGAATGGTTCACGGAATATCGTTGTTCTTGTGGCAAAATTTGTCCCATAGGAATGAATGGCAAAGCTAGAGTGGGAGCTGGCAAAAGCTGAAAAATCAGGACATGATTTCTAAACTGCCACCACTCCCTCATTTTCAAGCCCACCTACACATATCTTATATCAAAACGTTCAGCTATCCCTGCTGCCACTAAACATGTCAACGGCTAAGCCATAGTCCTGATAGTTTTCACAATATAATCATTTGTTTGCAACTCACGCCGTCCGTTGACATTCATTGAAACTCCACTCTAGCCAGCTAAAATTTGAAGGGCAATTTCTAAACTGCGACTGTGCCTTCATTTTTAATATTTCAGACATACTATGCATCAAAATGTAGGTCTTTGTCTTGTGATTCTCACAATGTAAAGCTCTTCGCTGTAGAATGTATAGTTTTTTTTAAATACGACCGTTTGAAGATGGCAACCACCAAAATACTCTGACCTGTGTCAAGCTGCAGCAGCAATTGATGTCATAGACAGGGCCTTTTGTACACCTGCTAATGTTTTTATAAATGTATGTTTTAATGTAACTGTGAAGCACTTTGGGCAACAACGTTGCAATTAAATGTGTTATATAAATAAATAACAGTTACTCCGCCCACTCCAGTTGTAGACTACTGGTGGAGGCAAGAACACTTCACACAATTTCACCAGAAATTGTAGCGTTCTAGTTTAATCTAGAATTTATATCCTGATCTGTTAATAGCCAACTAGAGCCTGCAGTAGCCTCCTGTGTGTGATTAACGTTCATTTTACAGAGCAGAATAACTTCTAAAGCAAGTTAACATCTGATTGAAAGTGTGTCACAGCCTGGCTAGGGCTGCATAGAAACAAGTCATTTAATTTCTCGATTCTGTCACTTATGAGTTAGACTGTCGGTGCTTGGATCTATACACTCAAACAGCTTAAATAAACTGAAGTGTTTTATAATTTAATGTTTATTAAAGATCAGTCATGTATTCAAGGCAGAGACAATACATCAATACTGAGTATATTAATATTGTCATACAGTCCATACAAGAACATACAGAGAATTACCAAATACAATAGGTTTGTTACAACAGGTTAATCTGTTAGTTTAAGGTGTATCCACAGTGAAGTGTAGGGTTATTTTAAGCCATGAAAACGGCAGATCTCTCTTAAAACGTATTGGTGATGGGGAAGTATAGAAAGTGAGAGTATAAATAGCTTGTTATTTTGATGGCTATAGTATGCCTTTTAATCATTGTTATAAGCTTTGTTCTTTCAACCCGGCAGTTGGCATAGACAAAGTATACAGCAAATAGAGACCTCCTCTCCCCAGTTTTTGCCCTTGCTCTGCCTTCTCTGAATGGGATTCTCATTTGTTAAATAGTTACATACATTTAAGGGTGGGGAGGTGAACAGGCATTATAGATTACGTTCAATGTTCTATTCAATAGAATAAATTCCAGAAAGTTGATAGCTCCCCTTAATGTAGAACCTACCTGCAAAATGGCTGGAACCTTGTTTTAAATATACTACAGATTTGGGGGTTAGTCTAAAAATCTGGCATTGTACACACTAACTAAATCTGCTTTTGGGGAGGTATTTGAGCTTAACAGACTTTTTTTTTTTTTTTTTAACACTTATATTTTCTTTTCTTTCTATGCAGGGATTTGTCACCGAAAGAAAGATCCGTCAAGCTGGTGTTATTGACTGATTTCCATCAGCAGAAGCACATTACCTAATCAAACATGATTAAACAACATCTCTTTGCTGCCCATAAATTCTTTTGACTCTTATTCTGTGTAACGATTACACTCATTTTAACATCTTGTGTTCAAGCCAGGAAACATGCAGAGAAATATACCCCTTTTAAATAATGCACATTTGCAAGTGAGGAGTTAAACGTTGAAGCCTTATAGTATGGATTTTTTTCTTTTCTTTAAGAAGCTTTGTTTTAAATGGTGCATCCTACAGCAGTAACAGATGAATCTTTTTTTTTTTTTTCTGGTCTGTTATGGTAACAAAGCGTGATTTAACCTTTCCAGAATTCTGCACTTCATACGGTTTAGCATATATTCTACCTCCAATATTGCAAATCTGGTTTTTACTTTGCCTCTGACTTACTATAACTTTTCATTTTTATTAAAGAGCTTTTTTTTTTTTTCTTTTTTCTTTTTTCTTTAATATATATTCCCATCTAGTGGACCATGCATTAATGGTGGAGTATATGCTATCCAAGCATTTCTTAAAACACAAATGCTTGTGAAGCCCTTTTTGGATCTAACTAAAGGAGTTTTTTTCTTTTCCTCCCCCAAAACAAAAGGTTTTTTATTTTTTAATTAAATAAAGCTATTCCAAAGCACTTTGTTTGCTTGAATTTTATCTTTAAGTGACTTTGGAGGTGCAGAATTCTGCACAGGTAACGTGCCATCACTATGAATTTAAATATATATATAAGAACGCACAGTTTTGATTTTTTTTCTTTGCTGCTTTGACACTGCAGCGCTTATAAATGTTCATCAATTCAAAAAAGGAAAAAAAAAATGTGCCTGAATATTTGGGGGATGGGTTTTCTACTTTTTTTTTTTTTTTTTTTTCCTCTCCCCTATTTACTGCAACCACTTGTACTGAAATTCTTTAAGCTTTTTAATAGCTATATTGATATTCGCATCAAGGTAACTATAGAAAGTTTTTTTTTTTTTTTTTTTATATATTCATACTTTCTTGCCATTATTTATGTTGTGTTTTTGTTTTTCCCTGTTACTCCCCCTGCCTCAACTATCAAGCAAGAAAACAAAATTTAAAGTATTTTAAACCAGAAAGATTTTCTTTGGACTGAGGAAAGAGGGTTTTTTTTGTTTTAACCTCTATTCGTATTTAGGGGTTCTTTTGTTGGAGACACCTTTGTAAAAACAAAAATTTAAAAAAAAAAAAAACTTGGCTCCAATTTTTTTTTTTTTTTTTTTGGTTTAATGGCAAAAAATGAAATAGAATAAAGTTTTACCAATTAATTTTGAAATAAGTTCTTTTTTTTGTGCCCTCTTGCTCACTGTGCATGGAAAGGTGTTTTTCAGTCTTAAAAGCCTAAATATTTCACAGATTGGTCTGAATACATTTTACTATTCACTGCACATTGAAGTAGACTCATCCGGAATGGTTTATTTGTAATCCTATAGCACAGACTTTCCCAAACTCTAACCCTCCAGATCTTGCTGAACTACAACTCCCATGATTCTATGAATAAAATAGGCTGAGAGTTGTAGTTCAGCAACATCTGGAGGGCCGGAGTTTGGGGAAGCCTGCTATAGCACATGCAGTTAGGCATTTGGCATGATAAGCTCAGGTGGGATCTTCCCATATCTAGTGGAACACATTTATTCAGCAAAACAGATGCTGTCACTAGACTCGCACAGTATCTTAGTGGGTATAAAACTGATCACTCAATCCAGAACAATTTTTGATGCAGTAGAAACAATTGCATGCATTTCAAAAGCCATTGGAACAATGAAAATAGTTTGGAATTTTTGTTGCATGCATCTGTTTATAGCACTACATAATGAGACTGCATTTTATTACTGGATGAAGCCAACCAGAGAGCATAAATTGGAAAGTCTGCAGAGGAAGCAGGTGAAACAAATTGACGTGTGAACAGAGGAGAATTTACTTAATTAGTTGACATGTTCCAAACATACTGCAAAAGTCCCAGATAAAATTAAAAGTTTTGGAAAAAGTTATGGAGCCATAGTCCTTTCTATTTTCAGTTTCATTGGGGAAAAATAGCAATGTATGAGAAAGATATTAAATAACTATGTACGGATTGTTCATGCAAAGATTAGTTGTCCCCAGTAACTGCATGCCTATCTGTGGCAGCAATCGTGTGCACCTCAATATATAAATGTTCTTGCTGTGGCATGAATGCAGTTACTGGAAGCCTCCGCAATGAGACTTCCAGTAACTGCTTAAGTCAGTGAAACTAAATAGAATTGCTGTGACAGCTTGTCTGTGTTCTTTGCTGTTGGTGAACCTTGATCCTCTGCTGCAGCAGTGCATGCCCGTATCGGCACTCGGGCCTTGGAAGCCAATTGTAGTGGTGACAAGCCTTGGCTTCTCTTGTCAGTGAAGGCTTGTGAACCCTAAGAATTTGCTCGCAAAGCGATCAGTGTAGGGCCCACTAAATATTGCACATATAGTTTACTATAATTTTAACTAGGGATAAAGTTAGAAATCAAAAGTGCTTTCCTGTGGGCTTTTAGAAGACGTTGGACGACCTCATGCAAGGCATCAAAGTCTGTGAAGCTACTGGAAATGACTCTAGTGGCAGTCTGGTAGATTGCACGTCTAGGTGGGACAGTGTGCCCAGACCACTTCAATGAGATGTAGTGATCTGGATGCCTATAGTGTCCTTTTAACTATAATGCACACACTAGACTTGTGCACAAATCCAAAGAAATAAAGTTCCTGTTAATCCAAGTCTGAACTAAACAATCCATCCAGTATTTACATAATGAACCCCTTCATTGCCCGGACTGCTTTTTTTTGGCGTTGACTCTCTAAACAATGAATTGGGGTGAACAAAAAATCTAATTGAGAATCTCCAGCTCTGCTGTAGTAACAACTAGGCAGCTTGTCATTATCCATGAGATTGAGGTAGTGGAGGTATCTGAAACCATTCTGACCAAAAAAAAAAATTCTCCGCACCAGGTTTTTAACAAAAAAATTAAGAAATTAAAAGTACAGCACTCTTAAAGGGACATTATAGGCACCAAAACCACTTTAGCGTAATGAAAGAGGTTTAGTGTATATAGTTATGCAATTTCTGAGGTTGAATGGGGAAAAGGGGCTCAAGTTCAATCATGAAGCCTATTTTTTCTTTTTTTCTCATATGGTGGCAGTAGGTATGGGTTGTGCTTCCTAATTGGGGCAAGCATCTGCATGATAGGTGATTAAGAAAAGTCCCTCCTCTTTACCCTATACAGGGCTTCCCTGTCAAACCCACCTCAGTTCTTCCTTGTCCCAGCATGGGACAGATCCAAGCGTCTGTTGGAGGTAAGGCACAGGTTGCTGTCTGGAGGAGGAAGCCCGATAGCCGCCTGGGTGGTAGGCTGAGCATCCCTTTCTGTTTAACTTTGCAGAGAGTATGTTTTGGCTTGGTGAGTATGGTTGGGCCGGGGGACGCCTTAATTATATTGCGGGCCGCGTGCCTGTGCACAGCAGTGCAGTGGAACACACGTCCGGGTGGTGTTGCATTCCAATGAAGCTCCGGGTGCTCTTTGCGCTTTCGCAAACCAAAACTTATGGGAAACCGCCGAGTGCAGCTCGCTGTGCTGTTCCCTCTGGCAGCAGGAAGTTTGCCAGAAGGGTTCCCTATGTCAAAAACCCCTGACATGACTCAGAGATTTTCAAGTTAAGATTAGCTGATCTTTGCCTTGGAAATCTGTTCTGATTAAAATTGCAAGTTATGGATGGAATTGTTTTGCAGAAAGTGGACTGTATGTGCAAAATAGACCGTTTGTACACTGTGGCATGCCTCTGCCATACAAGGCTTTTGCTCATTGTATCTGTGCTACTCACCTTAATATGGTTCTGGGGTTTATAAATATGCCCAAGGTGCTGCAGTTTCTTTGGTAAAATTAAGCCGAGAACATGCAATCATTCCTATCTTTGAATTCTCATAGAGAATCAAATAGTGTATCAGCTGCTCTGCCTGAGATGTTCCGCAGGTACCAAAGAGAAGTGTCCTTCAATTACTTCTGTCTGGCAAATGTTGATCTACCTCTTCTTAAAACATGTCTGGTTCATCATACTGTGTGGAGTTGGTTCCTACCTGATGTACTGAGATGGTTCATTAGTGAATCGTGAATCGGTCATGGTGCAGGATAAATCTCCTAAACTTTAATGAGGGATATCTGTTCCTCAAACCCCATGTCTGTCTTATATGCAGAAATGGGAACACTGTGTAACGAGCATTTCTTGCCCGAAGTTTAATATGTTTACCATCAAATGGATACACTGGGAATCCATAAAATTCTGCAGAAGTAGCTGCTTTAAAAACAATGCCTTAAGAAAGGCTGAGAACTCTTGCAGACAATCTTTCCAGACTGCTCGGTTTTGGTATGGGTCTTTGCTGGCAGGTGCAGCGGTGTCCAAAACGTATAACTTTGCTTAAAATTGTTAATGGAGGTCATTTGTCTCCTGATAAGCAGCGCGTCCGTTTTTATTTGTGATTGTCACATTTTATATGGATTTGACTAATAAAATTTGACAATGACAGCCAGGAGTGTGGGGAACTACGGTACAAAGTCACAGACCAATAATACAGTGTTACAATGCATGACACTCCCACACATAGCATACAATGCCTCCCCGTTGCCTGGGAGATAATTGAGTCAGATAATGTATTAACCCAATTATCCCCAGGCAGAAAAAAAACAAACAATTTTTATAAAACCCCCAAAACACTTAATATCCCCACAAATGTTACATCCCCTGATCTAAGTGACCAACATATCCAAAAATCACCCAGATCGGTTCAGGAATTCTATGGAAGTCACAGGGCATTCGAAGTAAAATATAAAATACTGAACGTATAGCTTTGGGAGAACGTCCGTGGAAGGTAAGTAATTAGCGGTGTTTGTGCCGTCGAGTGTCCGATTTGAGTTCCATGTACTCGATGACCAAAAACCGCTCATTGTGCTTGTGGATTAAGATGGTCGC